TATTATTATTATTATTATTATTATTATTATTATAAAATGTTTACTATTAAATTTTTTTGAGTGCTGTGTGAGTAAATTGAATTTTTTTTTTTTCATACACTAAAAGTAAGTATTAATTTTTTTTTTTTTTTTTTTAATTTTTTTTTAATATTTATTATTTTTTTTTTTAAATTTATTTTATAATAATTCCCATTTAAATCTGTACAAATAATTTACTTTATTTTAAATTTTTTTTATTTTAAATATTTTTATTTTTTAATTTTTTTTTTTTTTATTTTTTATTTTTTTATTTTTATTTATTTTTATTTTTTTTTAATTTTTAATGAATTTTTTGGTATTTGTGTTGGAGGTGTTTAAATGAAAATTTTAAAAAAATCACAGATCCCAATCTATAATTGCACCAATTAATACAATAAAACATTTTTACACCACTTCTTACTATCCTCAGATTATATTTAATAAAGTGCGCAACACACAATAACACACAAAAACACACAAACACAAAAACACACATTCATTATTATTAATATGGATTCATTTCATACTTTAATTTTTGAAACATATAGACAATTTAATTTATTTTTAAATAATTATTTTAATAATAAAAAAGCTATTGACAATACCACAGATAACCTAAATAATAATAATTACACTGTCGATTTTTACAATATAGCAATTTTAATAATAGATATTATTAAATATAAACAACAGCAACAAAAACTACACCATCAATTACATAATAAAAAACCAAAAGAAGATAGTAATAGTAATAGTGATAATAATACAACAGATAAAAATGAAAATAATAAAATTAAAATTAATAATGAATTTTTACAATTAAGTTTTATAAACGATTATGATATCAACGAATTATTAGAATTTTTATTGTGTTTATGCTTTTTCAGTGGTGATCAAGAGTTGGCAAAAAAGATTATTGTCAACAGTCAATCATTTATAACAAATAATCTTCTAAGCAAGGATTTTAAGCAAGGTGTTTCACTGGGATATGCCATACCATTTGGGTCAAGAGCAATTTTAACGTTGTTGACATCGTCATCAATCGGTATGGATTTAAATTTAATGATGAAGGGTTTAGACAATAGTTATGTGATGACATCTGCTTTGTATGGAAATTTAGAAACACTCGAGTTCATTGTAGAAAAAACGAATAGCTCCTGTCTTAACTATAGAAACTCAAATGGTGACACTGCAATTTTGTTTGCTGCCATGAACGGAGATAATCCAATGATCGAAAAGTTGATGGACTATGGCGAAGATCTTTTATGTGTAAATAACCACGGTTTTAATGTTTTCATTTGTGCAGCTTTCCACAATCAAGCAGATACAATTTCAGTACTATGCAAATTAATCGAACGTAAATATGGCACAAAAAAGAAAAAAGAAATGATTGACCACAAGAATAAAGATTCCGAGACTCCACTTCATATTGCATCAAGATTAGGTTTCGAAGATAGCGTTAAAGTGCTCTTAGAAAATGGTTGTGAAATTAATATTGTAAATAAAAAGTTACAGACTCCATTAGAATTGGCCAGAAAGGTTTTAGTGTCGCTAAAGAAAGATCCAAACTATCTCACCATTTCATTTGACCAAGAATCAAGGAATAAAATTTTATCATTCAAAAACGAGCTTAAGGATTTACCTTTTATCAATAATTTATTACCAAATGAATTTAAAGATAATATTCTATTCTCTAAACCCAATTTAACCAACATGGATAGATCATCAAAGAATTTTCCAAATATTATTAATCTATTTCAAATTGAAATCGATAAAAAAGAAAAAGAAATTGAAAAGAATTTAAAACAATTACTATTAAATGAAAAGAAATTAAATATAGACAATAATAATAAAAAACAACAGCAACAAAAAAAGAAAACAACCACCGAAATTTTAAATCAAAAAAATTTTCAAAATCAAGAAAGTATAAATAAAATCGAAAATCAAATTAAAAACAATTTATTAAATATTAAAAATGAACAAGAAAAAGATAATATTAATATTAATAATAATAACAACAATGATAATAATAATAATAATAATAATAATAATAATAATAATAATAATAATAATAATAATAATAATAATAATAATAATAATAAAAAGGCTACTGCAACTACAACAGCTGCAACAACTACAACGATTACAAACACCACCAACAAAAAAAATAAAAAGAAAAAAAATGGTAGTGCAAATAAAAATCAAGAAGAAACAAAAAAAGTTATAGTTGACACTTTACCAAAAACCAAAGAAACTTTGGATGAAAAAGCCACAAACAAAGAAAAACCAAATATTACTGACAATAATGATGAAAGTCTAGCTAATAATAATAGCAATATTGAAAATACAAATGTAAATAATAGTGTTAACATAGCTGGTATTGATAACAATTTAGAAATGAAACAACTAGAGCCAAATTTAACAGAAATACCATTGTCTCCTCAACAAATACAACAATTACAATTAAAACAACAAAAACAACAATTATATCAACAACAACACTATCAACAAAAATCATATAAAGAAGAATATACAGAGCTAGCCAATATTTATTTAGAGCAATCACTCAAGTATAAAGAAATGATGTTAAGATTGTCAGAAATTGAAAATTACTTTTCAGAATATAACAAAGCACTTTATGACAAAAACAAAAAAGCAGAGGCTTTAGGTTTAGGTATTGCAGAAATTTTAGGTTTGGGTTTGGAACATTTAAGCATGAGCCAATTAGTGGTTTTAGAAGGTATTCACAAAGATTCAATTGAAAGGATATCAAATACAAAACAAAATTTTAAATAATCCAACAACTATGGGAACAAATACAATTTAATAAAGTTTTTATTGTTTTTTATTTTTTATTACCCAAAAAAAATTTCTAACAAATGGTATTAGCCTTTATTATTTTTTCATTTATAGCCTAGTTAACAGTTTCCAAGGTTACAAATATTGACCCTTGGGAGAAGATGTCCAAATTTTTAATATTTAAAAAAATCTATAATAAAATTCTTTTTTTATTTTTATTTATATTTAAATATTTTTAAAAAAAAACAATGGAAAATTTAAATATTTTATTTTTTTTAATCCAAAACAGAAATATTTGAAAACATTGATTAAAAATTTAAAATAATTATTATTTTAAAACATAAATTTTTTATTTAAAAAACAAAAATTCTTCTAAATCCCCCAAAAAAATTAAAAAATTAAAAAAAATATTTATAAATTGCAAATTTTTTTTTTTTTTAAATTTAATATAATTTTTTTATTATTTAATAATGACAAATATAATAAACTATCAAAATATAATAGGAGAACAATTTAAAGAAAGTACAAATATTTATACAACCAAAGATAATAATAGCTCAGCATATAATAGTTTATTTTATGAATTTGATAAAATAATTAATAATATCAGAGACGGAGAAACATTTTATCAATGCTTTCTGCCATCATTAAAAGTTTATTTAGTCACAACTAATGAAACAATAAATAATGTTTCAAAGTTTATATCAAAATTTCTAATAACCTTAATAACTACAAGTAATAGTGTTAACAATAATAATAGCAATAATAATAAAAAGAAAATAGAAATTTATCAATTAACTATTGAATTTTTAATAAAAGTTTTGGAATCAAAAGACTCTATAGTTAGAATTAGATCACTACAGGTTATTAGTAATTTAATCAATGATTCAAACTTCAATATATCAATATTAGATGAAGAAATATTAAAAAATATAATAGAAAGAAGTCAAGATAGAAATTCAAATATTAGATTATTAGTGACAAATATTTTAATAAAAATTTTAAATATATATAAATCAATTAAAAATCATAATAGTCCAGATAAAAATAATGGCAACAATAAAAAAATAAACTATATAACCCAATCAATTTTAGAGTGTTTATTATATATATTAGAATCAGATCAAGTTTGGAATATTAGAAACAATATCTTTATAAATCTTCCCCAGTTTAAATACGAATTAGGAGAATCAGAGTTTTTAAATATAGTATTGGTCAGAACAAGAGATGTCAAAGATCAAATAAGATTAGAATCATTAAAGATATTATACAATAGTTTTAATTTAGAACAACTATCAAAAACTCAACTCATTCAATTATTGCACACATGTTCCAAAGATAAGAGTGAAAAGAATTTAGAATTCTCTTGTAAATTAATTAACAAATGGTTTTCATTACCCAAATCAAATAAAATCAGTATTAGAAATAATGAAGGTGAATATGAAATGATGGACTTATCCCAAGATATGCACACTGAAATCCCAACCCAAGAAGATGAAATTTGGCTCTACAGGTTTTTAGAATATTTTGGTGTCAAGGAGAATGAGGAAATTTTAACAAATGTTTTATGTATATTATTTAATCAAGGTATAATCAAAGAGTTCTCATTGGTTAAAAACAAAGAGGTAACCCTAGAGCAATCATTCTATTGTAAAGTTTCATGCCAATATTTAAGGTCCCTTAAAACTGAGGAAGCAGAGGAGCGCTTAGAGCTATTACTACCGACCCTAACCGAGTTAAGAGATATTTTATTTAACCATTTGGATGCTGACCATTTCACAATTGTCCAATTACTTTGCGTAATCGAATATTCAGATTTATCAGATGAAGCCGGAAGATCAAATATCCATATATTCCTTACCGAACTTTTAAAAGCACTAAATGATGAAGAGGAGGCTATTAACCAAACATTACGTTGTCTCTCGTTATTGCAAAGAGTAGAAAGAGAATTCATTGTATTTATAGTAGAAATAATTTCAGATTTTATAGAGCCATTAGAAGATGACCCAGAGATTGAAGAATATAGAAAGAGGATTCAAATTCTTGAAAAGAACTTTTCAAAATTCGAAAAGAAATCGCCAAATGAGGCAGAGAAGATTAAAAGTGCGATCACTATTTTGCAAGATAAAATTAATAACAAGCAAACAGAAACTCTTAAAAAGTGTTCATTAATCACCCACTACCTATTACTAAATGCAAAGAAGTGCTCAAATTCACCTGAAATAGATGGTCTTTTAGAGTTGGTTATTTTACCATCGATTCAACATATTTTACCAGAATTACGTAACATTGGTATTAAGAATTTAGGTATTTTTTGTTTACATAGAAAGGTATGTTGTATTTACTCTATTTTAATACTATATAAATTTTAAATAAAATATTAACTTTTTTTTTTTATTTTTATAAAATGCAGAAAGTAGCATTAAACTATTTGAAATTGTTTGAAAAGGTTATTGAAAATGATATCCAACAAGTTGCAATCACATGCTTAAAGGTTATATTTGATATTTTAGTAGTATTTGGTTCACCCAATCAAATACCAAAAGAAACCGAATCATTATATAAAATGATTAGAAAAACATTTACAAATATCAACAATAATAGCTTTAGTAAAAATACAGAAATTAAAGAAATTTTTATTCAAGGTTTTGTAAAGCTGTTGTACTCTGGTATTGTCTACGACCCAAAAATTTTAAAATATCTTTTGTTAGAACTATTTTCACCATCAACTGCAACCCTCTTAGAGCTAAGACAATGCTTACAATTATTTTTCCACACCTATTGCTCTGATGTAATTTTCAATAAGAAGCTGTTATTTGACTGTACAATGGGTGTATTCCAAACAATCCTTGACTCTCCACCCCAATCGCCCTACTCATCAATTCACTTGGTTGAGGTTGCTAAATTTATTATATTGTTATTGGATAAGCCCCTCAAATCATTCAATGGGTCCACAGACATGGTTATTAAAGATTTAGATTTAGAAGATTTCAAAGTAGAAGAGTGCCACGCTAAACTAGCACTAGCAATTTGCACAGAACTAGTTGCTAATTTTAGAGGTCAATCAAAAGAACTTACAAAACTATTGCCACTATTGAAAATAGATAATAATTTAAACCAATCGACATTAGAAAAGATTTTTGATCAATTAGAACTACTTTTTAATTATTATATCGATCCATTCTTAGAGAAGTTCAACTCTATTATCACCAAACTTTTAACGAAAGAATTTTTAGAGCTAAGATCACAACTATCACAATCTCAAAAGGGTTTAACCAACAGTGGTACCGCTGCACAAAGCAAAAAGAATGCATCAACACCCTCATCCTCTGCCAAAACAAAATCCCAACTCTTTAACACTCCAATGAAAAGACTTTTACAATCAACCAAATCCAGTCATGTAAAATCTGAAATTATTAATAACATTTCGAAATCAAACAAAGATCAAGCAAATCCCATCTTTAAAGATTATTTTAAGCAACAAAAAGGCTTATTAGAAAATGAAGTTGCAACAATAGATAAATCGACCAAATTAAGAAAATCAAAGAAAAAGAAATTAAAAATTCAAGACGATACAGTTGATAATGATCATGACATCAACGGCTCTTTAGAAATAACAACGATTTATAACTTTCCATTTTTACACAAAAGAAATGTTAATGACACTATTAATAATACTTCTGATGCAGAATCAGTTAGCAGTGGTGATAGTGGTAATGAAAAATCAATTACAAATCAAGATACCTCAAATTTAACAAATAATATGGATATTTTAAATAATTTTAATATTAATATAAACAAAGCCAACGATAGCAATAATAATTTCGATAAAATTAATAATAATATAGATAATAATATAGATAATAATAATAATAATAATAATATAGATAATAATAATAAATCAATTCTTAAAAAGAAAACCAATAGAAATACCAACCAAAAGAAAGTTAGATTTTTAAATGCAACTCCATCCAATAATAAAACCTAGCTATAATTATTTTCCTTTTTATTGTACACATAATCAAAAAAAATAAATCTTTTTTTTTTTATTTTTTTTTTTGACAATTAATTTTGTTTTTTTCTTATTGCATAATTTAAACGAAATATTTAAATTAGGAATATAAAAATAATAATTTATTAAAGAATCTATTAGTTTTTCCAAATTGGAGATTATTGTTTATTTTTTTTTCTTTTTTTTTTATAATAATAAATTTTTAAAAAATTTTTTAATACATATTTTTTTAATTAAAATGGAAACAAATAATAATAACCAAGGTATAAGTAAAAATACCCAAGAAAAAGATGAACATTTTTCAAAAATGGGGAACCTTCAAGAAAATAAATCCACCAGTAAAAAAGAAAAGAATGAAAATGTAAATAATAATCATATTAAAGAAAAATCAGAAAAAACAAGTAATATATTATTTTATTTTTTATATATTTATTGTATATATTTCTAATTTTATTTTTTTATTTTATTAAAAGAGAACACTAGATTATTGGCCAATAGAATAGTTCAAATTAGGATTATCAAAAAAAGGGTTTTTTGGCAACCAGAAATATACTACAGTGTCGGTGTAAGAATTAGTGGTAGTTTAGTACTAGCAAGCAATGATCACTTTATTAATTTTCAAGAAAAGAGCACCACAATAGAAATTGGTGTTTCGAATGAATGGCACAAAGGAACACTTATAGACACTACCGATCCATTAGAACCTACTGATTGTGCTTTATTATCCATCAATGACCTAGACGAACAACAAAGCCAATGTGAAACCCTCCCAGTCTATAAAAAAAAAAATTGTTTAAATTGGGAGATCATTTATTTTGATTTTCCAAACTCTAGATTGCCACTAAACGCATGTGTTAAAGACAAGAATTTTAAAGAACTTAAACCTCTATGTCCCTCGGTATTCTCTGGAAGAGTCTCTTATTTCGATGAAAATACTCTGGAGGTAGCTTTAAATGGAACAACAATTAACGAATTTGAAAATAAAAGTAGAGTTATTTTCAGTGGTAATAATGGAGAACTATATGGTATTCTCAGAAAGAAACCAAACAACTATTACTATAACACAAATGTTTTATATTGCACCAAAGGTTCAGCAATTAAAGCTTGGGTTGATACAACCTTAAAGAAAAATGAATATCCACCACTATGGGATAAACCAGTTAATTTCAATTAATAATTTTTTCATATATTAGAATCTTTTTTAGTTTAATCATAGTTTAAATAAAAATAAAAGATAATATCTTTTCATTTTTAATTTTTTTTTTATATTTTTTTTTTTTTTATTAAATATAGGTCAATTTAAATAAATTAACCTTTCAAAAATTAACAAAAAGATATTGATTTTGCATATAATACACTGACATCACACAACATCAAATGACTTTGTTGTAATTCCATATGTATCACCACAAACCTCAAGTGACCCTTTTGTTTCGTTTGCAATTTCTTTCGAAACTGAAGATTTAAAATGCAGTTATTCTAAAACTTAAAAGTTTTCGATACCGCATATAAAAAAGATTTAGTGTGTAATAATTTTTTATAAAATTTGATAATTTATTAATAACGGTTATGGGTGGAAAAATAAAAAAAAATTTAAAAAAAAAAAATTAAAAAAAAATTAAAAAAAAAAACTCTATTAAAGCTATAATAAGATAGTTATTTTAGTTTTATTATAAATTTATTCTTTTTTTAAATTTTATAGAAATAAAAAATTTAAGGGTTAGATTTAAAAAAAAAAAAAATTATTTAAAGTTTTATTATTGTTTAATAATATTAGTTTAAACAATTTATACTATATGTTGATTATTTGTAAATTTGAAATAGAATTGTTTTGTGTCGAATAAAAATTCTTTTACATTATTAACAAAGCCACGGTTATACATTGCAAAATCTAAATGTTGGTTTTGGAATGATTTATCAATAGACTTGTTTTCAGTGGAGCTATTACCAGCGGCATTACTTGCGTCACCACCATGAGCATGATTGCATTCAGCACCGCCACCATGGGAATGTCCGTGACCACCATGAGCATGACTTGAACCTTCTTTTTGTTGTCTTTCAAACTCTCTAATTTGTAAAATTTGTTCGTAAGTTGTTCTATTAATGACAATTGAAATAATTTGAGCGAGACCTAATTTACCAATCCAAAAACTCATTAAAATACCATAGATAGCATACATCAAAATGAATGTATGATAAGTATAAAAGTATTTAAATGAATCCCAATAGCCATCTGAAAGCTTTGGTGCATTTGCATCATAGGTGAAATAATCCTTAACTGTAATAAAACCTGAAACTACCAAAATAACATATGAAAATAATACTGTAATAAATAAAGCTTGATTGTTGATTCTAGAATGTGTAAAAAAAAAAGAAAATTAATATTAAATTTTTTTTTTTTTTTTTAATTTTTATATAATTACCCAACACAATTACCAATCCAAACACAATGATGATCGAATCTTCCAACACACATTTTACAAGTTGGACAATGTTTTGAACGAATGGGACGATTGATTAAGCATGATGGACAAATAAGAGGTAATTGACGATTTTCATTAAGGCACTCCATAAAGGTTTGGTTTGATTGTTGTTTTGATAAATGCTTTGAAACTGAACCTGGGTTTTCTTTGGTTAGTTTTATGAAATAAATGAAAAAGAACCAGGCCATAGAGTTTACAATTAAATGTGGAACCATATTAATAGCCATTACCAATGGAGCAATACGCATAATATAGGCCATATACCATAACATTACAGAGGCATATAAAGTAGTTGGGAGGAACCAATTATTTCTTTCTGAAATCCAGTAATTATATTGTAAATGTTTAAAAATAAAGAAACCGCAACCACCAACCAATGGATATGCAAAAATAGCTGGGAAATTACAAATTACCGCAGTTGGAACTAAAATTGTCATGATACCCACAATGATCCAAAATTGGTCATATTTTTCAACTGAACCACCAAATAATTTGTCATCTTTTAACTTTGTTTCAATATATTTTACAATATCATCGTGGCCCTTGCTTATGGCTAAGTCGATAGGCATATTACCATTTGTATCTTTATGTGCATTAATTTGGCAATCTTCAAATGAACAAAGTGTTGTTACAACCGACTTATGACCTTTCATACAAGCCCAATGTAATGCAGTTCTTCCTGTTGAATCCAAAAGATTTATATCTACACCCATACTAACAAAGAATCTTGCCATATTTGAATGTCCCTGAAATGATGCCCAATGAACAGCGGTGTGACCTTGAGAATCTTTACATTGTACTGATAAACCCTTTTCTATTAAATAACGTACTGAATGAATTTGATTATATTGTGCTGCGTGTAATAGTGCATTATAACCTCTTTTATCTGTAACATGAATATCTGCTCCACCTTCTACCAACTGATACACAAACGATGAATCTGCTTTAATGCATGCCCAATGTAATGGTGTGTGACCTTCCTCTTCATTTTGAATATCTAAATTTGCTCCGCTATCAATTAAATAACTAACCATCATTTTCTGTTTTCTCATAATTGCATAATGAACTGATGTATTTCCTTCTAAATCTTTTAAATTTATAATTTGTTTTAATGTTATTGGTTGTTGCTTATAATTACTTTTTGATTTAAATTCATCGTGGTCACTTGGTGCTTCGTCATCTTGTTGACTATTTTGTGAGTCCATTATAACTTGAATAAAATCTCTATATTCTTGAATATCACCGTTTTTTGCAATTTCTAACAGTACTAATACAAAATTGTATGGTACTAATTGTGTGTATGGTACATTACTTTTTCTGATACATTGAAGTGCCCATCTTTCCAATAAACCTTTATATTGATCTTGAAATACTTGGGGTACCTTTAACATTTGATTTGGTGTTACAATTTGAAGAAATGGAATATCTTGTTCTTGACTCAACGGTCTATATGCATGTGTTTGTGGTTTGGGTGGGGGTAATTCACCATCACTATTTTCCATAACATGTTCTCTTGGTAACATTTTTTAAAAAAATAAAAATAAAAGAAATAAAGATTTCTTTTTTTTTTTTATATCTATTTATAAATATAAATTAAAACAAAAAAAAATTAAAATAAGCAATAAAAAATAATAAATAAAAAAAAAAAAAAAAAAAAAGGAAAAATAAAATTATTTTAAAATAATTGAAATTTTTTTTTATTTCGGTTATTTCTTAGTTTTTCGAAAATATCTTTATGGTTGTCTTTTTAAATATTTTTTTATTTATTAATTAATAAATAAAAGTAATTATTTAATTATTTTTGAATAATTATAAACCTATTTGGGTTCATTGATACACATAAAATGATATTTTTTTCTTGGAACTCTTTTTAAAAAAATTTTTTTTTAAATTTTTTAAATTTTTTTTTGTTAATTTTATTATAATTTTAATAAATTTCATTTATTTTAAAAAATAAAATAATCTATACAAATAATAAAAACAATATAGGCAAATAATAAATAAATAAAATGGGAAAGAGAGACATACAAACTTTAGACACAGATACAAATAATCAAAACAATAATACTAATAATTTGGATAACAATAATAAAAAATTAAAATCAGATGAAACTTTAGACTATTCAGTATTTGTATCACCTATTGGAAAACTACTAGTTTATGCAAATACTTTTTCGATTGTTAAAATTGTATTGGATGGTTCTGCAGTTGATTCATTAAAATCAAATAAAAGCTATACAGAAAATAATAAAAACAAAATAATTTTACAATTTAAAAATGAGATTGATGAATTTTTTAAAGGAACTATTAAAGAATTTAAGACTCCATACAGTTTAGAATATGGCACCGATTTTCAAAAAGAGGTTTGGGCGGAATTATTAAAAATACCCTATGGCGAAACTAGATCATATGCCGAAATTGCTGTAAATATTGGCAAGGGAAAAAAATATGCAAGAGCAGTTGGTAAGTAATAGATTTTTTAATTTTATCTATTTAATTTATTTATATTAATATATTTCAATTTTTATTTTTTTATTTTTTTAAAGCATCGGCATGTCGTTTTAATAATCATTTACTGATTATTCCTTGTCATAGAGTAATTTCCTCCCAAGGGTGTGTTGTTGGCTACAGTGGAAAGAAAGGAATTGATAAACAATTTATAATCTCAAATGTCGAGAAAAAATTCAAAAATAAATAAAAATCAATTTCAACCAACCAATTTTATTTTACATCAATAAAAAATTTATTTATTTTTTAAATTTAATAAAAAATAAAATCCGGATTTAGTAAATAAAAAAATAAATTTTTATTTTAAAAAAAAAAAAAAAATTATTCCTTTGAGCAACAAAATAACCAAATAAAATCAATGACCCAAACAATTTTTTTTTTTTTTTTCCAAACATAAAAAAAGTAACCATCATATTGAATAAAAACTAATTTTAATTAAAAATCTTTTTTTTTTTTTTTATATTTTTAATTTAAAATATATAATATCATTGAAGCACATTATCTTTTGTATTAAAATAAATTTAAAATAAAAGGTCACTAAAAAACCAAAAGATGGTTTTATTTATTTGAAAAATATTTAAAAAAAAAAAAAAAAAATTTTTATAAATAAATTTTTTTTTAAAATTTTTTTTTTTTTATTTTTTAATTTTTTTTTTTTGTTAAATTTTTTTTTATACAAGATTACTGCTTGGTAAACACACTAAACTCGAATTCCCTATATAATTTTTATTTTTTTTATTTATTTATTTATTTATTTTGTATTTTAGATTAAATCAAAAAAAAAACACACAAACTCTCTATTTATTTTTATTTATACCAAAAACCCCACACATCAAAAAAAAAAAAAAAAAACCCACCCCTTTTTTATTACCTTACACGAAAATGTTTTTTAAAAAAAAAAAAGATACCAAAGATGATTCACCACAACCACAAGCATCGATAACTATGTCAAATAGTACATCAAGCAATGGTTTAATTAGAATTGGCTCTGTTCCAGGCGGCGCTTCAACCGAACAATTAGATCAAATTGCTGTAAGTAAAATTTAATAGTTTTTTTCTTGTTTTTCAAGAAAATTATTAATAAATATTTTTTTTTTTTTTTTTTTTTTTTAATCTGAAGCAAAATAAACAAAAAATTCCATCATTATTTAGATTATTAGCAGAGCATAAGTTATCAGAAAAGGAAATTTGGGAAGGTGATCATATGTTATTTTCAATTTTATATCAATTCAAAGAACATTTAAATAAAAGTAAGTCATTTAGTAACAATATATTAATAGTAATTTAATAAATAAATAATATATTAAAATAATATTAATAATTTTTTCTTTTCCCCCTTTAAATTTTTTTTTTTTTTAAAAATAGCTGAATCACCACCAAATATTATTACATTCCATTTACCTTCATTACCAGAATTTGGAGATATTAAAAAGAAGTCATATAAAATTAATAAGAAGTTTACAATTTCACAAGCTATCAGTTTAATTTGCAAGAAGCAAATGATTCCTGATCCAAAAAGATTTTGGATTGGATCATTACAAGGTTTTATAATGAGTGACAATGAAACTTTGGCTTCATATGGTTTAAGTAGTCTTTTTGAATCATGGGAACTTAGATTGATTCTCAAAGAAGATATTTTATCAAAATCACCATATAGATGTAAGTACACAATAATATAAATTGTAATAAAAAAAGAACTAAAAATAGAGATATTAATTTTTTTTTTATTAGATCAACCATTAGAATCAATTGGCACAGAATTTATTGTTGTTTTTGAATTACCACCATTGGAACAATTCAATGGATTAAAGAAACATGTTGTAAAAGTAGATTCAAATACTACAATTAAACAATCAATAACAAGTATTTGTAAGAAATATAGAGTCGAAAACCCAGATAGATTTTCAGCAATGACCATTGATGAAAATCCATTAGTTGAATTTGTACTTTTTGGAGGTGCATGCTATAAACACTACGGTTTAGGATTTAAATTTAAGAAATGGGACCTCAAGATTGTATTCAATGATTTAATTCCACCATACGTTCACAGACATACTGTTATCCCAATGCATGGTTGGACTCAAGTATCACCAGGTCAACTCGATCCATTTACAGCTCGTACTATTATCAATGATCTCGAAGGTAAATGTCAAGAATATCAAGCTCATATTACTAAATTAAATCAAGATATCGAAGGTGGTAATCAAGTTTCTGCTGCTCATGTACAAGAGATTGAACGTCTTCGTGAAGAAATTAAACGTCTTAATCAAATTATTGAAGAAGAACGTGAAGCTACACAACAACAAAATGAAATTTATGAAGGTCGTATCTCTGCTGGAAATGCTGAAATTGAAAATCAAGTAGGTCAATTAAAACTTATGAGAGGTAAATTTGATGATGTTTCACATCAACTCAACTCACTTAAAGCAGTTCATGAAGAATTACAAAGTTCATACAATATCTGTAAAGCTGAAAAAGAATCATTAGAAGCTCAACTCAGTGAAACCAGCGTTGAGGTCGAGGAATTTAAACTCAAACTTTCCACCGCTAAAGCCTCTGCTGTAGAATCTGAACAAAACTTTACTGCTATGATTGCCACATTAGAAAGAGAAAAAGCTTCAATTAAAGACGAGGTCTTACGTGTTATTAACGAAAAAGCTGACACTGAAGAAAGTGCAAAGGCTCTTCAAGCAAACCAAGCTCTTGTTGTTACCCAACTTCAAGGCGATATTTCATCATTAAGAAGAGAAAGTGAATTAATGAATCTTTCATTACAAAAAGCCACTGTCGAGCGTAAAGAGGCAGTTGTTCTTCAAGAAAGAGCCGAAAAGAAAATGGTCGAAATGCAATCCGAAAAGAAGCGTGTCGAAAGACAATTTGGTGACCTCGAAAGAGAAAGAGATGTTCTCCGTCAACAAGTTCAAATTAAAGTCGATGAAATTGCTGATGTCCAAAAAGATTTAGAATGGTCACGTGAAACTGTTGCTGATCTCGAAAGACGTCTTGTCAATCTCACCGGTGAATGTCAAATGTTTAAAGATATTAAAAACAAAGAAGTCGAAAAGAATAAGAAATCAAATGTTGAAGAAAGTAAAACAAAGAACGAACTCGAACAAGAAAAACAAAAAACTCTTAATATCCAAACTCAACTTCAAAAGAGAATCCACGATCTCGAATCAAAACAAAAGAATCAAGAGAATGCTTTTAGAAATGCAGAACAATCATTCAAGAAGCGTGAACTTGATCTCGCAAAAGAAATGGAGGAATATCGTGAAAAATATGAACAACTTCGTCAATCAATTTCAAATGGTTCAATTAAAGAGGGTGCAAAAGTCGAAACCCTTCCACCATCATCTGTATCAAATCTTGTATCAAATAATAATAGAGAATCATTAGTAACTTCACCCATTTTATTAAATAATGGTACTAATTCAAATACCAAAGAGCAAATTAGCCCAGATCAATCATCCGACGCACCACCAAAAGATTTTGCTGTCGTAGCTGATGGTCTTTATAAATCACTTCAAAATCGTTTCCAAACTACAAATAAAGAAGGTGTAGAAGAATTAGAATTATCCGAAGAAGATAGCTATTAAAATAATTATCAAAAAAATATTTATTCAAAATATAATCGCAATTATGCAGTTACAAAAAAAAAACTAATAAATCAACCCCCCTTTTTATTTATTTTTAAAAAAAAAATTTTTAATCAAATAATTTATTTTATTTTATTTTATTTTATTTTTTTATTATTTTTTTATTATTTTTGACCAAATAATTACTTTTTTCACGACTTTTTGATCACTCTTAAATCTCAAAACTAAATAAGTTGATTCATCTTAATTTTTTTTTTTTTTTTTTTTTTTACAGTTTAATTATAAAAAAAAAAAAATAAAAAAAAATAAAAAAAAATAAAAAAAAATAAAAAAAATAAAAAAAAAAAAATAGTTTTTTTTTTTTTTTTTTAAAATTTTGTGTAATTTTTTTTTAATTTTTTTTAATAGCACACATACAATTGGTATATCACACGCTCAAAAATACAATACCACACACATCCCCCCACCAATAGATTAAATTTGTTCTATAAAAATTATTAAATAATCACAAATTTTTTTATTTATTTTGATTTAAAAATATAACACACAATCATCATAATTTTGATATAAAAAAAAAACAAAAAAAAATCAGCTAGTAAATCAATCAAATTCTATAGAACTATACCACACTACACCAACACACATTCACCACACACATATTTCCATATATACATATTCTATATGAATAAAAATTATTATTAATTCAATCACAAGTAGAATAATAGATCTAATTTTATATAAAATACACATATATATATACTCACACAACCACACAATCTTTTTTATATAAAATCCTCAAAAAGTATAGGTTTTTTTTTATAGAGAAAGAAAAGCAAAAAAAAAAAACTTTTTTAATTAAATTTTTTTTTTTGTTTGTATTTTTTTTTGTTTCATTATTATTTATTATATTTTCTCTCTTATATATATTTAGATTATTTTTCAATAGTATTATATAAAATAATAATAATATCAAAATAAAATTGCAATACAGAGAGCATCAACAGCAACATCTTTACACAAAATACTTTTTTAAAAACAAAAAATAAGGAATTAGAAAAGACAATGAAACATAGTAAGTTAGTTTTATTATTTTTATAAAATCAAAAAAAAAAAAAAATCAAAAAAAAAAAAAGAAAAAAATAAAATTTTTTTTGTAAAATGGATTTTTTGTTAAAACAATATTTCTCAAACAATCCTCTTTCGAAGGTTTTGTTTGTGATTTTATTTAAATACACAAAGTTTTCTTTAAAATTTATTTAAAACTATTTTTTTTTATTTTTTTTTTTTTTTATAATAATTTATTTAAATTATAGATCTTTTAGCTATTATTTAAATGTGGTTTATATAAAAAATATTTCAAAATTTAATACTAAATTTAAAAATTAAAATAAAAGTTTAATAGGTACAACAACTATAAAATACACACACACAAATAAAAAATTAAAATTAAAAAATCAACACTGCAAAATATATGTAAAAAAAACAATATACAATAAATATAAAATCAAAAAATGTATTCAAATAGTAATAATAAAGATGAAGATATAAAATATAAAAGAAATGATATGGATGTATTTTCATTATTGGAATCTATAGAGAACGATTCATCACGATTAATTTTTAAAAATTCAAATGGATTATCGTCATCAGGGACAACTTTGTATAGACCACCAATAGAAGATTTTGAAGAAGAGATAAATTTAAAAGAACAAGAGCAAAAATTAATCGAGTTACGTAATGAATTGGCAAATACATTAAATAGTTCTTCATCATCCTCTTCCTCAGCATCTATACAGGGAAATAATGCGGTTTCAAATGATAATAATAGTAATAATAATGATAGTGATAATAATATAGATATAAATAATGGTGATGATAAATTAATAATAGATAATAATAGTTGTAGTAGCAGTAATATAGGGAACACTACAGAAATAGATAACACAGAAAATAAAATTATAAATAACACAGAAAAATCATCCTCCTCGTCATCCTCAAGTAGTAATATTAATATACTTCCTGTAAATTTAACACCAAAAAAACCAAATCTTTATATAAATACAAACTTTTCAAATAATGACGATGAAGAAAAAATAGTTCAAATTTCTGGGCCATCAACTCCTCCAATACCTTTAGATTCACCATTAAATTTTGCTTCATTAGAATCATTTGGCCAAAAACAACCAGAGTTAATAAAAGAGCAACCACAATTAGAAGAAAATAAAAACAATAGTAGTGAAATTAAGAACAATAGTAATATTATAATTACAGTAAACGATAGTGATAGTGATAATGTAACAGCAATAACAACAACCACAACTATAATACCAAAACCAACTTTATCAACTCCAACAACTCCATCATCTACTATAAGGGTTAATGGTATTGGTACAACACCTGGGCGATCATCAAGTAGCGGTTTAATTAATCATAAAAAATATGATGAAACAATAGATCCAAGTTTCTTTTTAAGTACAGCAAGCATTGGTCTTAATCGTTTAAGAAGCAGTACTGGTGGTAGTTTAAGTAATAGTGGTAATGTTAGTCCATCAGGCCCAACTCCAATTTTAGCAACATTATTTCAAAAACATAACTCGAAAACAGATATATTAAAAGGGTCATCAGATTCAATAAATAATGGTGGTAATAATATAGTTAATAATAATAATACTAATAATAGTGGTTCAAATAGTTTAAATAGTAGTAATGGAATAGTATTAAATAATAATAATAATAATAATAACAACAACAACAACAATAATAATAATACTGTTATAAATAATGGTTATGGTAGTTTAGGAAAAAATAATAATATAAATAATAATATAAATAATAATAATAGTAGTATAAATGATTTATCGGAGCAAGTTTTATTAGCAAATATGGATAACCCATTTAGTAGTATTCCAGGAAGAATAAAGAAAAATCTGGATACTAGACGTGGTGCAACTATAGCAAATCCTCAACAACTTACCAGTTTAATTAGATCAGGTAATACAGCAAAGCTTCAAAAGTTTTTTGGTTTAGAAAAAGAGGATATTTTGGCCTTAAATCTTATGCAACAACAACAGCAACAAAACCAGCAACACCAAAGTCAGCAACAACAATATCATCGTAGTAGTCACAGTAGTGGTGGATCATCACCAATTAGTATTTCGAGTAGTTCATCACCATTATCGGCATCACCAAACGCCTCTCCACCATCATCTCCAATGTTATCCTCATCGCCCTCATCATGGATTTCAGGTACTTCACCAGCACGTAAAATAAGAGGAAGATCTTCAACATCCGGTAGCTTTGTAGAGAACCTCCCAAGAATTCCAAATATTCCAAATATTTCAAATATTGGAGGTGGTCAATATAATACTACTCCACCACTTTTACCATCACAAACTGAACATACTAAATCTCCAAAAGATTATCACAAAAAACCAAAACAATTAATTGCTAAGCTCTTAAAGAATAACTCGATGTATATAGAAAAAGAAAAAGAAAAAGAAAGAGAACGAGAAAGAGAAAGGGAAAGAGAGAAAGAAAAAGAAAGGGAAAGAGAGAGAGAAAGAGAGAAAGAAAGGGAAAGGGAAAAAGAAAGTAAAATAGATATCAAATATTTAGCATCAGGTCAATTATATCTAGATAACAATTATAACAGTCATCATAATAATAGTGGAAATAATACAGCATCATCATCACCAACTTCAAATCAATTAGCCGATGGCAGTTTTGTTTTATCAGCAAGTTCAAAAGAATCATTGGGTGCCTTAATGAAAGATCGTCCAGCTTATGAAATGTTCAAAATCTTCCTTAACAAAGAGAATCGTTTATCTAATATACTATTTGTCGAAGAAGTCGAAATTTTTCAAACTGGTGTTTTCAATAATGATCAATCTGTTCAAGAGGAAATGGAACGTATTTTCTATAAGTTTGTTTCTGAAGGTTCAGATTTCGATATTAATATTCCAAAACGTTATTTCTACCAAATTAATCATCATATCAAAGAAAAGATCCCCAACAAATATGTCTATGAAAAAGTTTTAAAGGTTATTAAAGATGAAATTTCCTCAGATTCATTCAAACGTTTCTGCTCAATGAATGGGAATAATAGTGTTAGTTCACCATTATCTGTTGTAAATAGAGTTCCAAGTCATAGTATACTTCGTCATAATTCAATTAGTCGTAAATCTCCACATCATTCAAATTCTCCTTCTCCATCATCATCACCACCTGATTCTTACACTACAAATCAACCAATTATTTATAATGGTTCACCAAATTCATCACCTCAATCTGATAACACAAACATTGGTAATAATAATAATAATAATAATAATGGTCACTATCACCACCATCACCATCATCATAATAGTAATCCACCAAATTTAAATCTTTCAACTGGTTTTAATAGTCCCCCACCATCACATATATCATCACCACCATTATCACCACGTCTTTCAATGATAAGACCACATTTCCTAAAAGATTTAAAAACACTTCAAAATACAATTTCACAAGAACAAGAACTTTTAACTGAAACATTAGATGAATTAATACCCTATGGTGTTGCATTTGGATTCAAAAGAGGTTCATGTAAACCACCATGCGATTGTCTTGCCTACCAATCTGAGGGAGATAAAGGTGGTGCCTGTTTAAATTGTGGCCATTATCCTGCAGTTCATAAAAATTTAGGAAAAATTAATCCAAGTGAAAATAATATTATTTTAAATCAAAATAGCGGTATAAATAACAATAATAGTTATAGTAATAGTAATAATAATAATAATATTATTATAAATAATAATCATAATAATAATAATAATAATAATAATAATAATAATAATAATAATAATAGTATAAATAATAATTTAGAACAAATTGGTTTATTACCAAGCACATTTTTATCATCAAATTCATCGAATAAGAGCGCCTCATCATCCAATCATTTTGGAAATGATGGATCATTTTTTAATAATAACCCTGTAAATATAAATTCTAACAATCAAAATTTATCCAATAATCTAAATAATAATGTAATACCAACAATTCCAATAATAACACATACATTACCAACATCAACAAACAATACATCAGCTTTAACAACACCAACTATAACTTCATCAAACCCACTTTCATTTTCAGATATTGTAAATAGCAATAGTTTTATGAACCAAACCACCTCACCAATCAGTTATAGTACAGGTACAGGTACAGAAATTTCAATACCACCACCACCAATCATTACAACAACACAGTCATCCGCAAGTTTATTTAATGATAGTCCATTATCATCACCAAAACGTATGCATTTCCATAGTGGTCTTGGAAATGGTGATCTTAAATCAACTGGTTCACAAAATGACTCGCTTGCAATTTTACAAAAATTAATTTCAAATGGTGGTTCATTAAAAAATGCAATTTCTAGCTTTAATAATAACCGTAATTCAGTTTTATTAACTTCCAATAGCAATAATAATGAAGCCAACAGTGATATTAGAGAGGAAATTAATGAACTAAATGAAAATATAAAAAATTTAAATTATGATCCACTTAAAGAACCATATCAACAAGAAGAAAGCTTTACCCCAAGTACAAATAATAATAACAATAACAATAACAATAATAATAATAATTTGAATAATAATAACTATAGTAATGGTTTAAATGTAAATAGTATAAATAATTCAAATTCAAGATCATTTAGAGGCAACAATCCAACTATTAGCCAAGAATTAGATACCAAAGTTTTAATGAATTTCAATAATTGGGCAATTGATGGAGAGGAAATTGTATTCTTTAATAAGCTTGGTGAAGGTACGTCAGCAAAAGTATATAAAGCAACATGGCGTAATCAAGAGGTTGCTGTTAAAGTATTACGTTCAGAACCAGAATCACAAAAGTTATTAGATTTCCTTAAAGAATTAGAAATTATGTCATCTTTAAGATCACCACATGTTGTATATTTCTATGGTATGGTATTAGACCCAAAGATTTGTATGATTATGGAATACTGTTCAAACCAAACACTTTACCATTTAATGCATCTACAAATGAACTTTACATGGGACTGGGTATTTAAATTTGCAATCGAAATGGTCAGAGGTATTAACTGTTTACATAGCTGGAAACCAGTTATTGTCCATCGTGATCTCAAATCTTTAAACCTCTTAGTATCTGATAATTGGACCATTAAAGTTGCCGATTTTGGTCTTAGTCGTTTTGCAACCGCAAAATCATCATCAAGAACTACCCGTGGTACCTTTGCATATTGTGCACCTGAAGTATTTTATGGTATTCATACAACAAAAGGTGATATTTTTTCAATTGGTATTATTTTGGTAAATATTAATTTATTAAATCAAAGGAAAAAAAAAAAAAAAAAAAAACATACTAATTTTTTAAAATTATTTTTAAATAGTGGGAATTGGTTGTTAGATGTATTAAATCAAAATATGAAAAACCATTTTCAGAGTATAAGCATATTCACTATGATTTCCAAATACTTGTACAGACATCAAAATACAATATAAGACCAACAATACCTCAAAATTGTCCAGAATCATTTATAAATTTAATATCTAGCTGTTGGGATAGTAATCCAGAGGTATGTATTTTTGATTATACAATAGTCACATAGTATGAAAATAATAATTTATTAATATTTTTTTTTTTTTTTATATCAGAATCGTCCAAATTGCCCCGAAATTTTAGACTCATTACTCGAAATGGAAAAGAAATATACAGAAAACAAAAGAAAATGGGAAAAAATAAGAGAAAAGCTAAAGAAATAATTGTATATTGGATAAATAAATAATATAACTTTTTTTTTTTATTTAAAATTAAAGATTGAATCTTTATTTAAAATTTTTTTTTTAATTTTTTTTTGGGTCCCAAAAATAAATTATTTTTTTTTACAACTTTTTGTTGTTTCCAAAATTAAAAAATTTTTTTAATTTTTTTTTTTTTTTAATTTTTTTTTTTATATTCACACAATAAGTTTGTTTTTTTATTAACCTTTCTTTTTGATGATTAACGATCACTTCCAAATTTATTTGTAAAAAAAAAATTAAAAAAAATAATTAAAAAAAAACTTTAAAACACACACAAAAGATTTAATTTTATTTTTTTTTTTTTTTTTTAAATTTTTTTTCTTTTTTAATTCAAATTTTTAAATTAATTTTTTTATTTTTTATTTTTATACAATACAATTTAAATATATATATATTGATAAATGGATAATAACACATTTGATAAATTATTTTTTTTAGTTTGGAGAAACTTATATATAAGAACCCAAATTTCAGAACAACTAAAACAATTCCTGTATAACAATATAGATTTTATTTCAAGAGATGAGTTTATTAGGTTCAGAAAAAAAGAATATTTATTACATGTAACATTGGAATTTAATGAAGAGTTATATAAAGGTGATTTGTCAGAATCAATTGAAATACTGGAATTTGGTAACAATTTCGATAAGGAGCTACAAGAAGGTGTCATTCCAATGTCGGTAAAAAAATTAAAATTTGGTACCCGTTTTGATCAGTATTTAAAAAAAGGTGACATTCCGCCATCAGTAAAAATATTAACATTTAGCGATTTTTTCAACAAAAGGCTTAAAAATGGAGATATTCCACCCTCGGTTAGATTTTTAGAATTTGGTTACCGTTTCAATCACAAGCTAAACCCAGGAGATATTCCACCATCTGTTCAAAAACTAATATTTGGTTACAATTTCAATCAAAAACTCAAAAAAAATGATATTCCGCCATCGGTCAAGTTTCTAATACTTAGTAAAAGCTTTAACCAGCCTCTAGAACCAGGTCATATCCCATCCTCTGTTAAACTATTATCATTTGGTTATGATTTTAATCAAAAGATTAATGAAGGCGATATTCCATCCTCTGTTAGGGTACTATCATTTGGTACCAATTTCAATCAAAAGCTTAGCCAAGGCGTTATACCCGACTCTGTAGAGACTCTATCATTTGGCTATAATTTCAACCAAGAGTTTAATCAGGGCGATATTCCATCCTCAGTACTATCCTTGGTGTTAAATAATAATTTCAACCAACCCCTAAAAGTTGGTGATATTCCAGACTCAGTTAAAGCTTTAACATTTGGTGAACGTTTCAATCAACCACTTATTCCAGGAACCATTCCATGCTCAGTAAATATTTTATCCTTTGGTTACTTTTTCAATCAGGAACTTAAAACCGATGTTATCCCAGCTTCAGTTGAAACATTAATATTTGGAAATAATTTTAATCAGCCCCTTAAAGAAGGAGATATTCCATCATCTGTAAGGAAACTAACCTTTGGAAATAGCTTCAACCAACCATTAAAAGCAGGAGACATTCCACCATCTGTAAGGTTTTTAGAATTTTGTAACGAATTTGACCAAGAACTTAAAGAAGGTGATATCCCATCATCTGTTAAAATATTAATATTGGGTCACAAATTTAACCAAACACTTAAAGCCGGTGATATCCCATCCTCTGTTAGATCACTAACATTAGGTTTTAATTTTAATAAACCAATCAAACCAGGAGATATACCACTCTCAGTTGAAAATTTGACATTAAGTAATAAATTTAATCAAGAAATCAAAGAAGGCGATATCCCATCCTCTGTTAAAATCCTTACATTTGGCTTTTCCTTTAACCAGCCACTAAAAAAAGGAGATATACCACTTTCTGTTAAAAAATTAACATTCGGTGATTGTTTCAATCAAGATCTTAAGGAATATGATATTCCATCCTCTGTTGAATATCTAAAATTTGGTGCTCGTTTCAACCAACAAATTAAAGCAACTGATATCCCACCATCTGTAAATACCCTTTGTTTTGGTAATTGCACTCCACTTGTTTTTGAGAGACCACCATTATCAAAATAAAAAATAAATTCACGGTAAACCAAAAATAAAAAAGTTTTGAAATTAAAGTTATTTTTAAAATATATTTATTTTTTTATTATTTTTAATATTTATACATTTAATAAAATAAACTATTTATATAGTAAATTCAAAGTTTTATTTTAAATTATGTAAATCCACTTATATAATATTCATCTTATTTTATTATAATAGATAAAGGTTTTATTTTTTGTACAATTTCAAATAAAAAGAACAATTTCAAATAAAAAGAATACAACATGAAGGAGGATCTCTAATCTCCAGAATAAAAACAAAAATACAATATTTTATTTTTTATACTTCATTTTAATTTTTTTTCTTATCATTTTCATTTTAAAAAAAAAACTAATAATATTAAGTATAAAAATGTTGTATTTTATATATTTTTTTTTCTTTAATTTTAAATAAAAAGAGGCACACCTTATAATCTCTGAAATAGTGCGATACAGAGCGAATGTATGAAGAAAACTAATTAATGACATGCACTAATTATAAATGTTCTCTTGCCCTCTATAATAAATTAGTTAATCATATAATGACACCACTTGGGCATCAGAAAGAGATTAAGCTTTCTAGAACAGATACTACACATGATCAAAGCCAGGGCTTTTAAGAAGATCATTGGTCACACATTGTTTTTTAGGCAACATGTGACAATTTGAATTTGATTTTTTGTTCCCATTTAACCATTATTAATAAAAATAAAATTTATGGTATTTTTAAAATTATTTTTATTATTCTATTGTTGAATTTATTTAAATTAAATTTAACATAAACCATTGTTGAAATTTTTTTATTAAAATTAAAAAAAAAATAAAAAAATAAAAATTGGGAAAAAGTTAAAAATTTAATAAAAAATTTTTTTTTTTATATAATAGTTTTTTATTAATAGGCGCTTAAATAAGAGATACCACTCATTAAAATATTTAAATAATCTTTTTCAATATTACCAGAGTTGGTATCTACTAAAAATAATTGGTGGCTTGGTTTTGGCTCTTTACCTGGGGATAAAAATATACCATCAATTACAACAGGACCAGATCCAGCACAAACTTGGTCACTATTTTTATTAATTGTAGTAATATCACCATTTGATGGATTAATTGAAACAAATTGTAAATTTTTACCATCGAAATCAGAAAGAGTAGATAAAATCATTTGAGTAGCTTCATTAAAAGTAAAACTGTAAACAAAGTTATTATTTGAATTTAACCAAGTGTTACTAACAAAAGTACCATCGATAGCATTAATTGTAGTAAATCCACTAATTGTATTATTGGTTTGTTCATCCATACTTTGATATAAAATGTAAATTTCCCCAAGTGATTCGCTTGAGGTGTAGAGTCCAGAGTACCAAGTATTATCTGGGTAAGAGTTTCCGGTAGTTAAATTTTTGCTGATTTCACCAGTAGTTGGATCAATTAAAACAACATCAAAATATGGTTCGAGGGCATCATAATTCATTGATGATACTGCAACCAATTGATCTGATTTGGCATTATAAGTTAAACCAACAATATATAATAAATCTTTATTCTAAAATAGGCGGATATGTTAATATTAAAATATATAAAATTTTAAAAAATTAAAAAAAAATATACTAACTGGTGAATATCCTTTAATAAATAATTCATTTGAATTTAAATTGATGGCATATAAGAAAGTACCTTGATTATATTCATTTGTATTTGCTAAAACAACATAATAGTCTGATCCTCTAACAGCTGATACAACATATGATTCTTCATATGCCGAAACCCTAAATGGTTGAGCACCACTTAATTTTAATAATTTATTGCCTGGTAATGGATTTGATTTTGATCCTTGATAATTAAAAGTTTTTATAGTGACTGAAGAAGAATCTACTTCAAGACCAACTAAATTATTAGCTTTAGTAAAACAAATAAAAATAAAAAATACAAATAATAGTAATAATTTCATTTTCTATATTATGATTATCCAACACATTGATTGATATTTCGTTTTTTTTTTTTTTTTTTGTTTTTTTAATTTATTTTTTTTAAATTTTTTTTTTTTAAATTTCCGACCATGTGGTATCCAATAAAAATCAAAAGTCAATATTAATTTTAATTTAAAAAAGATCTAAAAAAACTAATTTATTTATTTATTTAAATTTATTTGATGGGATTGGTATTGATTTAGATTTTGCTTTTGATGGACTAGTTCCATCACCACTTTCATTAAGAGGATTTTTAAAATCCCTATCGGTTGGAGAATTTAGTTTTGTTAATTGTTCAATTGGGTTTACAGATGATGATTTTTGTGAAGATGGTTGAAATGAATTTTTAGTTGTGTTAACGGAAGCAGATGAAACAGTAGCTATTGTTGGGGTATTTGTTGGAGTATTTGATACTGTCGCTGTTGTTGTTGTTGGGAGTGGTGGTTTAGAGGATGAACCGACCGAGGTTGTAATTATCGAAGGTGTATTATTTGGTGTTGGGTTTATTGTTGATTCAGCAAATTTAGCACCACCACTTAGTGATGAAGACTTTTTGTTTGAAATATTTAAAGAATCGCTTAATAGTGAAGACATTGTGTTTGGTGAAAGTTGAGATGTTTCACCTTTACCTATATTAATTGGGATAGTTTGTTGTTGTTGTTGTTGTTGTTGCTGTTCTTTTTGTTGTTGCTCTACTTGTTGTTTTAATTGTTGCTGTAATTGTTGAATGCTGGTAGAGTTTTTTAAAGTATTCGAAGTTGGTGAAGGTGAAGGTGATCTTGAAATTGGTTTTGAAGGAGGAAAAGCTCTTTCGATTGCTAATGAACGAGCAGATCTATAAAATTTACCTAAAGTTTTCCAATCTAAAAGTTCAGATAGTTTTTCAGTACGATTTCTAAGTTCAATTCTTTGTCTTCTATCCATTTGGCAGAATTTCCATAGATATTGGGTAACTTGTTCAACAGATTCATTTGGTGATTTGAAACGACGATCTACAATAAAAATACCTTTTGACTCTGGTTCATTAAGACCTCTGCTCATATAATTTGCAAAGCCAGTTAAATTACTTGTGATTGATGGTACACCCAATACAGTACATTCGGCTGGTGTATAGCCCCATGGCTCGTAGTAGCTTACAAAAATACCCAAATGGCAACCTCTAACAAACTCGGTATAGTCTAGTGGTATTAATGGATTGGTAGAGTTTAAGAACTCTGGATGATAAATAATTTTTACACGATCTTCTTTGGAATTGAATAGCTTGATTTTTCTTAAATGGTTTAAAATTGGATCATTAACATCATCCATCATATTATGTGTTACAATTGGTGGTAAGGATGGTCTTTGTTTTAATGCAAAAATTCTTCTTTTTAAGAATACCAAATCCTCTTGGGTTAATAACTCTTCTGGTGAAATAATTCTACCTCTTGAAGTAGCTTCAAATAATCTTTCTCCCATTGATTCTACAATTGAATTACAGGTTCTTCTGAGATCTCTATTATGTGATTGACCCTTTAATGTATCGATATTGAAGTTATTTGTTTTTGATGGCATAATAATAAAAGCTACAATTGTCATTGTCGACCCACTTTGTTGTAAAAGTTTATTTAATCCAGCCAATGCATCTAAAAACATATCCACACCTTTATTAAAATATTCTGATCTACCAGCTGTAAAAACATATAATGTATTATCTAAATCAAAGTCATAATGACCATAAAAATGACCTCTTACAAATTCATGTAAAACATTCTAAAAAAATAAAAATAGTTAGTAAATAAATTATTTAATATCATTTATCGATTATATCTAAATGATAATTACTTTATATTTTGCATGTAAGTTTTGGAATTCGTGTAATGCAGTGAATTTATCTAACTTTAAACCATTTGGTAAGATAACATCAGCTTTTCTTGAAAGAATAGATTCAGACTCGTATGCTGTAATTTCTGATACAGTTGTGAAAACATGGGCATCATTTGCAGATTTCTTTTCGATCCAATGTCTATGATAAATTCCTCTTTTTGATGCTTCATAATCAATATTTAAGTTTTGGATTTGATTGTAAAGATCTACACCGCCTGCTGCTAAATATCTGCCTAGTAATGTTGCATGAGTTGTAAAAATTGTTGATACAGGTATTTTCCATTTTTTTAATAATATTAAACCAACTGATGCTTGCCACTAATAAAATAAAAGTAAATTATTAATATTTATTAATATTTTATTAATATTTTATTATTATTATTAATATCTACCTCGTGGAAATGAGCAATATATTTATCATTTGGATTAGCCTCTGCAAATTCTTTTAACAATAGAGCTGATTGATAACCAAACACTATACTTTCATTGGTTTCATGATCCCCAGGTTGTTCAAAACCACTCATTAAATCCCATCTCCACTCTCCTAACTTATGTGATGAACTTGGTAAATCAATTAAAAATACTTTTGGATAACCCTCTACTAACCACTTTCCAAAATGAACTTGAATACCATACTTTTTCATCATGTTTTCAATGATTGGTGATGAAAGAGGACCAGGTACTAATGGTTCAAACTCTGTTGGAGCAGTCTAAAGAAAAAAAATACTTTTATTAATTTGGGTGCTATAGTAAAGAATAATTTTTTAGAATTTTAAAATTACCTCTGAATTATATGGTCCAATTAATGCATATCTTGATTTATATTCCTCGACAGTAACAGGTGCTTTTGATTTTAATACTGTATAAATACCACCAACTTTTTTAGCAACTTCCCAAGAAATATCAAACAATACGGTATTGCTTGGTGGTAAACTAACTTCCTCGGTGATACTTGAACCTGACGAACTATGCAATAAACCACCACTACCACTGCCACTTGCCATACTGCTGAATGTCATACCTTGACTACTATGTAGTTTACTCTCTAGAAATGTAGAATTTGGTGTTCCAAATATCATTTTGATGTAATTATATAACTATTATAAAATAAATAAAAAACGAAAAAATAAAATTAAATGAGATAATTGTAAAATTTAAAAAAAAATAAAAAAAAAATAAAAAATTATTTTTTATTTTAATTTAATTAATTTTAAAACTATTAAAATAAACAATAATATATAATTATATTTAATTATTTTATTTTTATTATTATTATTGTTGTTGTTGTATAATTTATTTTTAAAATTATAATATTTAACTATTATATGAAAATAAAAAAAATAAAAAAAATTTTAATTATCTTATTTTTGTACACAAAAATTTTAAAATAAAAAATACATACACACACACAAAAATACTCTTTATATCAATTTTTATATTATTTATATATCTTTATATTAAAAAAAAAATTAAAATTTTAAAAAAAAAAAATAAAAAAATAATTAATCTTTTGAAAAAAAATAAAAAAAATAAAAAAAAATAAAAAAAATAAAAAAAATAAAGAAATCATATTTTTTTATTTTTTTTCAAAAGATTAATTATTTTTTTGTCCAACTGGAAACTCCAAAAATACCTTTGGTTTTATTTTTTTTTTTTTTTTTTATAAGTTGGTTACTAAAACTAATTTATAATTTTATTATATTACAATCATTATTATAATATTTAGAGTTTGGAAAGAAAAAAAAAAAAATTTTACACAAACACTATAGGAAATTTCATAATTAAAAATAAAAATAGATAAATATTTTAAATCATTCTATTGAAATAATGTAAATCATAACATACATATTTATGATAATAAATAAATAAAAATAATGATAGTAATATTAAAATAATTAAAAAATTAATTAAAAAAAAATTTTATATTTTTTAATTTTTTTTAAAATTGTTTTTTTTTAAAAAACGAAAAAAAAAAAAAAAAAAAAAAACAATTTTGTCGGTTTTTAATTTTTTTAAAAGATTCACACAAATAAATAAACAAATATATATATAAAAAGATGCCAAGAATTTCTAAAAAGCTCAGAAAAGAAGGTTCATTAAAAAAGAAATTTAAGTTTGGTCATATTGATGACGAGGTTATGAAAAGATGGGATAATTCAAAGACAACATTAGAAAATTTTGCACTCATGGGATTACAATATAATAATAAATTTATTTCAGAGAATCAAAGAGCATTAGATAAATTAAAAATGGAAGCTAAACCAATTGAATTAACAGTACCAGAACCAATCAAAGCTAAAGAGAGAGGTGTCAATTTCCATCAACAACATTATATCAGACCTTTAATAATTAAATATAAAGAAGATTACGAAAAAATGAAAATGGATCACAAATTAAATTTTTATCAAAAAACTGCTACAGAATTAGAAAAATTAGCTAAAAAATTCATTGTATTATATGGACATCCAATTTATGGTGATGTTTATCAACAACAACAAGAAGAAGAACAAAAGAAATTAAAAGAGGAAGAAGAAAAGAAATTAAAAGAAGTAGAGGAAGAAAAAAGAAAACAAGAATTATTAAATAAAAAACAACAACAAAAATCACAACCACAATCTAAAACAACCACTAAACAACCAACAGCATCCAAAAAGCAAACTGAAGAGCCAAAAAATACCATTTCTAAAAAAGTTGTCAAAACACAAACAGTTTCAAAACCAAAAACTACTACAGTTGCTAAAAAAGTAGTTAAATCAAAATAATAAAATAAAATATAAACATAAAATATATAAAATATAAAAATATGAAATATAAAATTTTTTATAAATAGTTTTTTTTATTTTTTTATTTATTAAAAGTTTTTAGTAAAGTGGAAATTTTTATTTGTTTCATTACCAAGTTTAGATTGAATACCTGATACGATAATGTCTTTTTGATTTATAATTGAAATTTTAACTACACCATTTTTATAAGATGTTTTGATATCGCTTGGACTAATGCTTTTGTTTAAAGAGATTTGATTAAAAAACTCTCCGCACCAAGGTGAACTGAATATGTATTGTCTATCTTCGCATTTTCTTTCACCAGATACAATAATGTTTTTACCATCTTCTAATTTTATATTTATATCGTTGCTGTTTAATCCTGGCAGGTCTGCTGTTAAAACATTCTCTTTATTTTCTTTATCGTAATAACATGAAAATCCATTGGCTGATTTAACAAAATTAAAAGGATTGAAATTGCTTGAAAATGGGTCAAAGTTATCCAACATTATTAAACACAATAGGGTATGTATATATATATATATATATATATATAAAAATAAAGCAATATAAAACAAAAATAAAAAAAATGAAAAAAAAAAAATGAAAAATTAAAAAAATAAAAATAATTTTTTAAAAAAAAAAATAAATAATTATTTATTTATTTGTTAAAATTTTTTTAATATACATAATTTATTTTTTTTATAAAATTTGGCATCTTGAGTTTTTATGTGGGGTATAATTGGTTGAAATTTGAATATCGGTTGAGATGACTAATAATTGTTCGAAATTATGATTTCTGCCAACTGTTGGGATATTGACCATGACTGGTTTTAAACCGGCAGTTCCATTATCTGCTAAACCACCACCACCACCACCGCCACCAATCATATTGCTATTGCTGAATTGTTGTTGCATTTGAGTCATTTGATTGAGTTTTGGTTTTATTACCATATCATCTGAATCATCATCATCCTCCGTTGAACTTTGTTGATGATATGTAAGGAAACTAACTTGTTTAATATTACCTTTGAATAAACTGTAGTCATAAATTGATGGTAAATAAGTTGTTATTTGAAGCATTGAAATTGGTATATCGATTTGAGGGAATACTAAATTTAATTTACCACTGTCACCAAATCTTATATCTTCAGAATTTTTATAGACCAATTCAACTTTGAATTTCTTTTGAACACCTTTATCAGATCCTGATTTGGTGAGTGGAATCATAAGACTTCCACTATCATCAACAGCTGGCTTAACAGCTTTGGAGCCAACAATTGTAGACCAAATTTCATATTGATGAGGAATGGTGATACGGATGTACTGTTGTTGAGTGTTTCTTATTGTGAAAACTAATTTGTAAAGTGTTGCACCCTCTGAGCTGACAGTGCATATAAATTTAGCGTGTTGACAGATAGCAACCAATACTGAGAGATCGTTATGTTTAACGATTTTGAGTGCTACACTATATTTTGGTACAAGGAATTTGTAGGATAAAAGGATTGGGCCACTGGTGAGGGCTTCAAGTTCACCTGGGAGTTCTGTTTTATCAATTAATGTAAGACCATCACGAGATATTTGTTCAACTTCGACATTTGCATTAGATTCTACTGCAAGATAGCCTTTTTCACGAGTTATTTCGTTACCAATGGTTTTAATGGATGGAATAATAACAGTGGCAGAGGTCGACTCCATAGTGATTTCTGAAGTAATTACCAAGACATAGCTAGTTTCTACAGATGAGGTAAGTTGAACTTTAATTAATTGATCTTTAGATGTCTCTGGTTGAATTTCAACCAACTGTGGTGACATACATTCCCAACGTTTAATATTTAAACCATCTACACTTAGTATTTTGATATTGGGACCAACTAAAATATCAAATGATGAGGCACTTCCTGAAACAACTTCATATCTAATTTTTGTGGTTAAAACTACAACACCTTCACCTACTGAGCAAAGGGTATGTTGCTCAACATTAACTTTGGTACTTTCTAAAACTGGTTTTAATTGTTGTTTATTAACTGATCCAGTTCCTGTTGAGGCACCTAAATCGATTTGATTGATTTTATCTTGTTTTGGTTGCTGTTGTTCAAGTTCGGTCCATTGGATTTTTAAGTAAGTAGTTGGTTGGAATGGGCATGACTTAATTGTATGCTGTTGTTCGACATCATCAAATTCTTTATATTGGATATGGTCGGGGTTATCTCTTATGGCGGGTTCGACGACGTCAATATTTACTTTTCTTGGTACTTTAATCTCTAAATGATTAAAGGTTGATTTTGGAGTTGCAATACCAACACCATTCTTTTTTGGTGTTAAAAAATTGGCTAATATATTTAACTCGACAGAAAAACGACCAGTTTTTTCACAAAATAGGGTATGTGCATCTTGATAAATTCCAATACATGAGTCTTCATCATGTTTAGATCCATTAGATTCAGTGGCACCTAAATCTTTGTTGTAATGAATTGAGGATGATTTTATACAGACAGTAGATGGAAGTAATGGAATTTGAAGTTGGTCTGATGGTAATGAGAAAACATAAATTTGGAAAATACATTTAAATGATACACTGAAATCTTCAACAATACCATGGTATGATGACTTTTCAATAGAGTAGTGAATGGTAGATTGTTTAGCAGCACTTTCTCTTAAATATTCTAACCAATCTTTCAACGATAGTTTAATTGAAACATCTTTTTTAGAATTGATTGCTGAAATTTGTTTTTCTTGAACTTTAGTTGCTGAAACAATATTATTAGTGTGATGATAACTGTGTGCCCATACATTCGAATTGCAATATAAATCTTGAAAATTTTTATTTGGAATACTTTTTTGAGCCATAGGAATACTTTTTTGTTGTTGTTGTTGCTGTTGTTGTTGCATCACTCTGGATGATGATGATTGAGAAAACATATCGTCGTCTGAATCGCTACTGAGGTAACTTTTATTTCTTCCCATTATTAAAAAAAAACTAAAAATTAAAACAAACTAACTATAGTGTAAATTAAAAAAAAAATATAAAAATATAAAAAAAAAAATTAAAAAAAGTTTTTTAATTAAAAAAATATTTTTTAAAAATATTTCTGATTATTTTCTTTTTTTTTTAATTTTTTTTTAATTTTTTTTTATTGATTATTTTTAAAAAATATATTTTTTGAAAATATTTATGGATATGATTTTTACACTAATTTAGATCTAATAAAAAAAAATATCAACGTGTGTGGTTTTTTAAAATTTTATTATAATATTTGAATGGGGGATTTTTAATACACAAAATCACTACCAACAAATATATTATTATAATTTTTGATTTCACCCTTGTTGGAGTTTGAAATTATTTGAAAATAAAATGGTAAAATACACACCCAAATAAATTTTTTTTTTTAATTGTAAAAATACACAAACATATTTAAATGATAATCAATAAAGTGTATGGTTATTTTTGATAAATTTAATTTTGTTTATTGAATAAAGTATCTTTTTATTATATTTTTTTTTTTTTTTTTTTTTATTATTGTAATTGATAATAAAAGATGTGATATTAATAATTATTTAGCAACAACTTTTGGTCTTAAAATAACAGATTGAAGGAAAAAGTCACCTGGTCCACCACATTTAACACTAATAGTGTATGTTGGATGTTTTGTGAAATCGATTGAACCATAAAATTTGGTTTTGTATTCATTTCCACCTTTGTTGTTACATACATCTAAAGTCATGGAGAAAATGTTTTTTGATGATGGATCTTGGATGATTACAACGTTTTTGGGGACAATGTTGTGATAACGAATACCTATTTCATATTCAATTGGTGTTGGTTTATCATTATAGAATTTGAGTGAGTACTTTAATACTAGATTGTCTTTAACAGCCATTGATACAGAGTGAACAGTTGGGTAAACATGGTCATATGCTAAACGGACATTCATACGATTACCACCAATGAATTTTTGAGCATTGATAATAGTTGCACGATCGGTGAAAAGAGTGCTGTAGTTGAATACTTGATGTGGGAGGAAACCAACAAACATGCAATCAAGGAAACCTGATGCTTCATAATATTTTTGTTTCCAAGTATCGGAATTAACTGCAGACACATTTTCATTTCTACCTCTGATGATACCAATTTTGTGATTAGCATAAAATTTACCAGCAATGTGACTATATGGACAAATTTCCTCGAAATATCTTTGGGAGTGGGGAAGATGGGCAGCAAATGAACGATGTGGGGTGAGAACAGTAGACTCCAACCCGATAGCAAAAGCTCTTGGAGAGATATCCCATGATGCACTATATGAATATGAGGCTGGTGTAATGTTATATGATTGAATTGTGGCTTTTGGTGGAATTTTACCTGCACCTATACGTTGCTCTGGTACAAGAGTACCTGGCTTTTCACCATTATCATAGAAAGATTGACATGCATAAATGAAATTAGGGTCATAGGTAAGTTCGGTCTTTTTTAATTCTCCTGGGTACATATCAAAGTTTAGAGCTTTTATTTTGGTCCAAATTGATGCGAGTGGTGGGTTAAAATAATTTTCTTCATTTGGTACCAATAATTTTCCTCTTTTATATCCTTGATCATAAAGAGTACCCACAATTTGCCAAAGGAAACGAACATTTTCATGATAAGCACCATTTGGGTATATTGTATCGTCGAAAGTTTGCCATGATTCAACATAATCAAATACAAATTGGGAACAATGGTTACGGAAGTCAAGCTTAAAATTTTAAAATTAATTATCACTCTATTATTTAAGAAAAGAAATATTTATAATAAAAATACACCTACAATACGTCTAAATTTTTCGGAAGTTGGGACATTTGGTAAATTTTCGATTCTATAAATACCATATTCACAACTATGTTTAAGATGGGCAATATAGGTAGGAACTTTTTCTAAAAGATCTTTTTTTAATCTTTTTATATTGGTTTCGTTAGCATCTCCTTTATCTAATCCAAAATTTTTACCATTTTTAATACCATCATTTAATACGGCAATATGAATTGCTAAAATATAAAATTATTAGTATCTTTTTTTTTTTTTTATAAAATATTTTTTATACATACTTGCAATAAGAGCAAACATACTGATTTGTTGATATTTAAATTCGTCACCGAGTGCTTTAAGTTCGATAAGAGTTTCTGAAATTTTTCTTTCAAGTTGAATATAAAGATCTGGAACATTGGTAGGTGTACCTTTTTTAAGTTGTAAAACCATTCTTGTTTCTGTAAATGTTTGGAATCTAGATTTAATTACATTAAAGCTACCAATCAAATCATAGTTACTAAGCTTTACTATACCATCTTCAACCATTGAGGAAACTTTTGATTGGATTGAATTCCAGAGATCCAAATTTGGATTTGTTGATTTTTCCCATGGTGGAAATAATACTAAACTAACAGCACTTGAAATGAACGCACCTACTTCTGGTATACAACCAATAACACCCAATATTAAGATATTATGACCCTCGAGAAAATTATTGGTTGGATTTCCTATAGTAGTAGCAATTATTAATATAAATTATATTATTGTATCAATATTTAATTATTAATGATTTAATTAATAATTTTTTATTTTATTGCTGTGTGGCATACATACCAAGGTATGGGAAAGCAGTTTTAGCTGGTGATACACCTTGGGCTAATTGTTGTGAAATTTTTTGAATTGTTGAGAAATACTCTTTAAAATTTGATGGCGATACTTGAGTCATATTTTACTGGATAACAAATAAAATATTTTATCAGTTTATAAAAAAAAAAAAATAAATAAAATAAAGACTGATTTTATAATATGTAAAAAATTGAAAAAAAAAAAAAAAAAAAAAAAAATAATAAAAAATGGATTTAATTGTTTCTTTATAGCGTAAACATTTATATTTATATCTTAAATTGCTGGGACAATCTTGATTGAAAATATATAAATTTCTTTTTTTTTTTTAATGTTTAGAATGAATTTTATGTTTGAAGATTTTGGTACATGCAATCAATGTTTCATTTAGTAAGAAAAATAGGTCACGACCTACATCACAAAACAATATCAAGGAAATGCATCAACACAAATTATTTATACAACACAAATTAAAAGAAAAAAATTTTTTAAAAAATGAAAAAAAAAAAAATTTTAAAAAATTAAAATAATTAAAAAAAAAACAATCAATTTCGATTGAAAGAAAGTTTTAAATATTCAGGAAATAGCATTATAGTTTTTATAAAGATTTAAATAGTTATTTTTTTGATTTTTTTTTTTTTTTTTTTGAATCTATTTTTCTTTCAATCTTTTTTTTTTTTTTTTTTTTCTAATTTATTAAAATTGGTAAATTATAAAATATAATAATATAAATAAATAATAAAAAATGGATATGGCAGATGATTTCACTTACAACTATTGGAATAGTAACAATAGAAGTCAATCAATTCCAAATGAAATCTTATTGGAAGAAAGATACAACAGAAAATTAAATAACGGTTTTAATGTTTATTTAATTGTAAAAAAAGACCAATGGTATTTATTTTTTATAACTAACTACTATATAATTATAAATTTAAAATAAATAACTAATTTTTTTTTTTTAATTAGGCAAAAGTATGTTGATATTTCCGGTGGAAAACAATCAAACAATAACCAAAGTGCTGGTGACCAAACGGAATCTAAATACACAACCATGGATGGACAATCAAGATATAATAGAACTTTTGTTGAATGGAATGGAAACAACACCGTTACAATCACCTTTAAAAAAACAGGGTTCCTAGGTAAAATAGATACCATCCATACCATTTCCATTCCTTTAGCTGAAAGAAAAAACTTTACAAATAGAGAACTTTACGTTTATTGGTGTGATTCCCCAATTGGCTTTTACGATAACATTGATTTAAGAGTTAAAGAAGAAGATTTAATATTTTATTAAATAAAATATTTTTTAATATTTTTTTTTAATTTTCTAAAATTTTAATTAATTTATTTTATAATTTTTTATAATTATAAAAAAAAAAAAAATAAAAAAATTAATTTTTTATTTTATTGTTTTTTTTAAAATTTTTTGTGAATTTTTTTTTTCATTTCAACAAATCTATTTATCAGAAATGTATAAAATTATTAAACAATCTTTATCTAGCCATTCAGCATTTAGATCACAAATCCTTTTAAATAATTTAAATAATAATAATAATCATTTTATTAAAGCATTCTACAGTACATTCAATTTTAAAGATAATACAAGCATTGATAAACAAAATTTGAAAAAATTAATAGAATCAAACGAAAAGAACTATGTATTAATAGATGTCAGAAATCCCGTAGAAGTCGAAACTACATCTTTAATCCCAACTGCTATACATATTCCACGTATGTAATCTAATATTATATTATTATTATACATATTTAGATATTGAAAAACTAAAACAAATTTAAAATATTTAACCATAGTTGGTATTTTACCTGCTGCTTTATCAATGTCAGATGAAGAATATGAAGAGTTTTATGATAGAAAAAAATTTAAAATTAATGGTAATAGTTTTTTAAATTTTAATTACATTAATTTATCGTCCTAAAACTAATTATTTTTTAAAACAGATAATATAATTTTTTATTGTTTAAAAGGAAAAAGATCAGAAGCCGCAGCTGATTTTGCAAGAGGAATGGGTTATAGATCAGTTATAAACTACCCTGGCTCATATGAAGATTGGGTTTCAAATTAAAAAATACAAACACATTATAATATTTTTGTAAAATAAATAAATTAAATTATTTATAGTTTTTTATTATTTGTTTTTTTTTTTTTTTGCCTTTTTCAAAAAAAAAAAAAAGAGGCACAAATTTATTAATATTATTTTAGATTTTTTTCAATTACAAAAAGAAAAAAAATAAAACATATTTCTTTTTTTTAAAAATAAATAAACAAATTGGAAAAAATTATATTTTTTTTTTAAAAAAAATATATATTATTATTATACTATGTTAACCATTATATTATTATTCTTATTATTATTATTATTATTGTTGTTATTATTATTATTTTTATTATTATTATTATTATTATTATTAAATTAATTATCTTGATTTTCAAATTTAAAATTTGGTAAACTAGTTGAAAAAGATCTTTGATGTTTCATATTATGAGGTAAAACTGGAGTATTATGAGCACTTAAGGAAGAAGTTGAATTAGAAGCACCATTTGAATTTGATAAAGATTTTTGGTTAAGTGTAGTTGAAGGTGGTGTGGTGCCTGTTGGTTTCTTTTTATGAAGTGGATTTTCTTTACAGGATGGAGATTCAGATTTTAATTTCAAAGTTGATTTCTTTTGTTCTTCGGTAAGATCGTGGAGTACTTTTTGTTGATCGGATTGTAATTTTTCATGAACAACTTGTAACTCAACTTGAAGTTGTTGGGTTTCTTTTTGGTGTCTTTCAAACATTGAAGCCAATTCAAATTGAAGTTGTTGAGAAAGTTGTTGTAATTGTTTTGATTGTTCCAATTGCATTGAGGCCAATGAAGCTGGAAGATCGGTGACTGAGCCCTTCTTCTTTTGCTCTTGTTTCTTTAATGACTCTTGTTGAATACGATGCTCTTCTTGTTGAAGTGATAAACGTTCCTTTTGTTGTTCTTCAATGCACTCTTTTTGTCTTAAATGTTGATCTGAGAGAAGAGTTGGTGATTCTTTTTGTTGTTCTTGAAGTAAAGCATATTGTTTTTGGGATTGTTCAGTATTAATTTGTCTTTGTTCTGAATGTTGTTGTTTTAATAACACTTTCTTTTGTCTATAATGTTCAATGAGCATTTCTTCTTCGTTGAATGTATATTCAGTTTCAAAGTGAGCTTTTTGTGCTTTATGGTGTTCCTCTAAATCTCTAATGATACCTGCTTGTTTATCTTGAAGTCTCAAGAATGAATCTTGTTGATGACGTTGGAGAATTTCATCTTCCTCTTCTTTTTGATGTGTGAGTTTCTTTTGGAATTCAATCTCTTGATTATTTAAATTTAATTCAAATTGTTTCTTTTGTTCCTTATGTTGGTGTTGTAATTGTTTTTTATTTCCCTTTTCGTCTTTTAATTCTTTCTTTAATTTGTTTAAAAACTCTTTAAATTGATTGGTTTGTTTTAATTTAAATTCTTTGGTGGCGTGTTTTTGTTCGATAACAGTTTGTTTGAGATGTTGTTCAGTTTCAGTAATTTGTCTTTGTTTGAGATGATTGGTTTCGGTTTTATGTAATTGTTCAAGGTGGCTCTTTGCTATTTGATGTTCATCATTTATATTTTCACGAAGTACACTGTGATATTCATTAAAGTTTTCAAATTGAATTTGTTGTAACTGTTGAATTTGAGAATTTTGTTGAGTGTGCCATGCTTGTAATTGTTCAGTTTGTTGTTTTTGCTCTAAATGTTGATTTTGTGTAGAGTTAGTTTGATCATCTAAAAGTTTTTGGAAATCTTGTTTTTGTTGGAAAATAAGATCTTGAATGAATATTTCATGCTCTCTAATTACTTTTTGATGAATTTGGATATGTTTACTTAGTTTCTTTGGTGTTGATTTATCGAGAACTTTATTTTGATCTTTAAATTCGTGTTCTTTTTGTTTTTGATGTTGTTTTTGTTGATCTTTGTGTTCTTTTTGTTGTTGTTTTTGATGATCAATAACTTTAGTACGTTGTTGTCTTCCCTCAGATTGATTCTTTTTGATAAGTTGTTCTCTATCGGCCTTTTGTTGTCTTGAAAGATTTTCTTTCTCGAGTTTATGTTGTTTTTGCATCTTATCCTCTTTAGCTTGAGCTTGTTTTTGTTGAGATGTAGCCCTACCAGCATTTTGTTTTAATAACTCTTCTTTATCTTTTTGTTGTTGTTTGTGGAGTGATTCTTCTTCTTCAGTCTGTTCTTGTTGTTGTTTTTTGATATCCTTAAGTTGTTGTTTCATTAACTTAGCATTAACAACCTTTTTGATTGCTTCATTTCTCTTTTCCATTGTTTTTCTAATGGTAACTGGTCTACCGGCCTTTCTATTAGTTCTAATATCGGGTGATCTATCGTCACTTGATTTGGCATTATTAGATTTTGAAGTGGTATTGGTGCTAGATGAAGTACTAGTGGTTGTGGTTGTAGTATTTGTAACAGCTGATGGTGCAGTTCCTGAATTTAAGTTATTTGAACTAGAGTTAAGTGGTGATTTCTTATCCATAGTACTTGGTCTACTAACTGAAAGTCTATCACTTGATTTGTTAATTGAAGAATTTTCTTGACCATTTAATTGTGGTAATGGTAAATTGTGACCTGTAGATTTTCTTGGAGCTGGTGAAGCTGGTGGTGATGAGTGAGCGCCTGTTGATTTTCTATCACCTGTACCATGTGATTTCTTTAATTTACTTGAAGTACCATGCTTACCATTACTTGACTCGTGTAAAGATTCATCTTTTTCATCTGAATCGATATCCTCACTTTCTTCTTCTTCCTCATCCATTTCCATTTCAGCCTGTCTAACCTTTCTATATTTAGCGATAATGTCATGTAAAACTACCTTCTCTTTAGTATTTACTACAAATGGATGCTTTAATAATTCTGCTGCTGTTTTTCTTTGATTTGGATCCTTTTGAAGACATAATTGAACAAAATTAATAAAATCTTTACTAAAATTTTCTTGGCTCTTTAATTTTGGTGGATCACGATATGGAATTTGGAAAAGTACTTTCATTGGATGAATTTCTGATAATGGTGGCTCTGCCTCTGCTAACTCTATTAAAGTAATACCTAAAGACCAAATATCTGCTTTGGTATCATATGGAACTGGGTTGCTTCTATTTTCGATAACTTCTGGTGCCATCCAATATGGTGTACCAATAAATGTATTACGTTTACTATTTTTATCTAATAAACCACTAACACCAACTATATTTAAAAAACAAAATTAATAAATGATCAATAATTTTAAAAATAATATATAAAAAAAGTTTATAATTACAATCAGCGAGTTTAACATCACCAGATTCGGTTAATAAAATATTTGCACCTTTAAGATCCCTATGAATAACACCAGTATTATGAAGATATTCTAAACCCTTCAAAGTTTCACGACATACATATGCAATTTGACCTTCTGTTAATGGTGCATTTAATTCTTGATAAATTTCTGTAATTGAACCACCTCCACAACATTCCATAGCAATCTTTAAAATAAGAAATAATTAATATTAATTATAATTTTAAACTATTAAAATATATTTTTGTTACTTACAAATAATTCATCCCCTTTAACCCAACTGCCGTAATATTTAACAATATTATTATGGCTACATCTATTTAAAATGTCTATTTCTACTACTAAATCTTCAAAGGTTTCATCTTCGTCTAATGCAATAATTTTAACTGCCATAATATTACCAGTTGGTAAATGTTTACCTTTATAGACTGTACCAAATGAACCCTCTGCAATTTCTTCAATAAGTTCAAAAAGTTCAACTGGATCCTCTTTTCCAACGAATGGTTCTAATGCTGCAATTCCTGACATTTTTAAATTTTATTGAAATAAAAAAAAAACTTGACTCTTTTTCTTCTTTCTATATATATATATTTCTGATTTCTAAATAATAATACAACTGGTCTTCTTTTTTTCTCTTTATTGATTTTTTTTTAAAATTGATTCGTTTGATAAAAAAAAATTAGATAATTTTAAAAAAAAATAAAACAACACAAAAAAAATATATATTTGGTTTTATATTCTAAACACACTAATAACTCTATAAAGAAAATTGTTCTATTGCTGTTTAATAGAAATGATTTCTGTGGTATAATAAAAAATAAAAAATTATTGTTAGTTAATATTAATGCTAAATAAAAAAATAAAAAAATAAAACAAAACAATGCAATAAAAAAAAGTAAAATAATGAAATAATAATAATAATAATAATTTATAATACACTCACATATTTACATACTATATGTCAGTATGTATTATGTAATCATAAAGGAAAAGAAAAAATAGTAATACAAAACAAACCCAATACAAACAAAGAACAACTAATGATAAAATAGAGATCTTTATAAATATGATATGTTTATGATTTGTTAAATTTATACTGTTTAATGGATGATATAAAAAAAACAAAAATAAAAAATAAAATAAATAAAAAAGAAAAGATTGTTTTATATTTATTATTTAAAATTTTAAAACAAACAAAAATTATTAAAAAAAAAAAAAAAAAACAACACACAAACACAACAAAATACATACAACACTCCAACACCAACAATTTAGCTGCTGCTTATAATAATTGGAATAATTTTTGATTTTTTTAAATTATAATAAATAAACTACTTTTTTTTTATCTATATTTATTTATTAAAAAAAAAAAGAAAAAAAAAAAAGGTATATTTTTGATTTTTATAAAGTTATTCGCTACACTATTATTTTATGATTAAGATTATTTTAAACAGCTATATATTTAAAAAAATGAAAAAATAATTCTTTTTTTTTTTTTTATTATCATAAATTAAAAAAAATAAAACCAATTTTTTAAAAAAAAATTAAAAAAAAATAAAATAAAAAAAAAAAAAAAAAGTAGTTATAACAATAATATGATGTTTGTGTTTATGTGTTTGTTTGGTTTGTCCCTAATCTATATGATATATTTATACACCTCTATTTAAATATATTTAAATATATATGTATATAATGTTTTTAAAAAAATAAAATAAAAACAATTATATTATTGTGGTGTGGTTTCATATAATCTTACTGTTATGATTACAATAATTAATTATTCTCTTATTGCTATTTTAGTTGGGTTTGTTTTATTTGGGAAGTCTTTTTTTTTTAAATTAGTTTTAATATAAATTTTATTTGATTAAATTCTAAAAAAAAAAATTTATAATATTTAGTGATTATGATGATTGATTATTATTGATTGATTATTATTTATTATATTTATTATGACTTTTATTGATATTTCTTGATTCTTTTATTTTGTTTTTTATTTTTTTTTAGTTTTTTTTTAAAGCTCTAAAACATCATTTCCAATTGGGTTGGATTATTAAAAAAAAAAATATATTTAAATTTTATTTAAAAATAATAAATTAAATTAAATAAAATAAAATAAAATAAAATATTAAATAATATTTAATTATTTAATAATAAAATAAAAAAAAAAAAGGTGTGTATTTTTTTTTTTTTGGTGTGGTGTGAAATTTTTATATGTGTGGGTTATATATAGCTTTTTTTGTGTGCATGCAAAATATTTAATGTGAGATGGTGGTGGTAATGGTGGTGTTGGTGTTGGTGTTTGAGTGTGGTGAATTTGTTTTAATGAAAAACTATATATATAATGATGGAGGTGGTGAATTTTATAATATTATCTAACTGAAATAATTCAAATAATCATTTGAAATTTTATTTTATTTTATGAGAGTGAGTGAATTTAAACAATACAATATAATAATGATTTTTGATATACGATACAAACAACAATTGTATACAATTTTTTTACACAGTTTTTACCTTAATAAATAATTTTAATTAAAACAATTAATAAATAAATATTTTGATAATATACAATTTTTTTTTTATTACTATTATATTATATATATAAATAAATATTGTATGAAAAAAAAAAAAAAAAAAAAAAATTATATATATATATATAGTTATGTTATGATTGATATTTTTTTAATTATTTTCTTTTTTTTTTTTTTTATAAAAACATATATAATGATAATAATAATAATACAAAAAATTATAATAATATTTAAAATAAAAAAAAATTCTCTAACTAAAAAACTATGAAAAAAAAAATTTAAAAAAAAAAATTAAAAAAAAAAAAAAAAGATTTTTATTATTTTTTATAATTTTAATTTTTTTTTTTTAAAAATTATTTTTTTTTATTTTATTTTTTTGGTTGATATATAAATCTGTGTTGATCGATATTGATAGCGAAATAAGATAATTATTTTTTTTTTGACTCTAAATTATGATGATAATAATTTCATTTTTTTTTTATTTTTTTAAAAATAATCTTTTTTTGTGTGAACTTATAAAAACGAATAGAAAATACCTATTCTAAATTAAATATTATATTAAAAAAAGCATCAAAAACAGTTATTTCATAAAATCTATTTCAAAAAAAAAAAAAAAAGGAAAAGATACATTAATGAAAACTGTTTTTGATACTTTTTTATTATTATTTATAACCCAATAATATACCAACCCCATAAATAAGATTTATAAAGTTGTTTTAATCAACTACAGAATTGGAAAGAGAATAAATAATAACACTCAGTTTTATAATAATTTTCTTTTTTCCAATTAATTTTTTTTTTTTTTTAATTATTTTTTTAATTTTTTAAAATTTTTTTTTTTTAATTTTTAATTAGACCTGTTTATTAACAAATATGAAAAATTATAAAAATAATTTTAATAGTTTTAATCAAAATCAATCAAATAGCAATGGTTATAATAATATAAATAATATAAATAATATAAATAATAGTAATAATAGTAATAATAATAATAATAGTAGTAATAATAATGTCTTTGATATAAATCAAGATAATTATTTAGGATTGCGTTATTATCAACAAGATCTTTTTCAATTAGATTCATTATTAAATAACAGTAGCAATGATAATAACAAACTCAATAGTGACAATAAAGATAATATCGAGACAATATTAAGGAATTTACAAAGACAATTGGGATATTTAACGTGTTTAGAATTTGAACAACAACAAAAAAATAGTAACCATAAAGTTCAAAAACCAACTTCAGCTATACTGGAGCAAGAGCAAATACAGAGGTTTTCAAATTTTTACAGTGAAAAGGTTCAAAGTTGTTTTGAAGTTTTAGAGTCAAAAACTAACGATGTTGACGAATTTGATAAACTTGATTCAGGTTTTAATGAAGACCAAATAGACTCATTTTTAAATGAATTTGAATTTAAAATACCACCCAAAAGAGAAATACCCACAGATAATATAAACTCGCAGTATAATGAGAATAGTGACCAATCAAAAATTACATTTAATAGCTTCAAGCCAAATCATGAAAATATAATCAATACCAACTATTTAAAAAACAAAAAAGAATCAATTGAAAATAAATTACATGAAGAACACCAGATATTATTGGAAATTGAAAGACAAGAGAAAATTAAAAAGGATTTAGAAAATGAACAAAAAATTAAAAATCAACAATTATTACAATATCAACAGCAACAGCAGCAACACCAACAACAGCAGGAACAAAATAACTATCCAAAATCAAATAGATACATCGCAGTTGATGTAGAGGCAGATGAATCACCAAATGTTAAAGATAATCCATTTAAAAGTGCAAAGGATCAATATATCGAAAACCAAGTTACAAAAACAAATGAAAAGCCATCAACTGTTCAAAGTAATCTCAGAAAATTATCAACTGTCACAAATAATAGTAATAACAACAACAATAATAATACAAGTAATACGTCAAATAGTAACATTGGTTTAGGAAATAAAAAAAGAAAATTTACACCGCCAGTTAAAGGCAATGAGGATGAAGAGTTAAATAAAAAGCAACAAACCAATGCAAATACATCAAATTCAGCAAAATCAAATAACGGAGGTAGTGGTAAAAATACATCAGGTAAAGCAGACGAAGTTAATCCAAATGGAATTGATAATGTTAATGGTATACCCTTGGATGATGAAAGATTAAGAAATTTGGAACCGGTAATGCTTGAACGTATTTGTAATGAAATTTTAGATAAAAAAGATACAATTAAATGGGCGGATATTGCAGGTCTTAGTGATGCCAAAGATCAAATTAAAGAGATGGTGGTTTATCCGATTATGAGACCAGAGTTATTTAGAGGTCTTAGAATACCACCCAAGGGCTTGTTGTTATTTGGACCACCAGGAACAGGTAAAACTATGATTGGTAAAGCGATTGCAAGTGAAGTATCAGCCACATTTTTTAGTATTTCAGCAAGTACACTTACAAGTAAATGGATTGGTGAAGGTGAAAAAATGGTGCGTTGTTTATTTGCTGTAGCCAGGTGCTATCTTCCATCAGTAATCTTCATTGATGAAATAGATTCACTTTTAACACAACGTTCAGAAAACGAAAACGAAGCAAGTCGTCGTATTAAAACCGAGTTTCTTATTCAGTGGGATGGTGTTGCAGGTAATCCAGAAGATAGAATGCTTTTAATTGGTGCAACTAATCGTCCAGAAGAACTTGATGAGGCTGCTCGTAGACGTATGTCAAAGCGTCTTTATATTCCATTACCAGATTTCGAAAGTCGTTATGCACTAATCAAACACTTACTCAAGAAGGAAAGACACGATATTGTCGACGAGGGAATGAAGGAAATAGCGGAAATATCCGAAGGGTACTCTGGTGCTGATATGAAGGCACTTTGCACTGAAGCAGCTTATCAGCCGATTCGTGATTTAGGAGATACCATTGCAACAGCTTCATTGGAAAGTATCAGGGCAATATCAATCAACGATTTTATTTTAGCTAAAAAAAGAGTAAAACCTTCGGTGGATAAAAAGGAATTAAAATCATATGTCGAATGGAACGAAAAGTTTGGTGCTTTAAACTAATACTCAAATATTTAAAATCTAAAATTATAAACATGTACATTTAACACTATAATAATAATAATAATAATAATAATAATTAAAAATAAAATAAATTTATTAGTTTTAATATAAACCAATTTTTAAACATTTTTTAATGATTTTCATTGACATGGATTAAGGGCGATTAGTGGTTAAGTAGATGACTGGTTTAAAAAAGGCAAAAAAATATTTATTGGGTCTCTGTGGTTAAATATTTAGAATGATTAAATTTTTTTTTTTTTATTTAATTGTTTCTTAATCCATATTTATTAAATATTACGTTATTTCCCTGATTTTGTTGACAGTTTTCGATTATTCTTAATTTCTTAATATTGATGGAGCTCTGGATGGTTTTTGAGTTTGGAAAAATTGATTTTATTTTTTCATTTTTATGCTAAATAGTTGAATAGTATGAAAGAAAAATAACAATGAAACGTTAAAATTTTTAATTACCACATTGAAAAATAAATAAAATTAAAATAATTTTGTAGAAAATGTGGTAATTAAAAATTTAATTATTTTTACCACACCAAAAGAAAAATTTAATTTTTTTATTTATTTTCAATACAAAGTAATAATGCACACTCACGGTTATAGGCCAGGTATATATATAAACGAAGATGATTTTTTTGATCCCAATCCATTCTCTGAAGGGTGCACAGAAAGATGTCGACAAGAATTTTTTAAAACCCTTGAATATCTAAGGGAGAGATTGAAGATACAAATCGAGATTTTTAAACATCTCAAAAAGAATGAAGATGGTTCATTCCCTACATTCAATATTTATGATGTATATTCCTACTATGAAGGAAGGGACGACGAGCTTCAAGATAAAAATATTCAAGATTTATTTGATGTCGATATACTTAGTATGGATATTTCTCATTTAAAAAAAAGAACAGATATTCCAAAAAGTGTGGAAAGAAAAGAAAAAGAAACAGAAATAGAAATAGAAATCTGACTAAAATTGCTAAAATTAATAAAGTTTTTTTTCTTTTAATTAAACAGTTTTTATCTTTTTTAAATTTATTTCCTTCAGATATATAATGTTGTAGTTAGGAGTTTTCAAATTCTACCAGCATTGCCTATATTTTTTACAGATTCATTAGGTTTTTCTATTTAATTCATTATATAGTTTTTTTTCAATTTTGTTGGAAAAATTTTTTCTTATTTTCAAAATCTATTAAAATTTCCTTCTTTTTACTTTCTATAAAATTGAAATCAATGTATAGAGGTATTTCCTGTAGGTTTTATAAAGTTCTTGTTGTTCCTCTTAAGAGGATTTCATAAATTCAGAAACGATACTGGATCTTATTTTTTGTAAATCATTTCCTTTGATTCTTTGTTCCATTACAGTGCCCTAGATATGTATACCCCTTGATGATATTAAATATTGTATATTGATTTGTTCAAATAATTTTTTTAATTAATATTAATACAACCTAAAAACAATTAATAATAAAAAGTGTGGGAAATAGTATTGAGAAAAAGTGGGGTAAATAAAATAAATAAAAAAAAAATAAAATTAATTATTTATTATTTTTTTTATTTTCAATACAAAGTAATAATGTAAAATTAATAAAAATAAAAATTTTATTTTTTTTTCTGAATTTTACCACACCAAAATAAAAATCATTTTATTTTTTTTTATTTTCAATACATAGTAATAAATGCACACTCACGGATATTCACCTAGGGATTTTGTAATAGAAGATTATTTTGATGACCCTGAACCATTCTCTGAAGGGTGCACAGAAATATGTCGCCAAGAATTTATTAAAACACTTGAATATATAAGGGAAAGATATAGAATCCTTATCGAGATTTATAAACATCTCAAAAAGAATGAAGATGGCTCATTCCCTAAATTCGATCCTGATGATGTATTTTTCTACTATGAAGGAAGGGACGATGAAATTCAAGATAAAAATATTCAAGATTTATTTGATGTCGATATACTTAGTTTGAATATTTCTCAATTTAAAAAAAGAACAGATATTCCAAAAAGTGTTGAAGGAAAAGAAAAAGAAAAAAAAGAAATAGAAAGAGAATCGGAAGAATTAGAAGAAGAGTCGGCTAAATCTGACTTAGATTGCAAAAATTAATAAATAAAGTTTTTTTTTTAATTTAATAGACTATTTTCTTTTTAAATTTATTTCCTATAGTTATATAATGTTTTTGGTTTTCATATTATACCAGAATTATTGATTTTTTTTACAGATTCATAAGGTTTTTCTATTTGATTCATTATACAGTATTTTATTTTTTTTAAATTTCGTTTGAAAAGTTTCTCATATTTTCAAAATCTATTACAATTTCATTCTTTGTACTTTCTATAAAACTGAAAACAATGTTTAGAGGTGTTGCTAGTTGGTTTTATAAAGTTCTTGTTGTTCCTCATAGGATTTCATAAATTCAGAAACGAGACTAGTCTAAATTTTTATATAAGTCGTTTCTTTTGATCCTTTATTCTAATACACTGCCCTAGATATATGTAGACCCCTTTGATGATATTAAAAATGTATTGTATATTGACTTGTTTGAATAATTTTTTAAATAATATTAACACAGCCTAAAAATAATAAAGGATTATTAATAATAAAAAAGTGTTGGAAACAGTTTGTAGAAAAAGTGGGTAAAATAAAAATAAAAATTTTATTATTTTTATTATTTGCCGTACCAAAAAAAAAATCATTTTATTTTTTTTTATTTTCAATACAGAGTAATAAATGCACACTCACGGATATTCACCTAGGAATTTTGTATTAGAAGATTATTTTTTAGATCCCGAGCCATTCTTTTAAGGGTGCACAGAAATATGTCGCCAAGAATTTTTTAAAACACTTGAATATATAAGGGAAAGATATAGAATCCTTATCGAGATTTATAAACATCTCAAAAAGAATGAATATGGCTCATTCCCTAAATTCGATCCTGATGATATATTTTGCTACTATGAAGGAAAGGACGATGAAATTCAAGATAAAAATTTTCAAGATTTATTTGATGTCGATATACTTAGTTTGAATATTTCTCATTTAAAAAAAAGAACAGATATTCCAAAAGTGTGGAAGGAAAAAAAAAAAGAAACAGAAATAGAAATAGAAACAGAAATGGAAGAATAAGAAGAAGAATCTGTTAAATCTGTCAAAAATTGCCAAAATTAATAAATTTTTTTTTCTTTTTTAAATTTATTTCCTTTGGATATAGTGCAGTTGTTTGCAATTTTCACCATCTACCAGCTTTACCTTTATTTTTTCATACTCATTAGGTTTTTCTATTTGATTCATTTTTAAATTTTTTATTTTTTTCAAAAAGTTTCTTATTTTCAAAATCTATTAAAATTTCATTCTTTGTACTTTCAATTAAATTAAAATCAATATTTAGAGATATTCCGGTTTAATGAATATCAGTAAACAGTTTTATAAAAAATTGAGTTCTAAAATTATCGTTATCTTCATTTTATTCCAATTATCGATAGGGTGTTCAATAAAGTATCAGGTTTAGGAATGATGGTATAATCAAACAGATTTGTAGTATCTTTTCTCCCTTGACGTGGATTATTAGACTATTTAATGCTCATTAGTCGATGTTATATAAGAGCTTATTTGAATGGTAAGGATATTGTTCCCCCATAAAGACATTGTCTAAAAGGTGCTCATTAGTCGATGTTATATAGGAGCTTATTTGAATGGTAAGGATATTGTTCCCCCTGGTCAAATCAAGTCAATACTAATGAAGCTATTCCATCTAATCCAACATTTAATGAAAAAAATGAAAATTACTCTTTAAAATTATCTATAATAGAAAAGATTTAGTAGTCTTTATCCCTCACAGAAACTAATTAGGATCTTAGAATAACACCCTAATCATTTATTTCATATATTTTAATTAAAATAATTTTTAATTATAATTTTTATAAAAAATTTCACAATATTAATCAGATATAAATATTATAATTTTCATATTTTATAGTCTAACAAAAACATTTAAAATTTAAAATAATTTTTAATGCCAATATATAGTTTAATTTTATTAAATAAATTTATTGTTTGTATTTATTTTTTATTTATTACATTTAAAAAAATATTTTTATCTTTTTATTCCATTATGCATGTTATGGTTGTACTTCCTAAATTGGTGATGGTTAGTGGATCATTATAAAAATCACGATTAAAATCTGCAACATCTGTAATTGTATGTTTTTCACCAGAAAATTCAAATTCACCTTCCCCTCCATCATTAACTACAATTTTGAAATAGGTTACTCCATTTGTAAAAGTTGGCTAAAATTATGTAAGTATATTATTTAAAATTATATTTTTAAATAAATAGAAAATTTAATATTTACAATAGTTTTTGCTTCATTTGGTTCTGAATAAAAAGAAAAGAAAAAAGAAAAAATTAGAAAAACTTCTGTAAAATATTTAATAAAAACAAGAATAGCATACATACTTATGGAATATATCACTTCATTTTAAATAAATGAATAAAAGATAAATTAGTATTTTTTTTTTTTTTTTTTAATATAATTTTTATAATTACTTTATTATTATTTTTAATTAGATTAGAATTTATATTTGAATAAATGATTTATTTAAAATAACTTGGTATTTATATTTTTTTTAATATATATTAATTTAATTTTTTAAATTCACTTATTGATAAGATTATGACGTTAATATCGCTTTGTTTGTGAGAAGATTAAAAGAAATAAATGATAAAAAAAGTCAATATAAAAAAAACCAAAACACTTCATTAACCCCATTTTTATTTACATTTATTATGAAACAAATTTGTGGGTTTTTATAAAATTTATCTTCTTTTACTTGTATTTAAAATACCAAACTTTTTTAATAATAACCATTCAAATAGCCAAAATAAAATTAAAAAAAAAATGGTTTAAAAAATATAGAAAAAAATAGTGTTTGAACAAAAATAGAAAATATAAAAAAAAAAATTGTTTAAAAAAACTTTTATCATCATTTTTTTTTTTGTGAGAGGTTTGGGTGGTTTTTTTATTAATCATATTAAAACACCTTGGCACCTCCTTTGTAAAAAAATAGAAAAAAAATAATTTAGGGTGGGTCTAGAAAAGTTATTTTTGGGTAAATTATTGTCAATAATTTAAAGAAAATGAAGATTAATAGTCATTATCACAAATATTGCAACAAACTAATTATCTCTTTTTTTGCTATTTGAATGGTTATGTGTGAATATTATGAATTTATATCATATTGATAACGAGAAGAAAACTTTATAGAGATAAAAAGAAATAAGTGATTGAAAAAAAATAAAGTGGGTTTTAATTAAAATATAATATTAACATTATAATCATCTATGTTTATTCAATTCTTAATCTCTTTAATTTTTGTTCATCATTATTATTAAAATTATTATTATGATTATTACTATTATTATTTAATGTTGCTATATTATTTCCAGATGATGATAGATTATTATTAGTTGTTGGTTGGATTACATCTTCTATTGGTTTCTTTTTTCTTTTATCAGTTCTTGAAAATTTCTTTTCAAAAATTGAAATAATATCATCAAATGACTGGTTTTTGGATGGAGAATTGTTATTAATTTGATTTGAGAAATCCCAAGATTCAATAATTAAGTTTTGAATAATATTTTTGTGTGAAGGAAATAAAGATAGCATGTCATTATAAAGTTCCCATTCGTATTTTAATATTGACTCCAAATCTATATTTGGTTGTGATTGTTGATTGGGATCTTTTTTGATTAAAACTATATTTCTTAAAACATTACAGCACGAAATAAAACATTGATTTGCTTCTGATTGAAACTTTGGATCATTTTTAATCTTAAAGAAAACGATTTCTAAATTCTTTATATCATTATTTTCCTCCAATAGCTGGGTAAAAAGTTTATAATATTTAACTGAGAACCTATCTAATTTACCACCTCCAATTTGATCATCGCTCCAAATCGACCAAACACTTGCTTTAGATAATCTTGAGAGTCTAGGTTTGAATAATCTAATACATTCTTGAAGTGAGTTTGAAATATAGTTTTCTTTTCTAGTATAATATCTAATGGCCCATACTATACGGTAACTAGCTTGATGATGATAACTAACGATTGTTCTACAATGAACCAAAGCGGCTAACGAGTTTTCAATAAGAGCATCTCTTCTACTTTCTAAAGATGGTTTTTCTTCAATGGTTTCTTCTTTTTCAATAGCTTCGGTGGTACCACTCTGATTTAACTCTTTAATAGTAACATCAGTATTTAATGGGTCGGTTGATGATAATGTTTCTGTTGAGCCTGGTATTGGGTTTGATTCTGTTGAGTTGTTGTTTTCGTTGTCATTACTATTTGGTGAATCAATAACTTCATTGGTTTCATCAGTACTCTTTGTTTGATCTTTAGTTGTTGTTGTTGTTTTTGGAATGAAATTATATTGCTCCAAAATATCCAATAATTCTTCATTAATTGGTCTATCAAGTGGTAATAATAATTTTAATCTTTCGGTATGTAGACGATATAGTGGTAAAATTTGATTGGTTTTTCCTTTTACGGCATTAGGTAAAATTTGAATTGTTTTATATAATGTTTCTAAATAAACTGATGGTGGTTCACCTAATTTTTTTTCAAGTTTTGATTTAAATACTTGATAAAAAAATGATTCCTCTTCAATTTGATATTCGCTCTTCTTTGCCTCAATAGCTTCATTCTTTTTAACTTCTAACACCTGATCTAAGTAAAAAAGGGATTTTCTAAAAAGTGACTGCATCTTTTTATTATATTCTTCTTCACCTTTATTCTTTCTAACAAAATAATGTTTTTCATAAATTAAAAATGCTAATTCTCTAAATGATTTTTCTTTTGGTGTAATTTTGGTAATTTGTTTTAAGATAATCTTTAATTTTTTGAACAAACTATTGATGGCAACTTCTAAATCCTCTTCAACTTCGACCATTGATACATTGTTTTGGTTTTCTTCTTCTTCCACTTTACTTTTATCTTCATCATTTATAACCATTGCCTCCGATTGATTAGTTTGATCTTTATCTGCTGGAACAGAAATTGTAGTTTTTGAATCTGGATATCTAATTAAAATACCATCAGAACTTGTCAAGTCGACCAAATCATCAGAGTATGATTTTGACAAAGCCAACCAAGAGTCGATTCTTATTGGGTTACAATAAAGATCTTTAACTAGAAGGTCCCTATATTTCTCTTGATCTTTTTCTTGTTGTAGAGCATACATATAATAAATATCGGTGAATATATCATCAAAGATGGGGTTATCGGTATCAAGAGAATCATTCTTATCAAAAAGGATAGGGAAATCAAACTTTGGTGGTGTGTAGACATCTATAATGCTTTCTTCGGTAAGTTCTTTAATAGCTCCACTAAGATAGTCATTTATTATTGATTTGTATTTTGTAACTCTAGAGGGTGGTTCTGGGAATCTTAAATAAATCTTTTCGGTCAAATCTTTAAATTCTTTTTTGTTTGAGTATTGGCAAATTAAATTTAATACCTTTTGATTATTGATGAATGGATTTAATGGAATATTGATATCGTCTTCGTCATTTGATAAAATCTTCATTATAATAAAGAGTTGCATATAGATACCTGGACCTTCTAAAGATTGACGATTGGCATTTTTGGTTTGGTGCTCTTCTAAAGATGTTATTAATTTGATACCATAGAGACAGTAATAGCATTGGCATAGTTCTGTAATAAACTTTAAGGCCATTTGTTCTGTTTTCATATCACTACCATAAATTTTGATCATCTCTTGAGTAACATCATTTTCATCGATTAAAATCTTGAATAAAAGTTCGCTATAGTTATTTAAAAATTTAATATTTTCCATACTTAGACAGGTTTTCTTTTTGCCAATATCACTATGATACATTGTATATAGTGGTAACATTTGATACGTTTGTAATTTCTTTGATAAATCGAATTGATAAATATCTATAAACAATTCTAATAATTGATATGTACCAATTTTTTTATAATATCTAAAAATAATTCTAATTAAAATTGATAATAATGTTGATTGAGTTTCATCTAAAACTATTGATACCACTAGAAATAAAAAAATAAAAGTATACAAGTTAGAATATTTAATTTTTTTTTTTTTTTTTTTTATACTTACTATTTTCATGTTTAAATATTTTTTCAACCAATATTATATAATTTGTTATTAATTCAGTTTGATTTATAAATGTTGAAAGTTCTCTTAGTAAAACTATAGTCATCTTTAAGATACCTCTAATATTTGAAACATTTAAATATGACTGGAGTAAAAGGTCAATTCTATTTAATCTTGATTTAGTATCAGAGTCCAAATGATCTTTATTCTTAAATTCAAAAAGAGTAAGATTGGGGGCCACTGTAGTACTACTGGGAGGAACGGTGGGTATAATTGGAGCAAAATCTAAAGCACATAATGAATCTGGGAACAGTGGCTCTAATAAACCAATAACAGAGTCATATTTCTTTGAATTGAATAATTGACCAGCTGCATTCTTTTCCTGTTGATCTTGGAGATTTGAAATTTTATCTGAAAGTATTAATGGTGAAATTATTTTATCAAATTTACAATGGCCAATTGAAAAATAATCCAATGAACCGTTTTTGAAATTTCTTTTATTATATTCTTCGAAAAGATGTTCACATTCTCTTAGATGCAGTGTTGACATATTAATATCACCCATGACATTCATACTATAATTTGCTAACAACCATTGATATCTTAATTCAAACAGTATTTCCTTTTCAAGTTCTTCTTTTTCTTTTTCATCCATCATAATTTCATCCTCATTGCTGATAGTGGCAGTTGATGTATCATTGGTATCTTTTTGATCTTTTAATAATTTTAATGGTTTTAAAAATTTCTTTAAATTTAATAATTGTAGATAGTATGATAAGTGTGATAAATCTTGATTTGGTAAATAGGAATCTTGGTTTTCTTTTAATGGTGTTGTATTGGCTACAATTGGTATATTATTATTTGATGAATTTGGTGATATTTGTGTTGATGGTATTGAATCATTTGGTTTTATAGTTATCTTTGAAGATTTTTGTTGTTTCTTTTTCTTTTCTAATAAAAATGATTGGTATTTATCAAAGCATAGCTCGGATAACAATAAATAATAATCTTGATAATCGTTTTTACCACAAACTATATGTTGATCGATGATGGATTTGGTTTTTAAAATTTTACTATTAATTAATACTGGGAGATTGTATAAAGTTGCTTCTTTTGAAATATAATTTAAAGTTTCAATCATCCAATCAATAATTGATACCATTAAATTTGGTTCTTTAATTGTAATTTCATTCATTTGATTAATAAATTTATAAATACTGGATTTTTCAATTTCATTTGATTTTAATTGTGATTTGGTTGAAGCTATCGTAGCGGTAGTAGCAGATTGTTTTTCTTTTTTCTTATCATCATCACTATTTAAAGTTGATAGTTCGTCACTACTTAATTGATTTAATATTGTTGATGAAATTGGTCTATTATTATTTATAAATTTATCTATATAATCATCGATTTCAGTTATTTTATCTTCTTGTTTCGAAATTGCTTTAGCTCTTTCCATTCTTCTACTTGTAATTGTAGTTGTTTGAGTTGGAGGTATTGGCATTGATGAACGTGTTGGAATTGAACCACTACTACTAGCTAAAACAGTTTGTTGGTTTGGTTCTAATTCTTTATCTTTTTCTAAAACTTCTTTAGCTTCTTTAACTTCTTTATTTTCTTTATTTTCTTTATTTTCTTTATTTTCTTTATTTTCTTTATTTTCTTTATTTTCTTTATTTTCTTTATTTTCTTTATTTTCTTCTTCGACCAAATCGATAGTTTGATTCTTTTCGTTTTCATTTTCATTTATATTATTACTATTAATACTGTTATTATTTAAATTATTATTATTATTATTAATATTATTATTATTTAAATCATCATCATTAGTTTCATTATTTTCATCAATTGTTGCTTCAATAATTTCTAAAGTTTGTTTTATTTTTTGTTCTTCTTGTTGTGATAAATTTAATTTAATTTCTATAGGTGAAAAAATTGATATTGAAGATGATTCTTTTTTTTCTGTATATATTAAATTTAACAAATCCAATAAACTATTCCATGTTGGTGTATTTAAAGTGTATTCTTTTGGTTTATCTAATTCTTTTTGTAATGAATCATTTATTGTGATATTTGTTGTATTGACTGATAATTGTTTATTTTGAACTTTTTCTCTTTTTTTAATTAATGATTGAATATAATTTAAAGAGTTTGAATTATTTTTAATATAATTCAAAAATTCAGAGATTTCTGAAAATTTTGATGGGTTATTTCTTTGAATTAATACCTTGACAATGAGAGCTTTGAAATGAGTTGGTTGTGATGGTAGGATTTTTTGATCGATAATATTAATACAGGATTCATCATCACCAATAACATAAAGTAACTCTATAATTCTTTCCAGTGATAACCAGTGAGTTGGTGATAATTGAATGGCTCGTTCTAAAGCAAATCTAGATATATTCCATTTCTCAAGATCCATTGAAATCTTTCCAATATTGTACCAAAGTGAAACATCTCTACCATCTAAATCGACCGCTTCTGTAGATAACTTTAGTGATAACTCTTTATTATCTATAATTTCATAAATATTTGCCATATTTTTTAGTGTTGAATATTTAATTGAAGCCATAGTACTTGATAAAACTGATTTCTTTGATGTAGGTTTGATTCTTGCAATTAATGGAGTTTGAAGTAATTCTTGATATAATTGTTGTGCTTGTAAATAATCATTATTCTGTTGAGATCTTAATGCATTTTCATATAATCTCATATTTTGAGACTCTTGAGCTTCAATCGATATACCATCATATTTTCCACCTGTATTACCAGTACTACCGACTCTTGTATTATTTAAATATTGATCATCTCTATCTGACCTTTCAATTTCTGATTCTGAATCTGACGAATCATCATAATTTCTTTGATTTATAGTTGCAAATCTAATCATTTAATTTTTTTATTTAATTTAATTTTATTTTACATATAAAAAAACTATAAACTATAAACTATAAACTATAAAAAAAAAAAATAGATAATAGATTTATTTTTATAAAAAAAAATTTAATAAAATAATGAAAAAATGAAAAAATTATATTTTTTTAAATTAAAAAATTTTTAAAAAAAAATAAAAAATAAAAAATAAAATTAAATAAATAAATAAACCTTTTTTTTTTTTTACAAATATTTTACAAATGTAAAATTATTTACATATTGTTTTAAAAAATCTTTATTTTTTCGGTTGATTATAATTTGATTTTAATTAATTGAATAAAATTAAAAGAATTGATGATAAAATTGCAAATACAGAGAAAACTAATTTGGAACTTGAATTGGAGCTACTGCCTTTTTCTGAATCATCAATGATATCAGATAATTTTTTAACTGGAACTTTGCAAGATTCAATTGTTGGTAAAGCTTGATCGAGGGTACAGGTTCCAAGATTATCAGCATTGGAGCAATCTTTGGTACAAGTGTAACGGTTAACGGTAGTACCATCACAAACATAACGATACCATTGTTCAGCATTGTCAATTTTTTCACAAGCACCAGTGACATATGAATTGATTTGTAAATAATCGCAATTGTCATCAAACATTTTAACAGTACCACAAAAACCTTCTGCTAAAGCTACTGGATTCTCTTCATTTAAGTAAAATTTGAAATAATCATTTTGACAAACAGTTAAAGTTTGGTTGACATTATATTCTGTAACACTAGTACATTCTTCGATTGAATTGATTTCATTGGCATAAGTGTATTGAACAATTCCATTACCTGCATACTTGAATCTACCTAATGGTGAACATAATGTTGATGCTTGCATTGCAACAATTTGACCACCACATCCTTGTTTTTCATATTGAACAGATGTATATTGGTAACCATAACTTGGATTTAAAATTAAAATTAAATTTAAAATTATAAAAATTATTTTAATCATCATTTTTTTTATTTATTACTTTTTTTAATACAATAATATCTATAAAAAATGTAAACTTTTTTTTTTTTTTTTTTTTATTTCAAAAAAAAAAAAATTAAAAAAAAAAAAAAAAACAAAAAAAATAAAATAAAAAAAATTTTAATTGATTTAATTATTATAAAATTATTTTTTTTCGGTTAAAGCCAAATTGTTTACGTGTTTATATCCTTGTTTAATTTTTCAAGAATTATTAAAGAAATAAATAATTTTAGTAAAAAGAAATATTAAAAAAAAACAATTAAATTATTTATTTGTTTCTAAAACCATTTATTAATTTAAAAAACCAAAAAAAATAAAAAAAAAAATATCTTTTTTATTTTTTTTTTTTTATTTATTTTTTTTTTAGATTTTTAGTAAAATAATTATCATCATAAATATTTTTTTTTTTTTAGTTTTTGTTTTTTAGTTTTTATAATGAAATAAAAGAAATTTCAATAAAACTAATATAATAATAAAAATGTATAAAATATTATTTATTTTTTTTTCATTAATTATTTTAGTAAATTGTCAATCAACATGTAGATTTGCACCAACATATACTTTAAATGATATTTTATATAATAATAATCAATCATTTATAAATGATATTATTTATTGGGAAGGAAATGTTTGTATATTAATTAAATAATTTTATTTTTGATTTAATCTAATTTTTTTTTTTTATAATTATAATTTTCATTTTTTTCATTTTTTTTCATTTTTTTTCATTTTTAATTAAAAAAAAATAAAAAAAGTTTCATCAAGATGGAGCAGGTATTAATTTTGCATGTGGATATACATATGATGGTCATGCATTAAATTATACAACTGGTGAATTAGCAAATCCATTACATAATTTTAGTGCACCATCAAAAGAATCTATTCATTTAGGTCTATTAGCAAGATCACTTTATGAATTTATTAATGTCAACGAACAAGATTACCAAGCTATTAATTTCTTTCATCAAAATGTAGAACGTACACCAATTGAAAAGAGTTTAATAAAGCCATCTGGAAATTCAAACTTTGATAATGTTATCACCATTTTATATAGAAAGATTCAAACTTATGAAAATTTCAATAAAAACTTCCCAGGTTATGGTGGATTTCATCCATGGGTGTCAGTAACTGATTCTGGTATATCGCCAATTGAAGGATATTGGACCGGACGTGTTCCTGGTTTAGATAATGGTGAAATGATTTGGTCACTCTATGCAACTTTTAATTTATTAACAAGTGAATCATACTATCAAACCAACTATCCAGATTTAGGTTCAAGATACCAAAACTATTTCCAATTACTTATCGACAATGCAATGATGATGTTTTACAATACAAGTATAAATTATATTAGTTCCGTGACTTCAATTAAAGATATCTATGCCCAACCAACACCATCCAACTATCAAAACGATGGAGGATATCTCGATGATCCTTATGAAGGTGAAACTTTAGCAGTATTTATGGACCTTTTCTGTCAATGGGAAAATGAAGATCAACGTGAACAAATGTGGATCAATAAAAGAGGTCTTTTAAAATCAATCGAATTTTCAACACCAAAAGGTAACATTACAGTTCAAAAAGGTTGGTGGTTTAGCTCACACGAACAATGGAAATACCTTTTATTACCATATGACAAGGTTGAAATTAATAGACGTGTGTTTTTAAATGGTGAAAGAGCCAGAACTTGGTTCTCATTTATAAACTCTTATCCAGGTCTATTTGCATCGGTCACCAATGTATCTGAACCAAATTCAAGTCCAAACTATGTTAGTGCCACTGGTATTCAAGAGATTGCATTTGAACAAGTATTAACAAATTCATTAATTACACCATATGGTTCATTCCCACTATTTTTAACCAACGAACCATCATTAGGTCTTAGTTGGTATTATACAATGCTCAAAGGCAATGCAATGCAAAATCCATATGGATCAACCGAATCAACAAATATTGAAGGCGATGAAATAAGTCCAGTTATAACTTGGGATAGTAAAATCACCACAGTACTCTCAATGTTGGGTGGTGTAAGCGAAATTAACTACAACTATTTACAATTAAACTCTAATTTCTCTCGTTTCTATGATATTATTAATAGAGAATGGTCTTTAGCTTTTCCACAATTAAATGGTGAATCATTACCATTCATGTATCCAAATAATGAAATTCCAACCAATGACAAATTAAAAGATTTCACAAGTTGTCAATAAAAAATTTTAAAAATTTAAAAAAAAAAAAAAAAAAAAAAAAATTTTTTTTTTTTTTTAATATTAATTAAATAATTTTTGAATTTTATTTTTTTGAAATATAAAAAAGTAAATTTTAATATTTTTTTTTTTTTTTTTTTTTTTTTTTTTTTTTTTTTAAATTTTTATTTTTTTTTTTTTTAAATTTTAAAAAAAATTTTTTAAATGAATACCCTTTTTTTTTATTTTTTGTTTTTTTTTATAAATATTTAATAATAGTTTAATTTATTTTATTTATTTTATTATTATTTTTTTTTTTTTATAAATAATATAATCTATTTTAAATGGATATTATTATATAATCGAATTATGAATAAAAAACAAATATTAAACAATTATTTAAATGAAAAGAAACTACAACAACAGCAACAGCAACAATTAAATGGTAGCACTAGTATAAGTAGTAGTGGTATTAGTAGTAGTAGTAGTAGTAGTAGTAGTAGTAGTAACAATATAAATCATTTAAATAATAATATAAATAATAATAATTTAAGTAATAATAATTTAAATAATATAAATAATATTAATAATATAAATAGTAATATAAACAATAATATAAATAATAATAATAATAATAATAATACTGAATCATCAAATAATCATGTAAATCACCACCACCCCTTATCCTCCTCTTCTTCATCATCATCATCCTCCTCTTCACATACCCAATAAAACCAAAACCAACAGCTGTTTTAAAACAGAGTGCATATGAAGTTAAACAAAAGAAATTAAAAGAAAAAGAAAGAAAAGAAAGAAAAGAAAGAGAAAAAGAAAGAAAAGATAAAGATAAAGATAAAGAAAAGGATAATAAAGATAAGGATAAAGAAAAAGATAGGGATAAAGATAAAGATAAATTAGATAAGAATATTAATAATAGTAATAATAATAACAATAATAATTTAAAAAATATAACAATTAAAGAAAATGTAAATAAACTTAATAAAACTAATGGAACTACAATTAAAAATCCGTCAACAACTTCACCACCAACTTCGCCTATGATATCCTCCTTAAAGAAAACAAATGAAAGTATTAAAAGTTTATCAACAACAACATCACCAACATTAACATCATCAAATTCAAAAGATAGTAATGGTAAAAAAAGATTATTAAAAAAAAAAAATACTGATAAATCAAATGTAAAAAAAATAAAATTATCAAGTGGCGGAATGATAACATATAAAAAAAAAGGAAACAATAGTAATAATAGTAGTAGCAATAATGATAATACCGACACAAATAATAGTAGTAGTGGTAGTGATGATTCAAGTGATGATGAAAGTAGTGATAGTGACTCAAGCGATTCATCCGATTCATCAAGTGACTCTAGTGATAGTAGTGATTCAAGTGACAGTGATACCAATAGCAGTGATAGTGGCTCCTATGATAGTTATAGTGGCAGTGATAGCGAATGTTCAGATAGTGATTGTTCATGTAGTAAAAGTAAAAAATTAAAATCAATTAAATATCAACAATTACAAAATAGAATCAATAGAATTGTAGAATTATCAACTCAAGATTTAACAAATCATCCAAAAACAATAACAACTGATTATATTCAAAAACATTTAAGTAGTGGAAAAGCAGCACCAAACTATTCAGATATAGCAGTATTAATTCAAAAATCAAGAGATAAAAAATTTGGTTTTATTTCACAAGGTAATTATTATAAATATAAAACATTATTATTATTATTAAATATATTAATAATTTTTTTTTTTTATAGATTTATTTTTAGAAAGAAATGAAAGAGTTTTAACAGAAATTGAGGATATAGATATTTGTGATTGTAATAATATTCAGAATTCAGTATGTGGTGAAGAATGTTTAAATAGAAAATCCTATGTTGAATGTAATCCTGAATATTGTGAATTGGGTAAAAAATGTACAAATCAAAGATTTAAAAGAAAACAATATGCAAATATTAAACCATGTTTTGTAAGTATATATAAAAGATGTGTAAATATATAAAATAATTTTTTTATTAATTTAAATTTTTTTTTTTTTTTAGACTGGTAAAAAAGGTTGGGGTTTAATTTCATGTGAAAATATTAATAAAGGTGATTTTGTTATGGAATATTGTGGTGAAGTAATTAGTAAAACTACATGTTTAAATAGAATGCAAGAAAATGAAAATGAAAAATTTTTTTATTTCCTTACATTAAATTCAAAAGAATGTTTAGATGCAAGTAGAAGAGGAAATTTAGCAAGATTTATAAATCATAGTTGTGACCCAAATTGTGAAACTCAAAAATGGATTGTAGGTGGTGAAGTTAAAATTGGTATTTTTTCAATTAAACCAATCGAAAAAGGAACAGAATTAACATTTGATTATAATTATGAAAGATTTGGTGCATCAAAACAGGAATGTTATTGTGGTTCAAAAAATTGTCGTGGATTTTTAGGTCAAAAAGCAAAAACTCCTATCACCAACACTAGAAAACAAAAAACACCAATTCGTTTCAAAACTTTATAGATTTGATCACAAATATCACCTCAAATATTTATTGGATGAAGAGATTATTGATAAATCACTTTATAAAAGCGAATTAACTCCAGAAAGTCAAATATCACTAATTAATTTAAGAAAAATTTTTTTACATAGAAATGTTAAAAATGGAAAAAATTATTATTTAAATTTATTACAAAATTATACAATTAATCCAAAATTATTAAATATTCCAAATTTAATTACGGGGGGGGGCGACAACAACATCAACAATACCAATAAATATACCATCAATATCACCATCATTATCATCATCAAATGCCAATACAAAATTAGTAAATTCAATTAAATCATTTCCAAAAATACCTTTAAAATCAAATATTAAAGATAAAGAAAATAAAGAAAATAAAGAAAATAATAATAATAATAATAATAATAATAATAATATTGATAATATAGATAATTTATCAAAAAAAAAAAATTTATTTAAAAGAAAAAATAAAATTTCTGAAATTTTTAATATTTAAATAAAATATTTTATTTAAATATTAAATAATATTTATTTATGTGTATTTTTTTTTTTTTAAAAAAATATATAATACAAATTTTTATTTTTCTTATTTTTTTATTTTTTTTATTTTTTTTATTTTTTTATTTTTTTATTTTTTTTGTAATTAAATTGATTATTATTTAAATGATTTTATTTATTTTTCATAAACTTGTATTTTAATTTAATTGTTTTAAAAATTAGTCGTTAAAAATTGATCAGAAAAAAATAAAATGAATTGTTGCAAATATTAAGAAATTTTTTAATTATTCGTTAGAACTATTTTTTTTAAAAAAAAAATTAAAATAATTAATTGTTATTTTAAAAATAAAATTTTATTTTTTTTTTATTTTTGTTTTTTTTTTTTTTCTATTATTTTTTTTATTTTTTTTTCTATTATTTTTTTTATTTTTTTTTTTTTTTATATTTTAATTTTATATTCCCATATACCCATTATTTTTATTATGTAAGTTTAATTATAGGATTTTTTATTATATAATATAAAACATTACCATATAATTTAAATTTCATTTATTCTTTTTCCATAGAAAAAAAAAAAGAAATAATATAATATTTAAAAATATAGTAATTTTATATATATAAATACCCATATAAAAATAATAAAATTTTGTTTTCTATTTTTTTTTGTTATTTTTTTTAAGATAATTATTCTTTTTTGAAAAAAAAAACAGAACAATAAACAATTCAAAAAAAAAATAATTTTAAAACTAAACAGTGTTTAAAATTTAATATAAAATTATATATTTTTTAAAATTTAAATATCTATATTTAATAAATAATTTTTAATACCAAAATTTTAAAGTTATAATAATAATAGTAACAGTAATTTTTAGAAACTTATATTTTAATTTTCAAAGAATTAAAAAAATAGGTTGAATTTAAAAAGAATAAATAAATATTTTTTTATTCTATCAAATTTCTCTATTCTTTGTTTGCGTCATAAAAAAAAAAAAACAATTATCCTTTTAAAATTTTGGTTAACGATTTTTTTCACTTAAATTATTATTTATTTTATAATATTTATTTATTTTTCTTTTTTTTTTTTTTTTTTTTGTAATTTTTTTTTTTCAAATTTTTTTAATTTTAATTGGAAAAAAAAAAAAAAAATAAAAAAACCATTATTTTTTAATCACCTCAACATTCAATATCCATTTATCTTTTATTTGTTTAATAATAGTTTAATTTTTCGTATTTATTAATTTTAAACCTATTTCAATAGTTAACAATGGCTCGTACAAAACAAACTGCTCGTAAATCAACTGGTGCTAAAGTACCACGTAAACACATTGGTTCTAAACAAGCCCACAAACAAACTCCAGTTTCATCATCATCATCAGGTGGTGTTAAAAAAGTTCATCGTTATAGACCAGGTACTGTAGCACTCAGAGAAATTCGTAAATACCAAAAGAGTACCGATCTTTTAATTCGTAAACTTCCATTCCAACGTTTAGTAAGAGAAATTGCTCAAGAATTCAAAACTGATCTTCGTTTCCAATCTGCTGCTATTGGTGCCCTCCAAGAAGCTTCAGAAGCCTATTTAGTTGGTTTATTCGAAGATACCAATTTATGTGCCATTCACGCTAAAAGAGGTAAGTTTTTTTTTTTTTTCCTATTCAATAAAAGTAACATTTACTAATTTTTTTTCTTTTATTATTCAATTATTACAATTATCAATTATCACCATTATCAAATATCAATCACCATTCAAACATCAATTATCACTAATCAATCACCACCATTATTAATTATCAATTATCATCATTATCAAATATCAATCACCATTCAATTATCAATTATCACTAATCAATCATCAAATATCACAAATATCAATCACCATTCAATTATCAATTATCAATTATCAATTATCAATTATCAATTATCAATTATCAATTATCACCATTATCACCAATCAATCATAAATTATCACCATTCAATCATCAATTATCACATTCTTAATGATTTCATACTATCAAATATGTAATGATATACTCTATTGATAATCACGATACCTAAACATAATAATATATTGAAATTGCATTCATTTACCCTCCCTCAGTCACAATTATGCCAAAAGATATTCATCTTGCTCGTCGTATCAGAGGTGAACGTTCTTAAAAAAAAAAAAAAAAACTCTTTTTTTTGGTTCCTCAATTTTATTTTAAAAAGACCCACACTGTATATTCCGTTTTAAAAAATTAAAAAAAAATTAAAAAAAAATTAAAAAAAAACAAAACAAAAAAAAAAATAAAAAATTTCTTTTTTTTGGATTAATAATTATTAATCCAATAAAAAAATATTGTGTTTTGTGTATTTTTATTTTCCTTTCTCTTATAATATTGTTTGCGAATATGAAATATTTTTCAATTTTATATTATAATTTACATCATTCGATCTTGTTCCATCTTGTGTCAAAATAAAAGACCGCATTGATATTTATTAACACCCCAGACCAATTTTTGTGTAATAATAAGACCCCTATTAAGTTTAATAAAGAAATATAGTTTAGAAACCTTTATTTAAGTATTTTAGTTATTTATATAATTAATTGTTATTGTTATTAGAAGTTAATAGATGATAAGAATGAATAATAAAAAATTATTACTGAAGTATTTATAGTGTCATAAACAAGTTGACATGAATGTATATATATGTTAAACATGTGACAGTTTCAACTAAATATATTATTTATGGAAAATTATTACTATTTTAGGAGATATTTATTATAAAACTAATTATTGCTATTTTTGGGATTGTAAATAATAAAAATCACCTTAAAGATTTCATTACATTTGCATATTGCTTTCTTTTCATATTTATGAAAAATGCAATTATAAATATATAATGGTGAATAGTCCAAAAGTCATTAAATAACTTGGTATATAAATGGAAAATTAATAGAGATGTTTTATAAAAAAAATATTATTGCAAAAAAAATGAAATATATATTTATAAAGGGTTATTTTTTAAAACAAATTAACAATTTTTTTTATAAAATAACTTAATAAATAAACATTATTTGTTATTAATTAATAATAGTTTTTTAATTTATTTATGGTTACCCTTTCTAAAAATAATACTTATTTTAAGTTATTTAAATAAAATAATTAATTTATAAAAAAAAAAAAAAAAATCTTTTTTTTTGTTATTATTGCTATTTGTTTTAAAGTAATATATATTTAGAAATTTTTTGGTGGAAAAAATATTGAGAAAATATTTTTTTTATTTTTTTCTATTTTAATTTTTAGCAAATATACCAATATCTTGTAATTTGATTTATTTAAATGGTTCTTATTTAAATATGACCGATTAATTCAATAATTATCATTTCCATCTTAATAAAGTATGGGATCTACATATATACATGTATATTCCGGGCAGTTTACAAAATGAAGAAATAATGTTGAAACATTGCTGGTTCTTGCTCGATTCGGTTTGGTCTGGCAAACATTCTTAAAAAAAAAAAAAAAAATTTTTATAGTTTCTACTCTTTAATTTTATTTTAAAAAGACCTGTATTGAATATTTGTTTTTAAAAAATTAAAAAAAAATTTGGATAAATTTTTTTTGGCAAAAAAAATAGTATATTGCATATTTTTTATTTATTCCTTTCTCTAATAATTTTTTTATAAGTATAGAATTTTATATTTTTTTCTTTTTGAATAGATATTTAGTGATTGTGATGATGATGATGAAGATGATGATTGAGATGATGATGAAGAATGTGGTGGGGATGGTGGTGGGGTTGATAAGAATTCATCATTTCTGTAATGGTATTTATGTTAAAAACAATATAAATGATGATTTGGGAAATTATTTACCCAATAAACCAAGAAACTTGATGTTTTCTGCACCATATAGATCTCTGTTGATATCTCCATGCCATTTGCGATGCAAAGTTTTATATGAACCATTAGAATTGTCATGAGGTTGCACACATGGTACTAAACCATCCTCTTATCTCTTATTTCTCAATTGAAGAGGTTCAATAAATTTTATAGGTTGACAAGAGATAAGAGGATGGTTTAGTACCATGTGTGCAACCTCATGACAATTTTGGACGCATTTATGGCATAGCTTGGAACTATACTTTTCATCAGTTTCAATTATATTAAATCCTGTTTTAATTAATCTTTTTCTAAATGATTTAGAAAAGAAATTGGGCTTCCCTTTACTAAAGTATTAGAACCAGTTCCACAATCTAAAAAATAAATAATAAATTTGTTAATTATAATTAAAGAAAAATCAAAGAAATATAATACTTACAAATATCAACATGGTCTTTCCAGTTTTCAATTTTGCCACAAGATTGGAGATCCTTTAAACTTTTAAATTTATGAGGATCAGAATCTTTGACAAATTTTTTAAAATTTCTATCAAATCTTGATTGGACAATTTGGGATCTTCTAGATTTGAAATTTTTAAAATTTGAAATTGGTTCTAAATATTGAAGAGAAACCAATTTTTTTTATTAAATCTTATCTTTTAAAAGATAACTGATTTGATCAAAATATGAAATACCTGTTGCTATTATTTTATAAAATAATAAATTATTGTTAAAATTTATAAACTAAAATAAAACTAAATATTAATTTATAAATATTTAAAACTTACTTAATTTTGGGAAATTGTTTATAAAATCTAATAAATTGTTTTCTTTTGTCATCTCTAATATTTCTTTTGAATAATTACTGACACCCATTTCCCTAGAGTAGGTTTTTGTACTAATGTTAAAGGTGCTATTTGAAGTTTTGCTAATAGAAAACATTTCGTCAACAACCGTGATAATATTTCTAATACCTGGGTTAAGACCAAATGACCATCTGTATTCTTCAATTGTATTTGATATTTTATGTTGAAAAGTAACTGGAACTTTATTGGTTGGATGAATGAATTTTTTTTGCCTCTATTGTTGGATCATTTATTTGATTATTTGGGTTTTTGATTTGCCGCAACTTTTTATTTGAAACTACACAATATGTACCATCTGTTAAAATATAGCATGAAGAAAAAAATTAAATTTTATCTTTTTTTGTTTTAAATTTTAAATTAAAAAAATAATTTGGGAAAATGTTTTTAAAAAAATGCTCCATTAAAGTTTCAATTTTACAGTTTTTCAAATGGTAATCTTTGAAAAATATTGGATAATAATAATCATTGAGAAATTGATAATTAATTTTTATAAGAGAGGTTGAATTTATATTAAATAATGGAACATCTGGTTTAATTGATTTATCTTTTTTTATAAAATTAAATTGAAAATTGAATTAATATTAATATTATAGTTTTTAATTAATTGATTAATAAAATTATATAATTTTGAGTCTTTTAAATTGTTAAAAGGTGATTGTAAAATTTGATCTTTAATTTTTTCAGTTAAATCTATATTTGATGGTTTTTCTTTTTTTTATAAAATATTTACTTCTAAATATAGTAATAATACTGTGGTCTATTGAAATATCATTTTGAAGATTTGAAATTGATTTTTCATTTTTTTTTGAAAGTTGGAATTGGAAAGGAGTTTTAATACCATTTGGGAAAAAATTAGAAATTGGTTCTAAATATAGAAACAAAACCAGTTTTTTGATAAAATCTTATCTTTTAAAAGATAACTGATTTGATCAAAATAAATACTCCCTGTTGCTATTAAATTAAAATTAATTTAAAAGAAAAATGAAGGTTAGTTATTTTTATAAGGATATTAAAATTTTAAATTAATACTTACTTTACTTTAGATAATTGTTCTTGGATTCAAATAAATTGTTTTTGAATAATCTAAAATTTTTTTGTAAAATTTTTAACACCCATTTCTCTGGAGTAGTTTTAAAGGTGCTCATAGGAGTTTTGCCAAATGAAAACATTTCATCAACAACAAAAACAATAATGGTTCTAATGCCTGGATCAAGACCAAATGACCATCTATAGCCTATCGAGATTAATTCTATAACTTGCAAGTAGTCGGATCTTTGTCGGTAGATTAACATTTTAATAAATAATAATAGTAATAATAATAATAATAATTTGAATATGTCATTTGCTATGCAATGTTTTATGAAGTTTATAGTGTGATATAAACTGATCATATTCAAACAATTTATTGGTAGAGGGTGATTCAATTCTGCCGCATGACATTTTATGGTATCAACTTGAAACTGTCATTACTTTAAATCAGGTTTTTACAAGCTCAAACGATTGTTTATTCCTGTTTTTTTACATCCTTTTTGAAATTAACTGTCTTCTTTTGTAAAACAAAAAATGATCTAGTTTTAAAAAAAAAAAATATTAATTATTTTATAAATATCATTATTAATGTCATAATACAGTTGTGAATAAGTTTTAAAACTTACATTTTGTTTTGGTATTATTTAAATATATCCAGCACAACCATCTCTTGATTGACTATTTTCATATTGTGAGAGTTTAGGATATTCACAGATAATTTTTATTTTTTTTTATATAAATCTTTTATAGATAGAACTCCCATAATAGTCCAAGTCTTTATTATATTATGAAAGACATAAGAGCCATTAGATTATCACTTATATTCTACCACAATAGAGGACTGGAATAATTCATTTGGTTATGCACTATTTTAAATAAAATATTAATATAAAAATTAAAAATGAAATTAAAAAAAAAAATTATTATATTTACATTTTTTTTTATAGTTTCAATATGGAATATCATCAGGAGCTACAATAAAAACCTACAAGAGAAATAGATACTCTTGTAGGTTTTGTTATATAATTGTTTGTTTTGATTATAAAAAAAAAAAAAAAATTTTTGGGTTTTTATATTAAAAAAAAAAAATTAAAAAAAATTATTAAAAAATAATAAAAAAATATAAAAAAAAAAATATGTTAAAGAAACAAATGTGATTTTATTAATTAATGGCGACATTATTTCGAATACCCAGTATTATACCAAATCTAATTTTAATAAAAAAAGAAATGTGTATATTTTTAAAAAGGAATATATGGTGTGGGTCTTTTTAAAATAAAATTGAGGAACCAAAAAAAAGAGTTTTTTTTTTTTTTTTTAAGAACGTTCACCTCTGATACGACGAGCAAGATGAATATCTTTTGGCATAATTGTGACTGAGGGAGGGTAAATGAATGCAATTTCAATATATTATTATGTTTAGGTATCGTGATTATCAATAGAGTATATCATTACATATTTGATAGTATGAAATCATTAAGAATGTATATGTATACACAATTTAATTTTTCGAATAAATTTAGGTTAATAAGGATAGTATGGTAAAAAAATATTATATATATTAATCAATAAAATAAAATAATAAATATTAGTGTAACTTTTTTATAAAAGATTATAAATTTATTGATTCTTTACACAGTACTTGAAACAATTTTTGATGATAAAGGATTTCGTTGATTAAAACCATTTTATAATAACATGTGTGTTATTGAAGCAGGTCGTAAAAAACAACATATAACAAACAACAAAAAAATTCAAAAATCAGTCAGGATTAATATCGAAAATGTATTTGCAAATACATTATCAGAATTAAAAGATTTTCAATTAGAAACAATACTTTAAGATAAAAATTTAAACAAATTTACCCCAAACACTTAACCAAACCATCTTTTTTTATGTAAAAATATTAAAGGTTCTCTTGAAATTTCTTAAAAAAATATAATTTCTAAATATTTTAATAAATGAGAATATAATTTAATTTGTGTATATACTATTTTATACACAAATTAAATCACATCAATTATAATAAAAATTTTTTTTTATTTTTTTATTTATTTTTCTATAATTATTTTTTTTATTTATCTTGCTTTAATAGTTTTTTTTTTTTTATTAAAATTATTTATATTATTTTTTCTTTATAATACATAATAATTAAAAACTAGAAACCAATTTTTATTAATACAGTAATAATTTTAAATATTAAATAATGACAGTAAAAAGAAAAAATAGTTTAATTAAAAATGCAAATATTAAAAAATGTTGTAATTGTGTGAAATCCACTTTAATGAAAGGTGATTTATATTGTAAACTTTATACTTGTATTCATTTAAAAAAGAACCATCAAATATTTCTCAATGTGTAATGATTGGGAAAGAAATTAAACCAGTAAAAATATGTTTTTCAAAAGAAAAATTATTTCAAGATGAACCAAATTCACAAAACCTAAAGGATTTTATTGTTCCTTTATCAAAATCAATGGTTTTTACACTTTTTGTTTTCTCAAGAATTGTGGGACTAATTCATTCAAGTATTTTTGATGGTACTGAAAAAGATGAGATAGTAAATTATCTATCAGTTTTATTTAAAGATTTAGATAATAATACCATTAGAAATGTAATCGATAGATTAAAAAATTCAAATTATGAACCAGAGTTTGATTTGGACTATGAAGTTATTGTAAAAACTATACAAATTATAGAAGAAATTAAACCAGACTGGGAAGGTGCTAAACTTTCAGATGAACCATTGGTTATTGATCAACAAAAAGAAATAAATGATAATAATCAAGATGAACTGTATGATGAACCACCAGATGAACTTGATGATTTAGAAATAAATACAAATGATGACAATAATTTGGGGGTAATTATTATTTTTATTAAATTTTTTATCTATAAATTTTAATTAATATAATTAATAAAAATTTTTTTTTATAAAATTTATTTTAGAATTTCCAACAGCACCATCATGATCCAAATATTTTATGTTTGGATTATTATTTTTTTACATATTTATTTAGGGCAATTTTGGGATGTAATTTAAAATCGTCATCATATTGGGTTAGACTATTGGATAGAGGAAAAGTTAAACCTCACTTGGTAATATCAGTACAATCCAGAATAAATTATATTCCAAAAATAGATAGGGGTTATAATTAGTCATAGTCGGGCTAGAAAAAAAAAAAAAAAAAATTTCCCAACCGACACCCTGAAAAGTGCACCTATTTTCACTTTTTTTAGAACTAGCGAAGCTATAGGAAAAAAAAAAATAAACTAAAAATAGAGAAAAAATTAAAAAAATTCATATAAAAAATTTTAAAATTTTAAATTTTAAAGTGAATTTTATTTAATCATTCCATTTTTGATATATTATAATAATCATAAAATACAGAGTTTTTAACAATATCTACCCTTGAAACATTTGCCCACTCCCTAAGCAAAACACATTGTTCAAAAAAAATTTTTGTTAAATTTATTTTTTTATTATATTTAAATATTGCGCTTTATTCAATAACTGCTATTTTATATAAAATAAATTTGAAAAATCCGCTTAACAACTACATTAATAATATATTTTACAATAAATAAAAAAAAACAACTGTAAAAAAATAATAATAAAAATATAATTCTACCTTTTTCTTTCTTTCTACTATAGCAATATTATGCTATATTATTCAATATATTCATTTTTGTTTTTGGAAAAAGAAAAAAAAAAAAACAATAATTCGACCTTTTCTTTTGGTTTTGTTTTGGTTGAGGTTTTTATTATTTAAAATGAAAATAATATTATATTTTTAGCCTAATGGTGATGAACGAAAAAAATAAAAACAATTCAGGAATAAATATAGCACCATAATATTTTACTTATCTTATGGTTTTGTAAAGGTTATTGAAAGGAAAAAAAAAAATATTTATAAAATTCAAAAATTTAAAAAACTTAAAAAATTTAAAAAAAAAAAAAAACCGCGTATAATAATTAAAAAAAAAAAATAAAAAAAGTGCGGAAAAGAAATAAATCACATCAAAGACATTGGATGTAATTTAAGGTTTTTTTAAACACTTTTTAAATTACAAACTATATTTTTTTTTTTTTAGGACTACAAAAGCTAAAAAAAAAAAAAAAATGAACTAAAACAATGAATTTGATTTCAATAAGCGACTATTCGACCCCAAAACTATACAAAGCCATTTTTTCCAAAGCTAAGCTAAATTATAATCCCTAATTTGTATTGAATAATACGGAAAGATATGATTACATCAAAAAGATGGAAAAAGACTTTATAAAAGAGGAAATTATAAATTTAAGTGATAACCCTGACTTTGAATTTAATATACAATTACAAAAACTAAGAACTGATAGAGTAAAAAGTGTTTTAAGGGGGTGGATTTCTGACGATAGGGGGAAAAAACTCGGCATAGGTTCCGACGAAAATATCGAAAGTTTCCACTCTCTTGAGAATATTCTTAGAGATGAAAATGAAGAGTCGTCAGAATCAATGGAGAAAAGACAAACTCTCGAAAGAAAGATTATTGATGCTCAAAACAATACCAATGAATTATTGGAAGAAAAGAGTGAAGAGTTTTTACTTCAACAAGCAGAGGCAATTAATAATTTGACGAAATTAAATAATGATCAAAAGGGAAAAGAACATCAAATTCCGAGAGCTGCACTAAGAAAATTACAAGAGTTTTATAATAAAATTAAAAAAGATAGAGATGAAGCAATTAAAACTTTGGAAAATGAATTTTTAACAGGTCAATTAAAAACTTCCATCATACCAAAACTAAAACAACTAAAGGAAAAAATGAAAGAAAAACCAGAAATACCAAAAAATTCCGACGTTGATTTTATAGAAAGTACAAAGAATGAAATATTAATAGATATAGAAAAGTTAACAGTGACATTTTCAAACTCATTAGAAAAGCTGAAAACTGATATACTAAATCAAATAGAAAAATATAATGAAACCATTAAAAATATTGGAAAGGGATATAATCCTTCAGTAATGTCGATAGAATATGAAAATGCTACACCACAAAATAAAATATCAGAAGAAAATAAATTATAAAAAAAATTTTAAATTTTGGTAAAAACAATTTTATTTATTTTTTATTTTCTTCGTTATCTTTTTCATTAGAAATACCCTTTTTTAAATTAGGGAAATTTAAGTCTAGCAAATTAACATTAAATAAATCTTGGATATTTGGATCATTCATTTCTGGGTAAAAGCTACCTTCATACAAAGCATAGACATCTCCTATATAAAAAGAAGGAAGGGTTCCATTTTCATTTTTTTTTATAGATTTAATTAAGCTAATATGTGTTTTTATGGCATCAGATAAATCTTCGAGTGCTCTTATATAGTTTTGACGACATTTTTCTGTGCAATCTCCTTCTTCAAAAACATTACCCACAAGAAAACTATCATCTTTAAGAAAAGAATACAAAGTATAATTGTGGCTATGGTGTTTTTTTTTATTTGAGTCATCCATTTTATATAAATATTAGTTTTTTTGTATATTTAAAATATAATAATAATATAAATATAATAATAATAAAATATAATAATAATAAAATTAATTTTAAAGAAAAATTATAATTTAAATTATTTTAAATTACAAAAGGGTGAACTATTTTTATCTCATTATTTTTTTAAAAAATTTTATTAATTTAATTAATATTTTACAAAAAGGGTGAACTATTTTTATCTTTTTATTTTTTAAGTTTTATATTTTATTAAGTTTATATTTTTTTAATTGGTTAATTCATTTTAAATTAAAAAAAATAATTAATAATATATTATTATTTTTTTTTAGTAGCAACAATGAAAGAATTTTTTATTAAACTATGTTTTTTATTTTTTTTATTTCAAGAATACGCTCTTTGCACTATGTTGGAATTCTTGAACCTCAAACACTTCAAAATATTCAAAATGAGCAATGGTTTGGAAATGGTGATTTAATGTGTGTTCGTCAGATCATTAAAGGTGAATGGCCAGAAATTAAACGATTTGAAGGCAGTGGTATTTATTTTGTTTTTAAAAAGATTGGTAGTGAAATGACCCTCTCTTACATTGGAAAGGGTGCTCGTAAAGATATTATGGGGCTATATACAAGGGGTTATTACGAAATGGGGGTGAATATTCGTTTTTATGGAACAAATAAGTCCGTTGATTCCCGTTTGGAAGATGCAGAGGTTGTGTGTTTATATGATGGTTTCTTTGGTCCCCAAGCCAGTCATGCAGAAATGTATTTTCTTTCCATATTTGGTACCGAAGCAAATGCTTATAACGAAGGTGGTTTGGGAAAAAATGAAAGGGGGTGGGGCGATGGTGAATGGGGCAAATTCCAAAAAAGTCACCCCAGAGTAGATGTAATAAATTATATTATGAATCAAATTCCTTCATATACCAATTTTTTCAATCTTCCAAACTACCCACAAGCTCCAACAATCTTAAGAAAGAATGATGAATGTGAACAAGAACTTCTTGACTGTCAAACCAACAAAGGAAAAGTTAACAATAATGCCTACTATAGTGCTATTATTGTAGAAATGTTAAATTTAATTAAAGATGGTGGTACTCTCGTACAGAAATACGGACCAGGGTTAAGAGCAATCAATGGAAACTTTGCTGAATGGTTTGATAAACAACCAATGCAAGTTCAATATGCCAATGCTGAAAGTGGTATTAGTGTTAGCGTTAGTGATCCCAAGAGTGAATATAATGGTGATGATGATTACACAGTTCCCAAACCAGTATTACCCAACCAATACCTGTGTACCCCCAACCAATACATGTATACCAGCAACCAATACCAGTTACATGCCCAGCACCAGTTGTTTGTCCAGTAGTTAATCCAGTTGTTTGTCCAGTAGTAGAACCACTTGTTTGTCCAGAAACAAAACCAATTAAATGTCCAGATATAATAAAAGAGGTATGTCCAAAACTTTCATGTCCATCTGTGTGTCCAAAAAATGTCTTACATCCTGCCCAGAAATCGAACCTGTTGCATGTCATAATATCCCCGCAACAATATGCCCAAAGATTGCACCAGTTAAATGCCCTGCAATTAAACCCGTTGTCTGCCCCGAAGTATCATGTCCAGCTCCAGTTGTTTGCCCAGCTCCAGTTGTTTGTCCACCAGCTCCAATAGTTAATGTTACCTCTGATGGAGTATATCTTAATAATCTTTTCCAATACTCTCTCCCTGAAGGGGTTTGTGAAAAAATCCAAGCCAACTATTCAATATGCCAAAAATCACTGTCTAATTCAAGTTCAATATGTATTGAAAAAATCAGTGAGGTGAGTTTGGAGTTAAAAACAAAGTGCGACAAAGATTATAATGATGTTTTAGTACCACTCCGTAAATGTCAAATAGATTACCAAGACCACTTGGACAAATGTAAAAAAGGTGATTTGGTCACCTTGGGGGATTTAAGGAAATGTCAAAAGGATTATTCAAACCTTGAAAAAGACCATATAAACGAAAAGAAAAAAAACTCGAATAATAGGAGTAAAGGAATTATAAATCAAATTATGTTCCCGTTGTGTAGTGCTGTCAATTGCTAAACAATTAAAAAAACAAATAAAAATTAAATAAATTTAAATTTTTTATAAAAATAAAATAATTCAAAATTTATAGAGAAGGAAATAATAGAAGATGTTGGTAGAGCAGAATAATTAAAAAATAATTTAAACCACTTAGTCTTCTGAAAATTTTTAGAGTGGTAAATTAAAATAATAATAAATAAAATAAATTGTATATATTTTTAAAAAATAAAAGAGTTTATTTAAAATATTTTTTTTTATTCTTCGAAAATTCCTCCTAACGTATCTTCGTTGTCGGAACTTTCGAAACCTTTTTTTTCACTTGAAATGAATACTGGATATTCCATTGGATGGTTTGATTTGATTTCTTTTTTTAATTGGTTTATGTATAGTTTTAAAATTTCAATTTCCTTCTTTTTTTCTTGTAATCTCTCGGAAAAAATATGATCAAGAGAAAATTGATTGAATCTTATTAAACTTTCGGCAAAATCAATATCTTTTTGAATGGTGTAATAATTTCTTGGGCATATTTCCTTCCATTTTTAATTTCTTTTAATTGCTTTTCTCGGTGGTGGTTTTTTATGAACAACTTTTTTTTTTCCTTCTGTTAATCTTTCCACTGTATTTTCCGCCGATACTGGATCTATATAGAGAATTCCCTCACCTGGTCTGATTCTGACACCTCGTTTTCTTGCTCTTGTGGAAAGGGTGGTGGAACCATTTTAAAATATATTTTTATTAGCATTGTTATATAAACTTTAGAAATTATTATATTTATATACAAAGACAAATACCTTCAGATAATTTAAAATGCTGGAAACAATTTATAATAAAAAATAATTTTAAATTTTAAATAATAATCAAAATAATCAAAATAATCAAAATAATCAAAATAATCAAAATAATCAGAATAATCAAAATAATCAAAATAAAAATACATATAAATATAATATTAAAAAATTTAATTATATAAATGAAGACGATAAACCTTTATTTTATAATTATGATTTTAGAAAAAGAAATAAATATTCATTTTATGTATTGGATTGGTTATGTGTTTTAATGGCAAAAGAAAAATTTTTTTTTAAAAAAAGTATAAATTAAAAAAAAAACTAATTTCAATCATTACTATTTAAAAAACCAAAATATGATGGAAATGTGTTCAGATAATATTTTTAATGAAATATTGAATGATGAACTTCCTTTATTTGATCAAAGCCATCTTTCCCTCCAAGAGTTCGAACTTCCTGTATACGACCAGCCAATTCCTACCCAACCTGAAAAATTCGACATAAAACCTAGAGAATTCTCTGCTAGTGATCCAATATTCAAAAAATTGGTAAATTACAAAAGAAAACTAAACAATTTAAGGGATGTGGCCGAAAATATTAATAAAAAACAAATGGAAATCAAAGAGTTACATTTTGATTTTGCCCGAAAAATATATAGAGGTTTTACAGCAAGGTATCATAGTCAATAATATAATTGACGAATACATAGAACTCCAAAATTTAAAATAAAAAAACTTTTGTAAAATAAAAAGAGTATAAATATTTTCATTTTTATTTTTATTTTTATTTATTTAATCAAAATTGAAAAAACACACAAATACACAGAAACATGAATACAGATATTGAAAATAGAAACATAGCTGACCTCCAAAAGGTATATCAAAGAATAGAAAATTTAATTAATACTACCGAACCTAGATTAGGAGAGAATGGTTTATATTGTATGTTTTATAAGGGGACCAATGTAAAACTATCCGAAGAGGATAAAAAAATACATATGTTTTACAGAAAAATTTGCCTTTTGTAAAACATTTTTTTTCAAAATAATTAATAAAATACAAAACAAAAAAATTATAATTTTTTTTTAATTTTTTTGATTAATTTAAAAAAAATTTTTTTTAATCATTTTTATTATTCAACTCAATATCATAAACAAATAAAAAACAAATAAAATGGAAGAAGGAACTTTGGTTTATATAGTAATGAAATTCTGGGTAAAATATTATAAAGAACATTCACAACTTTACTAGGCGGGTTTATGCGCAGTGTTTATTAACCAAGAAAAAATAACCGGTTCTGAATATGTGGATGACATACTTAGAAGGTACCAGTCTTTATCAATGCACAATTGTAGGTCGGGAAATAAAACAACTCACACCTAGCGCCTGGAAAAAGAGAAAAAACTCTATCATATAACTTATATATTTAATTAAATTGTATTATAAAAAAATTAAAAATAAATAAAAAATAAAACTGTATTTGTAATCTTTTTTAAAAAAAAAATTATTCATTATTTTTAAAACCAAACAAAAACAAATAAATAATTTTATTAAATTTTATTAAATTTTATTTAGTTTTAAATTTTTTAAATATGAGTGATTTAATCACTTTCGTCGTAACTTAATTTTTTTTCTCGCTGTTTTTTTATTTTTTATCTTATTTTTTGGGTATTTTTGAGATCCGTTTCAATTTTATTTAATGAGGTTTTGATTTTTTCCTCAGATGACTGATACAATAACTTTAAACCAATATTGAGTGATTCAATTCAACAAAATATTGAATATTGTTTTTCTTTTATTTTATCAATAGAAATAAATGTTTGAAATATTTTTATATCTTTATTTTTCATATACAAGTTGTATGAAATTGTTTCAATTGGATCTTGGGCTGGTAAATAAAATTTTTTTTCACCAAAATAATCAATAACTTTACTAATTTATATAAAGTTATATATTTATTAAAAATAAAATAAGCACTTACTGGTGAATCTTCATGATAAACATATGGATTAATTTTCCATTCATATACCAAGTTATTTAATGACTTTTGGACTATTCCACCATTATATATTTATAATTGCATTTTTCGTAAATATGAAAAGAAAACATTTATGCAAAAATTGGTCTGGGGTGCTAATAAATATCAAGGAAAATCATTAAAAAATAACAAGTATTATAGATCATACAAAAATCAAACCTATTATTTAACATAAAAAATAACAAGTAATATGGATCAGACAAATATTGGGTTTATTTAGATATTTTATCCAAGTTAATAAAAATCACTTAATGAAATAAAGGTATTGAACACAAAACAAGATTAATAGCAATTTAATAATTAAAAAATTAAATCTCTTAAAAAAATTTTTTAAAAAATTTTTTTTCAAAAAAAAAAAAAAGTTATTAAAATTTTTAAATTTTTTTAATGCTAATAAATAGCAGTTTCATTTTATTTAATTTGATTGTTTGTATTAATCAAAAAATAAAATTAAATACAATTTATCTGAAAGTGGTACTAATTGTTATGGTTGTACCTCCTACATTTCTGATGGTTATTTTACAACCGCCAAAGTCACGAGAGAATTCAGTAGAGTTTTTAAACATATGTGTTTCTTCTTCAGTAGCAGCAGATGAGATTTTAAAAAAACCTTCACCATCAGCTTCAATTTTGACAAGAGTTTGACTTTCAGGAGAAGATGGCTAAAATTATATTAGTTTATTATTTAACTATTTTGAATATAAAGAGAATGTTATACCTACAATATCACTTTTTGATTCTGTTGGTTCTGATTATAAAAAAAAAAAAAAAATTAGAAAAATTTCTTTAAAATATTTAATAAAAAACTAGAATAGCATACTTAGAGTCCATGGTCCATGTGACACTTTTCATTTTAAAAAAAATAAATAATTAATATAAAGATAAATTGGTTTTTTTTTTTTTTTTTTTATAATTACTTTTTATTTATTTTTTTTTTTGGCCGAAAAAAAAAAAATTAAAAAAATTTTTTTTTTAAATTTTGGGGGGGGGGAGGGGGGGTTTTAAAAAAAAAGGGGGGGTTTTTTTTTTTTTTTTTTTTTTTAAAAAGGGGGAAAAAAAAAAAAAAAAAAAAAAAAAAAAAAAAAAAAAAAAAAAAAAAAAAAAAAAAAAAAAAAAATTTTAATCTGAATTTTTGGATGTTAAAATCATATTGGGAAGAGGTAAATTATATAAATTGGTTATGGTAATAAAAAAAACCACTTCACCAAACCCTTTTTATGTATTGCGTTAAAAAAAAAAAAAATTATAAAAAAAAAAATCAATCTCTTTATAATCCAGATTTTGGTTTTCAATCTCATTATAATTAACCAAAATTTTTTTAACCCTTTTATTTTATTTAAAAATAATTAAATTTATTTTTTAACCCAATAAATTTTCTTTTGGCTATTTGAATGGTTATAAGGTTAATATAATGAAAGGAATTTTTAAAATCACCCAAAACACTTAACCAATCAAAATTTAAAAAATGTGTGAAATACCTTGCACTGTATTTTACAATCTAAACAACTAAATCTTCTATTTTTTTACTTGTTTTACTTTAAGATTTAAAATTACCAAACTTATTGAAGATAATTTTTTAAAGGAGTTAAATTTTTTCATTTTTTCATTTTTATTATTTTTGGATTTAATAAAACTGTTTACAATTTATCGATATGGTTTTGTGAAGGTTTTTGAAAGGAAAATAAAAATTATATAATTAATAAAATTAAAAATTTAAAAAAAAAAAAAAATTTTATGATTATTTAAAAAAAAACCAAAAAAAAAAAAATAAAATTTTTAAAAAAATTAAAAAAAATTTTAAAAAAAAATTAAAAGAAAGGGGAAAAGAGAAAAATTGTGATGGGTGTGTTTGTGCTGTTATTTTACATCTATTTGCAAATTTTAAAAATCGATAAAAATGAATAATTTTTTTTAAAAGAGATAACTTTTAAAAAAAAATTTTAAATGAATAAGCTGACAATAATGGGTAAAAACTGAGAATAAAGATAATTTTTATTCTCTAATTTGCATAGAAACTATTTAAAAATTTTATCTATGCTTGATTTGGTCCTTTAATTTTTTTACTTATAATTAAAATAAGTGTTGTTAAACCAGTCAAGACCTAATTATTTAGAGAAAAAAATTTTGGTTAATTATAATGATTTAAATTTTAAAATATATTATTAATAATTACCTTCGTAAAGACCGTCACCTGAGGTGGCCCTAGTTGGTTGGATATACCATGTTCTTTGACGAAGAGCGTGGAGATTGAGTCTATACGTGATCTCAGAAACTCTCATGGCATTTGGAAGACAGAAAAATAAAAGAAAGGCATCACGTAATTCATTTCATTGATCATCTTTTGGAGTTCATCATGTGCCTCTTTAATTCTTTCTCTATCGTTTCAATCGACGACAAAGATGAGACATTGAGTGTTTTGGTAATAATGTCTCAATAGTGGTCTAATTTTATCTTGATCACCGATATCCCACGAGGTAAAGTTAAAGTTTTTGAATTGGACTAAAATTATGAAACAAATAAAGTTATATTAAAATACGGAAAAAATTTTGGATGATTAAAAATTATTAATTATGATGTAGGTAGAAAACTTTAACTTTTTTTTCCCATTTTTCTTTTATATTTAAATAAATGGCTGGGTTTAGATTCTGCAGACATAAATAAAAATATAGATAATTAATATATGGAATTAAAAATAAATAAAATTTCAATTAATGTTAATAAAAAAATTTTTAATTTATTTTTGTTTTAATATTTTTAAATCAAAAAAAAAAATAAAAAAAATAATATTTTTAAATTTACACCAAACATCAAAAGTGTTGGGTAAAAAAAAAGATGCGGTACAAAGTAAGTGGGTTTTTTTTTTTTTTAAACCTTTAAGTGTCAACACAAGGTTGCACTCTGGCCAAAAAAATACAAAATTTGTATTAAATTTATTTTTGCACATAAATATGAATAAAACAATTAACTTTGATAATTAATGTTACAATTGATCAAAATAAAATAGAAAGATGTCATTTTTATATGTGTAGTAATGGTTATTCAATTCAAGCTATAAACTATTAAAACTCAAAGTTGTTCAAGCTTAATTATAAATCAAAGAATATAAATAATAAACAATAAATCAATTAACTGTAAATTTTTAAATAAACTTTAAAATAAATATATATATAAACATAAAATCTAATTTTATATTTTAAAATAAAGATATATATACTTTGTTGAATAGAGAGTATATATTTTTATAAATATATTCATTTTTTTTAACTCAAAACACTGCCAAAATGCATTTTTTTTTTTTTTTAAAAAAATTTTTTTTAAAATTTTTTATACACTCTTAAGGGTTAATGATATAATTTATTATGTTTTTTTTAAAATAAAATTGAAATATACAAAGGTTTTATTATTTTAAGAAAAAATGATTATTATTGTAATAATCTTCGAATACTGTTATATATATAATATTAAAATATAAAGACATATAAATTATAAAACCTTCATACCTAAACTGTTTGTAAATAAATTAAAGACTCTTTTAAAAAAAACCTTTTATACAAATATTATTGTGTGATTAACACCTTTATTATATTAATTCTAAAAATTAAATTATGAAAATTAAAAATTAAAAATTAATAGAACGTTATTAAAAAATATATTATTAACAAATATTAGAATCCGAGATATCTAACAACTATTAATAATCACTACAATAGTAAATATTTTTTTTTTTAATAAAATAAGAGGGAGGAAGATATTCATTATTTTTACATAATCTAATTTTAATAAATAAATCTTTGGTGCAACATAATATTTAAAATTATTATTTAAAGTTTTACCTAACTTTTTTATTTTTTTTAATTTAAGGGTCTATCACTATTTTTAATTAAATGATAATAAAAATCGACAAATTGCTTATAGTTTTTAATTGAAATTCTTTCATCAATACCATGGAATCTTGCCAAATCACTATTTTCGAGGTATAATGGATTGAATCTGTAGATGTTTTTAGAGAGATTCCAATAATGTTTAGTATCTGTATTTGCAACCATAATAGTTGGTGCAACAATAACATCAGGATATTCTTGTAAAACTGTAGTTTGAATAAGTTTGAATGATGGATCATCAGTTGATGATACTGGTGCTGGTTCGGTTTTTTGTGATGATGTAATGACAACACGTTCATCATTGATAGTCTTTCTGACATGTTCAATAATTTCGTCGACAGTATTACCTGGAGCTACACGGAAATTAATTAAAGCAGAAGCTTGATGTGGAAGAACATTTGCTTTATTACCTGCATTGAAAATAGTGAGGGCTGTAGTGGTTCTTTGCAAGGTATCAAGTGTTGGTTTACCAGATAATACCTTAACTAAAATTGGTTCGAATAACCAAAGATTTGAAAATATAATTCTGTATGGTAATGTACATTCTCTACCAACGAAATCAAATAGCTTTCTAATTTGAGATAATGATGGAGATGGTGGATTCGCTTCTACTTTAGAAACTGCTTTAGCTAAAACTCCAATAGCGCTTTCACGTTTTGGCATTGATGAGTGACCTCCTTCAATTTCTACATTCAAATGAACATTTACGTAGCCTTTTTCAGTAACACCTACAGCGGCAATTGGTTTATTTAGACCTGGGAATACAGGTGGAACGATAATGGGTAAACCTTCATCTAAAATATATTCGAATGGTCCAATCTTGGCTTTAGTAAAGTGTTCATTAATGAATTTTGCACCTTCATCACCACCCAATTCTTCATCGTGACCAAATGCTAAATAAAATGAACGTTGGGGTTTATAGCCTTGAGCTAAAAGATCCTCGATAGACTCCAAAATTGACATCACAGTTTGTTTATCGTCCATAGATCCTCTACCCCAGATATATCCATCTTGAATTTTACCCTCAAATGGGGCATAAGTCCATCTCTCTCTATTTAAAATTGGTACGACATCCATATGGCCACAAAGTAAAATTGGTTTTAAACTGCTATCCATACCTTTCCAATGATAAACCAAACTATAATTATTTATAACTGTTAATTCTAAATGCTTATTAACTCTTGGGAAAATCTCTTTAAAATATCCATGTAGTTTTTTAAACTCGTCTTTACAATAGCCAAATTCTTCATTTTCACCAAATGAAATTGTTTCAAATTTTATGGCCTAAAATAAAAAAAGATAAAAAATTAATACCTTTATTTTTTTTTTATTTTTTTTTTATATTTATTACATTTGATAATCTTTGAGCTAATTCCATTTCTGTTAATGTTGTAAAAGAGTCTATATGGTCATCTGTTAATGGTTCGGTATTTGGTTGTTTAGATGTAAATCTTATTGTGTTAAAAGTGATTATAAAGATTAACCCTAAAAATAAATATAAAATTGTTTTTTTTATAATTCCACAATATCCATTATTTGATGATTTTCTATTCTTCTTTTTATTATATTTATCATCTTCCATTTTTACTATTAATTAATGTAATGAAAAAAAAAAAAAATAAATGAAAAAAAAAAAAAAAAAGATATTTTTTTTTTATAAAAAATAATTAAATTTATAAAAAAAAAAAAAAAAAAAAATTGAACAATGATTTTATATATATAAAATGAAAAATCTTTAAAGTTTTTTTTTTTATATTTAAAAAAGTATTTATTTACATTGAATTTATATAGAATATTTTTCTTTAGGAAACAAAATAAAAATCTTTGATCATAGTTATTGGGGTGGTGTGTGTTTTAAAAGTTTTTATAAAAATGTGTAAAAATATTTGTGGGGTGATATGTATTTTCAGAACATTAGTTGATGTTGAATTGTTATGCTATTATTATATTATTATATTATTATATTATTATATTATTATATTATTATATTATTATATTATTATATTATTATTTTAAAATATATGTGCTAAAATTTATTTTTTAGTTTCTTCAATTTGTTTAGTTGCAGATTGATCTTTTGCAGCTTGATCTTTTGCTTCCATATTTTTAATAAACTCTTTAATAAATTGTTCTTCTTCTAATTTTCTAATCTATAGATATATAAATTGTGTTTTGTATTATTAGTTTTTTTTTGTTTTAAATTGTTATTATACAATGAAAATGATTTAATTACTTTTCTTTTTTCTAATAACTCCATTGTAGCACCAGTGACATAAACACCGAATGCTAATGAACTAAGAGCAAAAACAGAAACAACTGTTTTATGAAGAAAATTGGCAATTTTAGTTGGTGCGCCTGACATGTCTTTTTAATTATAAACCAAATTATATATTGAAATAATGATTTTTGAAAAAAAAAAATAAAAAATAAAAAATGAAAAAAAAAAAAAATAAAAAAAAAAAAAAATAAAAATTACAAAAAAAAAAAAAAAATCGTTTTTTTCTTTAAAGAAACTAAATGAAAACTATAATTTTAAAATCAACAATAATTTAATTTATATTTTAATTTTAATTAGGTTTTAATTTAAACTTTTAATAAAAAATAAACTTTTGTTTTAAAAATATAATTTGGGTTTTAAAATTTTAGTTAATTTTTTTTTTTTAAATATAAAGAAAAGAAAAGATACCTATACCTAATTTGTTAAATAATAATTAAATATATTTGAATATTAAATTACCCCTTTTCGTTTTATAATTTTGATGAATTTCATATTATAATTTTTTTTTTTAAAATTATTTTTTTTCATAAAAAATTTTTTTTTTTTTTTTTTTTTTCATTTTTTTTAAAAATTTATTTTCATTTTTTTTATTTTATTTTTTTTAATCTATAAATAAAAAAAAAAAAAGATAGAAAGATGAATAAAGAATTTGATTTCAATGATTTATCAAATAAATCATCACAAATTGTAAACAAAATCTCATCATTTTCTAGTCCTATTGGTTTATCAACATTAAATATTGAAAGAAATCTTCAAGAAATTGGTGATACCTCGAAACATTTAAATGAAGTTACATCATCAAGAACACTTACAAACCCATTAGAATCAAATATATTACAAGATGCGTAAGTTTATAATAAATTTATTTAAACTTTTTTCAAAAAAATTAAATATTAATATTATTTTTTTAAAAAGTAAAATTACAACAAAATACGCATTGGAACAAAAACAATTTACTAAAAATTTAGCAAGTATTAATACATCATCATTTACAGGAGTTGAAACTATACCAACAGATATTGATGGTTATTTAAAAGATAGATTTGAATATATTATATTTACAGCTATTGGTGATATTCAAAAAAAAACATCAAAAGAATTTCAAACACATTATGAAGAGACATCAATTCATGATTGGAATAAAGATAAAAAGTATTTAGAAGAAATCCTTGGTCAAAAATATATTAAAACCAATCAACCATTTGGAGCTTCACAATATGGCCAATCATCATTAATGCGTAGTGGATTCGGTGGCGGCAGTTCATCTCAATTTAGACCAACTGCAACAATGAATGGTGGATTACAATCACAATTTAGACCATACCAATCAACAACTACACCAATTGGTGGTAATATAAACTCATTTGGACAATCAACTTATATTCCAATGGATGATGGTCGTACTAAATTATCAAATAAAATGAAAAAGTATGCAGATATTATTCAAGAGTTTGACATTCATATGGCAGATGAGTCAAAAACATCTGGTTTCCCATTGGTTCATAGACTCAAAGATGCTATGTTATCAGAAGGTTCATCATCAACATCAAACGTTGTTCATCATGCATGGGGTTTATTATTATCATTGACCAACGAAGTAGATAGTGGTACATTGGATCAAAAAACACAAACTGTTAGACATCAACCAAAGCAACCATCTAGACCATCAGTAGTCGAACTCGTTAAGAGATCAGTATCATTTTTAGAGAGTCAATTTTGTCAAGTTATCGAGAACCGTCTCCCAAAAAACTCAAATATATCATTGCCACTCAACATCATTCTTGCCTATATTAAATCACTCAATTTATACACACAAGTCGATAGCGATAACGAAAGTTATGATGGATGCTCTATTTGGTGTATTGTTTTCTATCTTATGAGATGCGGTTATCATAGCGAAGCTCAAAATTTTGCATTGGAAAAATGTGGATCACGTTATATGGATATCTTATTACCAATTTTCAACGATCGTTATAAAAGTCAAGGTTGCACCAAAGAGCAAAGAGAAAGAATTATGCGTGAATTTAACACTGCCAAAACTGAAAGTAAAGATGCTTTCAAGATCTCAGTTTTCAATCTTTTAGCTACTGGTGATTCATTAATTAGTAAACAACAAGCTGTAATCTCTATTCAAGACTATATTTGGTGGAAATTAAACTTTATTGGATCTGTTGACTCTGGTAACCAACAACAACAAACTCAACTTTTAGAAAATTTACAAACCGATGTAAAATCAATCATTGAAAAAAATAAAGCAAACTTTGATAATTTAGAAGTTTTCCAAATGCTTTTAGCTATTCAACAATTTGAAGATGCTGTAGCTAGTTTATATCAAGCCAATACAGAAGATGCTTTACACATAGCCATCGCTTTAGATTACTATAGACTTTTAAGAACCTCAACTCAAACCAACAGTGTATATCAATTCAACATCAATAACAACTCTGTCAATCAATACCAACAACAACAAAAATTACAACAACAACAATCACAACAAGAAATTTATGACTTTAACGATAAATCAATTCGTTTAGTTTCAATGATCAAACAATATACAAAACGTTTCTCTTTCGAAGAAAGTAGAGAAGCTCTTTTCTATTATCTTTTAATTACAGATAATAATATTAAAATTCGTGAAATTTCAGAATTAGTAGTATCATCAACAAATAGTTATAAATTTGCTCAAGAATTATCAACTTTTTCTGTAATTATTAATTTTTTTTTTTTAAAATATTAAATAATTAAAATATTAATATTATTATTATATTTTTATTTAGGAATTTATAAATAAACAACAATGGAGAACTATTATCGAACAATCAGCTTTAGAATTAGAAAATAAAAATAATTATCAAGGTGCTATCGAGTTTTGGTTAATGATTGAAGAATATGCAAGAGTTTTAGAAATCTATAATAGTAGAATTTCAATTTTATTAACAACTATTTCAAGTGAAAGAGATCAATTATATCAATTTGGTAAAGGTTTATTCATTAACGATCAAACTAAATTAAAAACTACAACAACTGCAAGAACAAGTTATTTAGCATTCGAACAATTATTAAAACTTTGTGACTTTTTCGATTTCTTTAACAAGGGTAAATATACTGAGGCTTTAGAAAAAATTGAAAATCTTGATATCTTACCATTAGAAGAATCTAAAATCGATGCCAAAGTACAAGATTATCGTTTCCTTAGTCCACATATTACCAGAAATTTCTCATCAATCATTCAAGCTTATGCAGATATTATTATTAAACAATATAATTTACTTAAAAGTTATGACGATGTAACTTCAAATCAATTTAATAGTGGTGTATTTTCAGGTAGAAAAGAATCAATTCAAAATTATCAATCTAGAATCCAATGTATTGCTTTATTTGCTGGTAAAATTGATTTCCCAATGTCAAGTAATATTTTACCAAGACTTATGAATTATTTTATTTCAATGCCAAAATAAATAACTTTTTAAAAAAAAAATAAAAAAGAATTTATAAAAATTTTATATTTAAAAAAAAAAGAATTTTTTTATTTTTAGTTTTATTAGTTTTAGTTTTATTTTAAAATAACCATTCTGAATTTGTAGCATGTGAAACGTATACCAATGTATTTGATCTTAACTTGGCTGGTACCTTCCAATACTCCTCGACAATTATATCTGCGACACATGAGGAGGTAGTCCAAACAAATAAAATTTGCTTTTCCCACTTATCTACTGTAGCTTCTGTTGAAGCAATGACACCAAACAACTTCTTGTATAAGAGATTTCTTGCATACTCTGGAGTAAAAACGGCCTTGTAGGTCTTTCCGTTTAAATCAAAGAAGTTTATTATACGTACAACACTAACACCAATGTGGCTTCCATCGATATCGACTGAAAAATCGGTAATTTTTGAACCTGGAGCGTATTCGATTTCAGTTTCAGTTCTCTTTAATTGGGCGCCGAAACAATGATGTAAAACTTCATAACCCAAAACTTCAGACCAAACAGAGTTACCACCGGCATTTGGAGTTTCTAATATACGTCTGCCGCCCTTTGAAAGTATGAAATGTTCTGGGTCATCAACTAATGGCTCGTAATGATCTACAATGATATCACCACAATGCTTATCCTTTAAACATGAATAGAAGAACTCTGTATTGAGTGAATTACCATATACACACCAAGTAGCCTTGACAATTAAACGTGGATCAGCAACTGGTCTATTGAAAGTATGGGACTTTGAGCATGGTGAAACTTCAATATCATTGGCGCAATTATTTTCTTCTAAATACTTTATAAATTCATCTAAATTTCTAAAGGTAATTGTAGCTGTATTTTGGATAGTTGAACAGACAGATATTTGGTCATTATCTTCAAATATAACTGAATCCATATCTTGGAAATCTGTAAACCATTCTAAGAAATCAGATTCATCTGCTGTGCGTACAGAGTTTGAAGACTTGTTTAAAACATTGTTAAAGTTATTATTGTTATTATTATTTCCTGAGAAATCAACCCTTAACTCTTGGTTAAGGGTCTCTGAATTGAGGTTATGACTACATAACCTCTTAGAAGATTGTAATGAATGAGTGTGGTTGTTGTTGTTGTTGTTGTTGTTGTTGTTGTTGTTTTGGTTGAGGTTGTGGGTGATTAGGTTTGCATTGTTTTGGTTGAAGGTGATACATGTTGAGTTGTTTAAGGCAAGTTGAGTAGGAGCCCTTCTTTTCATAGTATGTGTTACCATGATGTTGCAAAGTTGTTGAGATGGTATTGTTAGTTGTGGTGCTGGTTGAACATTTAACTGATAGCAAGGATAATTTAAATAATACCACTTGTAAAAGGCTACTAAAAAGACTTTGCATACTGATAATAATAGCTTTTTCATAAATTTCAATAATTGATGAGATGATAATGGAACGCATGAGCCATGAGGAACGAGAGGAGTTTGCTGAAGAGTGCATCTTCTCAAAACATCCATCATCATTGAGTGCGCAACGATCAAAGCAATTCTTACGATTGACCCAGCCAAAACCATTATTGAAATTGCCTTGATTGGAAGCGACTTGGTTTGAGAGGATGGCAAAAACACAACTTTCAACAGCCTTGACAAAATGATTCTCCCTTTCTCTAACCCTTCTAAAACAAGTATTGAAGATATCTTGGATTGTAGCGTCACCAACCATTGATGAACAAGATATTGGCTCTTGTTCGACTTGCTTTTGGAATATTTCTCTATTTTCAAATTGGGCCCTGGCAAAATACCACTCTTCTTCGGCCTCATTGAAGGTTGAATTGTGGGATTCAAAACAATTCTTGTTAATGACTGGTAAAGTAGAACAAACATTGTTTAATTCCATGACACTGTTTGAAGATAAATGATGGTTCTTGTTAACCCTGTTGTTTGAGGTGTTGTTGTTGTTGATGATGTTCATTTCATTAAAAAGTTCAGAGGCGCTTAAAATTGGAAAAGTTTGGTTGTCACTGGTCTTACAAAAGGTGTTGACATTCATTTTTTCAAACATTTCTATTGAAATTTGGACTGGAACAAAAACGGTAACAAATTGATTGTTGTTGAATGAAGACATTTCTAAGTTAAATTTTGAGTTTTTGGGAAAAAAGTTAAGTGGTTTTTAAATTTATTAAAAAAAAAAAGCTTTTTTTATATTATAAAAAAAAAAATATATATTAGTATATAATTTTAAAATTTAAATTTATATTTTTATTTTAATATTATTATTTATTATTTATTATTTATTATTTATTTATTCTTTATTATTTATTATTTATTATTTTAACAAGATGGTATTATATTACTTTTTTAAAAAAAAATAATTATATAAAATTATTTTTTTATTGATGCGTTATTGTTATAATTTTTGATTAAATATATGTACAAAAAAAAAAAACTGTTTATAATTTTTTTTTTTTATTTATATTAGAATTTTATTTATATTAATTATAAGTTTAAATATATTTACCTTTTGAAATAATAAAAAAATTTTATTTTATATAGAGAAAAAAAAAAAAAAAAAAAAATTTTGTTTCTCATTTTATATATTTATTATTTTTTATTTCTCAATTTAATTTAATTTTTTTTTCTTAATTTTTTTTTAATTTTAATTTTTAAATTTTTTTGTTAATAATTATTTAAAATATGGGGGGAGATTGAACAAAAAAAATACATTATTATAAAAAAACAATTACAAAAAAAAAGTACAATTCCAAATATAACTTTTAAACAAAAAAAAAAAAAAAAGATAAAAAAATAATAAATAAAAAATAATAATTAAAAAATAAAAAATAAAAATAAAAAATAAAACGAAGTTTGAACTAAAATTGTAATCATTTTCAAATAAAAATAGAAACATATATAAAGATGATCAAATAAAGTTTTAATTTAAAAAAAATGAATAATTAATTCGTATATTAAAAAAAAAAAATTTTAAAAAAAAAAAAAAAAAAAATTTTAAAAAAAAATAAAAAAAATAAAACTAATTCGTAAAATTTTTTCATTTTTTTTTTATTTTTTTATGACAATCATTGTATTTATTTAAAATTAAACTATTATAATATTAAAATCATAATAACCAAACTAAATATAAATATAAAATATAAATATAAACAATATAGGTCAATAAATATTATATAGTAGAAAAAAATGAACTATTTTTCATGGATGCCATGGGGAAAAAAGAAATCAGATGAAAATACAAATTTAAACGATAATATTAAATCAAATACAGAAACCGAAAAAATTAAAGATACAGCACCAACAAGTGAAACTAGTAATATAGATGCAGAAAAAAACCCTCAAAAAACCACAACCACAAACAAAACCACTCAACCTAAAAAAGAAAAAACCCTCGATGAAAGAAAATTTGATATGGTTGATTTAATTGTAGATCCACCCATCAACCATGTAAAGATGACACCAGAACTATATGAATCACTTGCAAATGTTGGTAGAAATGGAACATCACCTTTTACACCATCACAATCATTATGGCTCAATGGTATAGTTGGTGGTTCAATTGGTTATATAATTTCAAATAGTATTTTTAAAAACAATCCATTGGTCAGATTCAGAAATACAATGATTTTTAGTTCAACATTTTTAGGTGCTTACTATTTTTCAAATAACTATTTCAAAGCCTCCAAATATGACCATATAAACTTTTTATATAAAAAAGATAGTTTTATCAGAGAATGTGATGTCTATTTTTCAAATGAAATTCTTCCCTATATAATAGAAAAAGATATAAAAGATAGCAAATATAGAATCACTTCAAATGGTGATATTGTAGATCCAGAAACTTCAGAAGTAGTATTAAAAAATTATAATGGTAGTCTTAAAAAGTTTTTTAACCCATTAAATGTTGATTAATAGTAATAATAATCGATCTTTAAAAAAAAAAAAAAAAAAAAACAAAATAAAATAAAATAATAAAATTAAAACCTATACCAAAAACTAAATCAATATCTTAATATCACTAGTTTATTTTATATTTAAAAAAAAAAAAAAAACACTACATACAACACAACCCAAAACACACAACACCCAACACAAATATTAATTTTCAGTGATCTTTTATATTTTTAAAAATGATTTTTTTTTTTTTTGTTTTTTTTTTTAAATTTATTGATCTTTAAATAGAGATAAATTTTATTTATTTTATTTTATTTTATTTTCTTTTTTTTTTTTTATTTTTTTTTTTCACCAGGACCACTGCAGTAAGATGTTTGTAAAAAAAAGAATTTAGAAAAAAAATAAAAAAATAATAAAAAATTAATTTTTTTTTATAAAAAAAAAAAAAATTTTTTTACATACGTTTTTTTTTTTTTTTCTGATTACTGCTTTAAAAGATATTTTAATAATTATATAAAGATATATATATTTATTAAAATATTTAATTAGTATGATTTTGGTTGAAGGGATAACGGACAAATCGTTATCTATTAGCTAGCATAAATCAAATAAATTTATATATTTACACATTTATTTTTTTTATTTTTTTATTTTTTATTTATTTATTTTGTTTTAAATACACATATATACCCAACCCTTTTTTTATTTTTATTTTTTTTATTTTTTTTTTATTATATATTTAATTATTTTATTAAAGTTATTGTAAAAAAAAAGAAAAAAGAAAAAGAAAATAATAATAATAATAAGTAATAGTAGTAATAGTAGTAATATAATTATAATAATAAAATGGAGAGGGATAAAACCAAATGTCCATTTCATAATCAAAAAAAATCTTATAATAATAATAATAGTGGCAATGGTGGGAATAATTTACCAAATACTGGAAATAGTTTATTGCAACAACAAAGATTACAGCAACAGCAACAACAGCAACAGCAAATCGTATTTGATGAATTATCATCTATTGTTTTAAATTTTTGTAAAATGCATGTACGTGGCCAGGATTTTATAGTTTTTCACATCGATAGTTTAAAATATGAAAGCAATAATCAATCATTTAGACCACCAGTCAAGGGATTGCAAATTATAGCGCAGAATCTTTGTGATAGAGAGTCTGGTGTAGGTGCCGATAATGTATTGGTAATTACACCACCGCCAACAGAGCAACTCGAAAATGCAGATTTTCAACTTTTAATATTTAATTCAGATGGAAGTTTAGCTGAAAACTGTTCTACTGGTGTATCATGTGTCTGTAAATATATTATAGATTATAATCTTCAATCATATAGAAGTAAAAAATCAATTCTCTTAAATCAACAAGATACAGAAATGGGTGAACAATCAAATAGTTTAATAGAAATTTCAAATAATAATAATAATGATTTAAATACATTTTTTTCAAAGAGCCGTTTTAAATCATTAAATCAAACACCTTATTTATTATTCGAACCAAGAAATATAAGTATTTATACTATGGCAGGAATTCAGCATTGCATTACCCAACCACAACATCCAAAGAATAATGCAAAAACATTATGGATTAAAGTTAGTTTAGGTAATCCATTGGTTTTAAAGACCTCAGACTGCAATGATCCAGATACTGCTTCATTAGAAGCCAATGGTATATCATCACCAGGTTTAAATGAAATTAAAAAAACAATTACAAATGGCTCATCATCAGTATTCCAACACCCTCAATATAATAATGATTTGATAAGTTATAATAATGATCAGTTTGAAATCGATTCAAATATTTTCCAACAATGTCCAATTTTTAAATTAAATCAAAAAAATACAATAGGAAAAATAAATAATAGAATTTTATCAACCAATTCAAATTACGAGGATTACAGCAAAATGATTCAGTGCGGTGGTCACTTTATAAACTCTACATTGGTGTCCATGGGAAACCCTCATTGTGTTTTACATTTGGAGAATGTTGAAGAGTTTCCTTTAGATTATTATGGCAAGGTTATAGAGTCCCATCCAATTTTTCCACAAAAAACAAATGTAGAGTTTGTCGAAGTTAAAAACAGAGATTTGCTTAGGGTTAGAGTTTGGCAAAGAGGTATAGGTGTAACTCATTCTTGTGGTACAGGCGCAGCAGCAGCATTGGTTAGTGGGGTTTTACGTGGTAAAAATAATAGAAAAGCAAATGTACAAATGGACGGTGGTACCTTAGAAGTTGAATGGAGAGAGGAAGATGATAGAGTTTTCATCAGTTGCCCAGCAATCACAGTTTTTCAAGGTACTATTAAATTTTTTCAAGAGGAGTTACAAGTTTAGGAACCTTATTAAAAAAAAAAAAAAAAAAAAGAGAAAAGAAAAGAATTAAAGGTTATTTTTTTTTAAAACATTATTATAAATAATAATTATATAGAATAAATATAATAAAATAAAAAATAATTGTAAAAAAGAAATATAGGTAAATAAAAAATAATATTAAAAAAAAAAATTTTAAAAAAAAAAAAATTAAATATAAAAGTATAATATTAAGGTTTAGTTAATATTATATTGGGTTATTTATATATTTATTTAATCTTTGTTGGTAAAGGAGTAAATGCTTGGGTTTTTGTTGTGGTTGTAGTTGTTGTGGTAGTTGTAGTTGTCGTTGTGGTTAGGGTCGAGGATGAGGATGATAAGGAGGATGAGGAGGATAACGTTCTACTTGGTATTAATATTTTTCTTTTACTATTGTTACGAGATACTAATAGTTCTTCTTCCTCTTCTTTGTTTGGTTTTGATGATGATGCTTTTGGTGAGTTTATTAATGATTTATTATTTAATAAATTTATAAAGCTATTGTTAAATAAATGATGATTATTTGAATTATTTTTAATCTTTATGATTTTATCTAAATTTTGTTGTGATGATGATGGTGATGTTGTAACTGATGATGATGACTTGTTTAATGCTTTTTCTTGGTTTTTTAAAGTGGTTTCTTTTTCATCTGCTTTTTCATCAAAGTTAATATCTTCATTATGATCTATTAAAAAATGGCTTTCGTTTGGTGGTGAGTAAATATCAAAGGGATCATCGTCGTGTTCTTTTAAAAATGCTCCATTGGAGCATGGTGAGAATAATAAAGATGAAGAGGGTGATAAAAGTAAAGATGAGAGTGATGAGACATCATTCGTATCTAGATCAAATCTTTCTTCAATTTGTTGTTTTTGGTATTCTATTTTGCATTCAAATTTTTCATTATTGATCTCTATTTTGGGTAGTTCTTTATTGTTTGATTTTTCAAATATTTTAATATTGTTTACAGTCATAGATGAGCTTGAATTGTTATTTACAACTATACTTTTTTTGTCATTGTTACTGATATCATCTGTTTCACTTAATAAATTTAATTGTTTTAAATCTTGAATTGATAGTCTTAAAGTTTCCAAACCAGTTGATACCTTTTCAAGAAGTTGTTGATGTTGCTTGTTGTTAAAGTCTTCAATTTCTTTTTGTTTGATTTTTTCTTCTTCGATTGATTTATTTTTCTTTTCTTTTGGAGATGTACCAAAACACTTTTCAATTTTATTATTAGAAACTCTTTGTGGTGAGTCGATTAATGCCTCCAATGATTGTAATAGCTCGGTATCAATCTTATCTTTTGACGAGGCAAGAAAAGATTTGGGTGTATTATTTTCAATTTGAACTCTGTTATAAATTAAATTGTTTTTATTTCTTGAAACTGCAGGTGATGAAATTGGTGTGATTAATGGTGATATATTGTGTGAAAATGATGCAGCTGCAGGCGATGCATTAAAAAGTTTTTGATGAATGGGTGATGGGGTTCTTTTATTTAAAACCTCCACAGGTTTACCAACTTCATTGTTAAATTAGTTTGGTGAAGTATTTCAAAAAGGGAGATTTGGGTGATAGAAGAGTTAGATCGTCACTATTTGCAATTGTAAAACCTCCTCTAATTGAAGGAGATCCAAATTTACCAATATCATCATTTAGTTGTTTGGAGTCCATTGGAGAGAAACATACATCGGAAATATTTTCATTTGTTGTATCATCAAAGCTGACCCTAATTGTATCAATTTTATCAATATCTTCAGTTTTTAAATTTTCTTGGTTTTCAAAATCTTCTTCATCTTTGGACTTTACAAATAATTCATCATTAATATGTATAGGAATTGGTAATGTACTATCACAGTCTTCTATTGTTGGACCTTGATTATCATTTTGAGATTCGATACAGTTTAAATTTGGTGATTCTATTGAAAAACCATTAAAATCAATATTTTCGTTTTGATTGCTTTTATTTAATATATTATTGTTATTGTTATTAGAAATGTTAAGTGGTTTGTATGATGAAATGATTGGACTATCTGGTACCCAATTTGATAAGCTTGATTTTGATTTTAATAATGATTTACTTGAAAAGTTTTTATTATTTAAATGATTAAAAGCTGCTGTAGTTCCACAATCTTCATCTTCGGACCCACTATCTGAATCTAGACCGTGCTTTGACATTGGGTGTATTTTTGGTGTTTTTAATTGCATTAATACTTGAGAGTCTTCATCATACCCAAAAGGAAACATATATTGAGGTAAATCTTCGTTGGTAAAGTTTAGTTCACCCAATTGATTTATATAAGTTCTTGCTCTAATTAAAACATCGTCATTACCTTCTCCAAGTAACATTACACCCTTAATCTCTCTCTTTATCCCATTTGGAAAAATATCTTTTTCTAAAATTGTACTACTTGTTGTATTGTTTCCATTTATATTTTTATTTGTTGAACCATAAACTTTACTTTTATTCTTATCATCTTTATTTGAATTTATTGTACTATTATTAGATCCTTTAATGCTGGGTGATTCTATATTTGGGTTATTTAAATTTGTAACATCCGAATTATTTGAACTATTTGATGATAATGAACTAGATGCACTTTTGCATGTAGTTAAATTTATACATGATTTTGTTAAAAAACTATTATTTGATATTGGTAAACAGTTAGTAAATCCATGGTTTTTATTGTTATTATTAGAACTATTACTATTATTTTGTATATTATTATGTATATTATTTTGTATATTATTATTACTATTTATACTATTGTTATTATTTTTAATATTATTATTTGATTCGACCTTGTTATTTATATAGTTTAAATTATTAAAACTAATTTTACTTTGTTTTATTGGTGGTGGGGAATTTTGATTTGGGATATTGTTGTCTATAGAGTTATTTGAAATAGTTGATGAAGAAGAAGAAAAGTAGGAATTATTGGATGAAGGTGAACTTGATGATAATGATCCACTGCTATTACTAAAACTACTACTATTATTTTTATTTTTTTTTTTAAAAAAACTTATCATTTTTTTTATTAATATTAATAATATTAAAAGTTTATTTTTTTTAATTTTAATTTTTCGAAAAAAAAGGATTTTATTTTTATTAAAATAAAAATAAAGAATATTTTATTTATATATTTTTTTAAATAAAAAAAATTATATATATTTAAAAATGATAAATAAAAAACAAAAAAAACAATATTTATATATTTTATTATAAGCTTGAATTTATAAAACAAAATAAAAGAAATTTATTATAGTGCTTATATTAATGAGTATATTATTTTATTATGCTTAATAATAATTATTATTATATGTGAATTTATCTATATTTTAGTGATATTTTTATTTTTGATTAAAAATTATTAATTTTAAATTTAGAAAAATAAAAAAAAAAAAAAAAAAATGATTACAATTATTTAAATAAAATTAAATAAATATTATATTTATAAATAATTATTTTTATAACAAATTACAAATATTCTACTTTATAGATATAAAATAAGTTTTAAAGTGGGTTAACCTTTTTTTTCTTTTTTTTTTTTTATTATTTTTTTTATTTAAATTATTTTTTTGATTTTTGTGTTTATAATAGATGAAAAAAAATACATTTTAAAATACTAAAAGATTAAAAGTTTACCCCACTGTATTAAAATTATAAATCTATTTTATTATTTTAAAAAATATAACTATTATAATTATCTATATATTATTATCTACACACCCAAACAAAAAAAAAAAAAAAATAGATATATAAAATTAATATTAAAAATTTTAAAAATTTTACACAACACAAATATATAGTATTTACCTCGTTATTGTTTAACTTGGATCAAATTGACATGAATTTTTATAAAATTTTTAAAAGAAAACTATTATGATTTAATCTTTTTTTTTTCTCAATAAAAAAATTTATAAACTCTATATACAGCTAAAAGTGTATATGATATATAAAAAAATATCACACACAAATGATTTTATACCCGATATTCCACTATAATAAAATATATACACAGTAAAAACAGACCACACAACACACACATATAAAATTACCACTGTCCACTTCTTTTACTTTAATTGACTAGATTCGCTATATTTGAATATTAAAATATTTAAACTTTTATATCAAAATAAAAGAATAATTTACTTAATCTCTATTTTAAAAATATCTTTTAAAAAACTTAAATTTTTACAAATTTTATGTTTTAAAATAAAAGTTTATAATTTATCATTGATATCTTTTATTTGTTTATTTAAAACCGATTTACTTTTTTTATTTATTAATTAATTAACTAGTTGTTTTTATTTTATACTATGGTATTGATATTGTTATTAAATTATAAAATTTATATTTGTTAACCAAATTAACTATAATTACCAATAAGCTACCTGGTAAATCTATGAGCCACAAAATTTAATACAATAATTAATATTTGATCACCTATTCCTATTGCCATTCCAACACCTAAAAAAGAAACTGTTTCCTTTGCATTATCGAAAGGCCTTTCCTCGATGGAATATAGATATTTTACTACCTTTTATATCAGATTATTGTTTTGAATATCTATTTAGAATACTAAATATTTCTCCATTATATTTACTATTTATACAAAAAAACAAATAAAATAATTATGATTCCAATACAAAAAACATAAATAAAACAAATCTGATGAATCACCACTTTTTTTTTCTACTTTATATAGCATTATTTCTGAAATTTTAAAAAGCATTTAAAATAAATAATAGTTTTAAACCTGGGTAAAAAATATTATAATTAATAAAATTCAAAATTTAAAAAAAAAATTTTAAAAAAAGCGCTCAAATATTTGAAAAATAATAATAAAATTAAAATTCGATTAAATTTTTTCTTTTTTCTTTTTTTTTTTTTTAATAATGCATATTTTCATTCAGCTATCATACCAATTTCATTATCATATAATGAACTACCAAATTCTTACTTTATTCCTTTTCTACAAAACATTATAAAATGAATTATAATAAAATAATATAAATGGAAAAATGATTTCTTTAAAAGGAAGATGTGTTTAATTTATTTGAAAATTAAAAAATTTTGAAAAAAAAAAAACCTCCCCTGTTTCAAATGATTACCAATTTTGATTGTAGCAATACAAATTTTACTTATTTTGGAATTGATTTTTTAAATAAATTAGGAAATAGTTATAGATTAATTAATTAATTAATTTTAAATTAAAATTTTTTTTTTTTTTATTTTTATTAAAAAAACTAAAAAGTATTTAAAGAAAATAATTTCAAAAAATTTTTTTTTTTTCATTATACACATTCAGGTAAATTCAAGTGGGTTTGATCATTCAAGATTATCAAGTTTTATAAGGTAAGAAAATAATTTCATAAAATTTATTTTCATTACATTTATTTGTTGTTTTTTTATTCACCCACTACATTTATTTGTTGTTTTTTTTATTCACCCATAACATTTCTTTTCATTACATTTGTTTGTTTTTTTTATTCACCCATTACATTTATTTGTTGTTTTTTTATTCACCCACTACATTTATTATCATTCAATCAATGTGGTTAATTATGTATTCTGCGTGGTGGTATACATAATTAACCATTCTTTTTTATTCACCCACTACATTTATTATCATTCAATCAATTTGGTTAATTATGTATTCTGCGTGGTGGTATACATAATTAACCACAAATTTTCAATATGGTGTTTAATTATTTATACTGCCTGAAGGTATAAATAATTAACCACTCGGCTCTAATATACTAACCTCCCCGTGGTAGAGCTGGAAACACTCTTTACAAAGAGTGGCTAATAGTATAAATAAAATATAAATAAAATAAATAAAATAATGGTATTAATATCATTTTATTATCTTTAAAAATTAATTATAAAATCTTTAAAAATTTTTTTTTTCTTTAATTTTTTTTTTTGAAAGTTTAATTATAGTGATCGTCTATTGATTATTTTAGACATTAAAACAAAAACGAACAGTGATATAAAATTTTCCATTTATATCTGCACAGAATAATTATTTTATTAAATCAAAAAAAAAATTAAAATTTTTTTAAATTAAAAATAAATTAAAAATTTTTTTTTTTTTTTTATATAATTTAAATATTTCACACATTATTATTAATCAAATAAACCCAATTTTATTTATTTCATTGTATTCATAGTAATATTCAACCACTTACTGATATCCATGGCCTCCTTAATTAATAAATAAACACAGTCCACAATCTCCATTTAATTTGTTCATAAAAAGGTATTTAAATTCTTTTCTTTTTTTTTCACACAATCACCTTAAAAAAAAAAAAAATTTTATTACACCATTTTTTTTTTTTTTATAATTTCAGAATTTTCTTTATTTCTTTGGTTTTCTAATAAACCAGCAACTTTAAAAAAAAAAATGGTGTCAATACGAAAATTCAATACGTTAAGTGCACAGAAGTTATAACGCACGAAAATTAAAAAACAAAAAATTACCACTTTTTTTTTTTTTTTTTTTTTTTTTTATTTTTTAAATTTTTTATTTTATTTTTTATTAGGTTCTAACTTTGTTATAAGTTTTTTTATTTATTTTTTTATATATATTTATCTTATTTTTTATTTGTGCCATCAGTTGATAAAAAAAAATAAAAAAAATAATAAAAAAATAATAAAAATAAAAAAACACACACTCACACCACTTCACAATCAATTTTTTTGCAAAAAATAAAAAAAATAAAAAATCCCAAAATTTTTTTTTAAAATAATAAAACATTAATAATAAAAAAAATTTTGATATATATAAAAAAAAAAAACTAAACAATGAAAAATATAAAATTTTTTATTTGTACAATACTTTTACTATTATTTTTTATAAATATTAATAATGCGTCAATTAATAATATAATTAATAAAGGTTATAAGAGAATGATTGATAGAGTGGATGCAGAAAGAAGAGATTCACCACAACTCTATACAGAAAATATTGAAGCAGATCAACATTTTAGCGAAGAATCAGGTCAACACTTACCAGGATATAAATGTGTTCATGATACTATTGCTAAAGATTTAGGTATCAATAGTGGTGAGAACTCTGCAAAAACCCCAAATCATCTTTTAAAATCAAATTTACAAAGCACACTTTCAAATGTTTCAGAAACATTAAGATTTTATTTCGATACAACTTATTTATACAACCAAGCAGATATTTCATCATGCTCTAGTGTTGGTCAAGTAGTTTATTTAGGAGGTGTAGCTTATAAGTCCTCAGCCTTACCATGTGATGGTTCAAGCTCGGTATGTGCCTACACTTGCAAAGCAGCAGATATTCTTTCAACCAATGTTGCAAATTTAATTTCAAAAGATATTATTACCACTATTCAAGATACTCTTGGCCAAATGCTATTGGTTAATAGGGAGACCGGTAATTTAAGATTACCAAGGGTTGGTCGTGGTGCTTTAGGTATCTGTGATTATGATTATACGGTACCAAATAGTTATTTTAATCAAGGTGTTCCAAATGCTGATATTGTTGTTTTTGTAACCTCAAGACCAGTTTATTCAACTTGTAACTATAGTTTAAAAAATATAAAAATAAAAGGATGTAAAATTAAATACTAATGATTCTTTTTTTAAAATATTTAGCTACAATTGCATATGCTGCACCATGTATTTATATAGAAGGTAACAGACCAGTAGCTGCTACAATTAATTTTAATCCACGTTACTTTACACCATTTGTTTCAGCAAATAAACCAAGTAATTTTATTTTTAATGAATATGTTCGTGTTGGTATTCACGAAATGACACATGGCCTAGGTTTTACTAGTGATTTTTTTAAATATTATAGAAATCAAAATAATCAACCATATTGTATGTATAAAAATAAAACATAATATTATAATTTTCAAGTTATTAATAAAATATTTATTTATTTAAAAAATAGCATCAACACCAGGATCAAAAGTAACAATTGTTGGTTATACAGGTTCAAATATTCGTTTTAATGTTAGCAGAAGAGCAATTTCAACACCATCAGTTAAAAGTTTTGTTAGAGAGCACTATCAATGCTATGATGATGAAAAAGGATATCAATTATTAGAGGATTATGGTCAAGCCGGTACAGTTGGAAGTCATTGGGAAAAGAGAACTGTTGGTGAAGAGTATATGTTAGGTTTTGTATCACCAGTATTCCCAATTACCGGATTAACATTATCACTTTTTGAAGACATGGGTTGGTATCAAGTTGATAAAACTTTAGCAGAACCATTTATGTGGGGTAAAGGTTTAGGATGCGATTGGTTTAACAATTGTGATCGTAAAGGTTGGAATTATCCTGGTTATTTCTGTGAAAATAAAAATACAATTTCATGCTCACCAACACGTGTCGGTAAAGGTGTATGTAACCTTCAAACAGGTTGGAACAATGTACCACCTGAATACCAACACTTCCCATCTTCTTCAACTGTCGGTGACTACATTGCTGATGGATGTACATTCTACGATGTTGGTTCACAAGAATATTGTGTAGATAGTTCAAATAATGAGGATGCTGATAGTTCCATTGGAGAATATTACGGCGACGATAGCAGATGCTTTGAATATTCCTCAGCAACCAATCCAAACATTAAAAATTTAGCTTGTTGGAAATTCAGATGCTCCAACGATACAGATCTTCAAATCAATGTAAATAACAACTGGCTCAGCTGTACATATCCAGGAAGAACTTTCCTTGTTGGTTCAGTTTCATTCGCATGTCCAGATTATTTCTATCCATGTAAAAACACAAATAGCTACCAACTTTTAACAAACTCAACCAATTTAAATTTTCCAGGTATACAGTTGGACAGCTCTTCTCCAAAACAATTTATAATTTATTCAAATTTATTATTATTAGTTTCATTTACTATTGCATTATTAGTTTAAACTAATAAGATATAAAATTATATAATTTTTTAGAATCTTATAAAAAAAAAAATATATAAAATAAAAAAAAAAACTATTTATTTATTTAATTAATTAAAAATTAAAGTGTAAAATAATCTGATTATTACCAATAAAAAATCAAATCTCGTTTAAATAAAACATTTAGATCCAGTTACCTTATTTATATTTTTTAATTTATTAACCAAAAAAAAAAGTTAAAAAAAAAAAATTAAATATTTTTTCTATAATTATTATAATTTACTTAAAGATAATTATGATAAACTATTAATATTATATCCACCACAAATATTCACCCACTCATATGCACACTACCTTTTTTTTTTTTTTTTTTTTTTTTTAGATAAAAATTTACTAATTATTATAATGAGATAAAATATTCATTTATATTAAACAATAGAATTTAAATACTACATTTATAATAATTTAAATAAATTATATAGTATTTATAAAATAAAATAAATAATCGTAAACATAAAAAATTAGGATTAAAAAAAAAAAAAAAAAATCTTTTTTTCCAACCTTTTTTTTTTTTTTTTTTTTTTATTTTTATTTAATTTATTTTTTTAAATTTCAGTTTCCTATAGGAAAAAGTAAAAGAAAAAAAGTAAATCTTTTTTTTTTTTTTTATTTATTTATTATAATTTTATTCATTTTATTTTAATTTTATAAAAAATTCGTGTTGGTTTGTTATGTTTGATTCAAAGTGAACCCACCATAAATCAAAAAGACACTTTTTATACATAAAATTATGGGGCAAGATACGACATTAAACTTAATCACAGAAAATGAATACATAGGTATGTAATATTTATATATTTATTATTATAAAACCCAATGATGATCATTAAAAAAAATAAAAAATAAAAAAAAACATGAATAAAAAAAAATAAAAAAATAAAAAAAAACAAAAAAAAATAAAACATGAATAAAAAAAAAAACAAATAAATTAAAATCCGAATAAACTCTAAAATTTTTTTTTTTTTTTAGGTGCCGATAGTACACCTTTAGCACCGCCAAGATCAATTGGGTTAATTTCATTAATATCTATAGGTTTCTTTTTAGTATCTGGAGGACCTTTTGGTATTGAAGGTAGTGTTAGTTCAGGTAGTTATGTATATGTACTTTTAACATTTATATTATTACCAATATTTTGGTGTATTCCTTTGGGTTTAATTACAGCAGAGTTATCGCTAATGGTAAATAAGGATGGTGGTTGTTCAGTTGTAAGTATTATTATTATTATTATTTAAATTAATAATTTTTATTAATATAAATTTTTTATTAATGTTTATATGTATAGTGGGCAGAAAAAGCATTTGGTGAATATTTTAGTTTAAGTTTAGGTTTATTTAGTTGGTTTGCAACCATGGTAGATTTAAGTTTATATCCATTATTATTTGTACAGTATTATTCAAGTAGTTTTACAGGTTCAAAAGATGCAAGTTCAGATTGGGCAGGTGGTATTGAACAGTGTCAACATTGTCGTTTATTAATGGCATTTGCAGTAATTATTATCATTGTATTAATGAATTGTTGGGGTGCTGAACAAGTTGGCATTTTTAGTACAATTCTTTCAATTACACTCTTATCACCATTCATCATTATGGTTGCAATGGGTATTGGTCATGTCAATTTAGGTCAAGTTTTATCTGTAGATGGAGGTATGAGATCATTTAAAGAGGTTCAGTGGGGCACGCTTATAGTTACAGTAGTTTGGAGTTATTCAGGTTTTGATGCATTTGGTCAATTAGCAGGTGAAATTAAAAATCCAAAAAGAAATTATCCAATTGGTGTAGTTGCAGTTATGGTCGTTACTATTCTCGTTTATATTTTACCTTTGCTTGTTGGTATGCAATACGAAAAAGATTATAAAAACTGGTATGACGGCGAATTCTCAGATGTCGCATCAAAGGTAGGTGGACAATGGTTAAACATTTTAATGTGTGTCGGTGGTATGGCAAGTAGTCTCGGTTTATTCCAAGCAAATCTTTGCACCAGTTCCCGTAATCTTTACTCTCTCTCATTAAGAGGATACGTACCAAATTTTTTCTCAAAACTTTTACCACGTCGTGAAACTCCATTCATTGCAATCATTACAAATGCTGTCGTTGTTGGTTTGTTAACTCTTATGCCATTCCAAGCCATCTTAAATTTGGATATGTCCATTTACAGTATCGTAGCCGCTTTAGAATGTATCATCTACATTAAACTTTACATCTGGAACCCAGATTACGATAGACCATATAAAGCTATCAACACAAGATGGTTACTACCATTCATGGCCACACCCATGATTTTTACTGGTTTAATTTTAATTTTAGCTCCATGGGATAATCAATGGAAAACTATGGTTGCAGTAGCTTTTAACCTTGCCATCGTATTATCAAGATATATATTAAACAGATATAGAGCAAGAAAAACAAAGAAAAATAATGAATCTCTAGATTATGAACAAGAATCATTTATTAAAAAATATTCAATCAATTAAAGTTTTTTTTTTTTTTTCTATCAATTATAAAAAAAAAAAAAAAAATAATAACAAAATAGTAAATAGCGATAAGAGAAATAATTATAGTTATAATATAAATAAATAACAAAATTTATAAATTATAAATTTTAAAAAAACTACATATTTTTTATTTTATTTGTATAAAAATTTGGGATTAGAGTTTGCTTTCAACTCCTTTATACATTTTATTAATTTTCTCATCTACTTTTTTATTATATTGAAGTCTTTCCTCTTCTGAGGAAAAAAATCTTGGTGGTTCCCATGGTTTTTTTTCATATACAATTCCTTTTTTTTCAAATTCTATTCTTTTTTTTTCTTCTTCTTCTTCATGGTATTCCTGCATCTCCATTAAAGCATCAGTTGTATTATTAATTGATATTATGGGGTCTTCTTTATAAACCAACAGTTGTTGAAAATGATTTAAATTCATTTTTAATCTATTACTAAAAATGATTTAAAATTGCAATAATTTATTATTTGTTCGTTGAAGCTAATATATATACATTTTTTAAAAAAAATAAAAAAATAAAAATTGATTTTGGAAAAAAAATTTCTTTTTTGTTTCTGTTTGTTGATTTTTTAATTTTTTTTACTTTATTTTATTTCTATTTTTTAAAATTACCATTTTAAAATTTTAAAACAAAGATTATAATCTTTGTATATCTTTATAGATACATTCTAAACTCTTTTTGTACATATATTGGTTTTATCTAAATTAAAATTAAATGAATCAATAAAATTTTTTTTATTTTTCCCTAACAGATTTTTTTAATTAATTATTTTTTTTTTTTTAAAATTTTTTTTTTTTATTTTTATTTTTTTTTTTAAATTTAAAATTATTTATAATTATATTTTATTATTGTTATTTTTTATCGTTATTTTTTTTATATTATAGTTATAAATTAACAAAGTAATTGTTTTTAAAAATGTCAAAACCAGTTATAGAAATTCCAGCAACAGAAAAACATACAGCAACAGTTATATTCCTCCATGGTAAATAAACATTGTTAACACACAACTCGATTACATTTATATTTATATTAACTTTTTATTTTTAATATATATAGGTTTGATGGATACAGGTGAAGGTTGGAAAGGACCAATCGAAATGATTAAAGCAGCTGGTGGATTAAATCATATTAAATTTATTTTACCAACAGCGTATGGATTATTTAATTTTTATAATAATAATAATAATAATTATTTAGAATTGATAATAATTAATTAAAATAATATTTTTCTTTAAATAATTTTTATATAGACCAATTATTCCAGTATCAATTAATTTTGGTATGCCAGGTACAGCATGGTTTGATATTAAATCATTAAATCCAGGATCAATGGAAGATTTAGTAAATTTAGATAAAAATATGAAATATATTGACTCTTTAATTGAACAAGAAATTAAATCAGGAATTCCATCCAATCGTATTATTTTAGGTGGATTTAGTCAAGGCGCAGCATTATCACTATATACCGGATTTCAACTTGAATCAAAATTAGCAGCAATTGTTTCATTAAGTGGTTTTATTCCATCATTAGGATTACCAGGTAAAGTTAGAGCAGAGAATAAGGATATCCCAACATTTATGTTTAACGGAACTGCTGACCCAGTTGTAAACTTCAAGTATGGAGAACTTTCATATAAAACATTATCCAAGAGTGATGTTAAAAACATTGAATTTATACCTATTCCAGGTTTAGGTCATTCAGCAAATGAAGAAGAGTTAAAACAAGTTCATGACATTTTTAAAAAATATTTACCAAGTTTATAATATATAAAGTGAAATAAATAAAACCAAATAAATAAAAGCAATTTAAATTATTTTATTTATATTTTTCTTTTTTGTTTTTTTTTATTTTTTAAATTTAATTAAAAAACTATAGAGTGGCGTCTTATTAAATATTCTATTTAGTTGAGGGGGTTGTATTGGAAATTCTAGAGTTTTCTTTTTTTAATGATGGTTTTGATTTAGCATTTTGAATTGAAATATTAACTGAACCTTTGACCCTTGTGAATACTATTTCTCTCATAGAATCACCTTCGATTCTATATTCAATTTTATCACTAAAGTTAATTGGTAATACTAATCCAGTGATTCTATGTATTATACTAACATTTGATGAATTTGAGTTTGATGTTAAAATACCTATATTGTTTTTTGATAAATCTTCATTAATTTTACCATTATTACCATTCAAACTATTATTATTACTATGGTTTGGAGTATTTGTATTACTATTATTTATATTTAAGTGATGACTATTATTTACATTGTTATTATTGTTGTTGGTTGTAGAGTTATTTGCTGAGCTATTTGTTAAACCACCAGCAGCAGATTTTAATAAGTTTAAAGGTGAAGTAAGTTTAGAGGTTGGCGAGGATGGTAGTTGATGATGGTGATTATGGTTACTATCTTTATTACTATGATCACTTTGTGAAATACTTAGTGGTGATGTTGTTGTTGTTGTTGTTGAAGATGTTGATGCTGCTAATGGAGATGGTGATGATGGTGAGGTTAAACTATTATTATTACTATTATTATTGGTATTTAAACTATAAGGGGTTATTTGATAAAATGTTAAATTGTGATAGGATTCTACTAGAACGGTTGCAATTTCAATTTTTCTACTGCCAACCAAAACATAGTCATATTCCGAGTTTACATGTAAAATGATAAAATTGTCTTCTTGAGTACTCATTGATAACGATGTTACATTCTCTAAAGAGATTCTTCTTTTTAATTTATAGTCTTTTGGATTTACATTATAAATTGATTTATCTGTGATGATAATGATTCTTTCTTGCATTTTATTTCTTTTATTAACTTTTATTAAAACATCAGAAAAAAGTATTTGATTATCACCAAATTTTGAAATCATTTTTAAAATTGATACATTGTTTGATAAACGTAAAAAGTCACCTAAAAACACTTTGCTAACACTACTATTCCTTCTTCTTTTCTTTCCCATAAATTTAGAGTCCTCTTGCTTTGTAGTTTGAACAATTAAATCCACTCCATAAGTTGGTGCACCAATTTCATCACTTACTATATTTCCATTGTTACCAATATACATGTTGTTATTACTATTTTGACTACCGCTACCACTACCACTACCATTACGATATTGGTTATGAATTGATCCAGATGTGCCACTATTTATATTTGCTATGCTGCCTGCACTTATACTTGCACCATGTGAACTTTTATTAACCAGTTCATTAACATTGTTTGTATTTTGAAAATAAATGTCATTTAATAAACTAAAATTGTGTATGGATGATGATGGTGATAATGATCCATTATTATTATTATTACTATTATTTGTAAAGCTATTTGTAAAACTAGATGATGCAGAGTTGTTTATATTTATACTATTTGACATATTATATGTTTGTGTCGTTAAATTATTGTTGTTGTTTGTGTTGTTATTTTGTGATATTAATAATGATGATATTGATGTTGTTAATTGGTTATCAACATTATTATTATTATTGATATTATTGGTAGAAATGGCATTATTATTATTATTGGGCGAACTACCCATTTTTTTTTCCAAAGACATTTTGGTTCTTTGATTGATAATTATTATTATAATCAATTTTAAAATAATATAGAAAAAAAAAAATAAAAAAAATATCTACAAAATTTTAAATAAAAAATTTAAAAAAAAATAAAATAAAAAAAAAAAAAAAGAAATGTCAGTTTGAGGAATATGTATACTTTTTTTTTTTTTTTTGTTTTATTTTTGGTTTTAAATAGAATAAAAAAAATTAAAATAATAAAAAAATTAAAATTAAAATAAAACTATAGTTAAAATGCAAAATAAAAAATAAAAAATTATTTTGAATATTCTTTCGAAAATTTTTTTTTTTTTTTTTTTTTCTTTTTTTTTTTTTTTTTTTTTTTTTTTTTTTTTGGTTTTTATTTTATGGTTTTGAACAAGTTTTTATTTGATTAGGTTTTTTTTGTGTATTTTCCATATATATAATTGTTCAATATATGTGTAATTAGATTTCTTTTTTAAAAAATACCCAAAATTTATTTTTTAAAAAATAAGAAAAATAACAATCTTTTTCTTATTTTTATTTTTTTTTATTTTTATTTTTTTTTATTTTTTTTATTTTTTTTGAATTTTTATGAAAAAATAATTGTCATTATCATTTTAACCCAATTTGTAATATTTTTCTCATAATTTTAAATAATCACACTATTATGCTGATTAAAAAATAAAATAATAAATGGAAAAATTACAATATATTATTATTGGTGCAGCAATTGGCTTTGCATTATTAGTTACAATTATTGTTATAATTATCAAACTAAGAGGAAAAGAAAAGTATAGAGAACCACTTTTACCAAGAGAAAAAGGAAATGTTTTTGTTTATAAAAGAGATGAATCACATCAAATTAAAGGTAAATAATCACACAAAATAATAATCATAATAACAATCATAAAAATGATCATTATATTTATATTTATATTTATATCTATTATTTAGAGGATCAAGTTGTAATGAATGCTAGACTTTACTTAAGATCTACAATTTATAGTTTACAAGATAGAATTCAAAGATTTGGAAGTAGATTGGATAAAGAGTATTTTAGTATTTTAGGTAATTCATTAAATAAAATCGAAAATGATAGAGTGATGTCCATGGTCCCAGTTTCAAAACAATGGCCAGTTCCTTTATCTACAGAAGTTGGTAGAGCAACATTTAGAAGTATCATTAAATCATTAGAAGTTCACCCATTTATCAGTGTACCTTTATTGGTTGATATTATTCCAGAAAAGAATTTAGCAGTCTCAGTAAGACCATTTTATTCAAAAGGTTCATTAAGAGATTATATTCATCAATCAAAACCAAAGATGCCATATGCTGATAAATACGACACTCATTTTCAATTAAACGAAAAAATTATATCAAAGTTTGGTAAACAAATATTAGAAGCTTTAATTTTTTTAAAAAATAATAATTTCCCATATTTTCATTTAAATGCTTCAAATGTTTTATTGGATGATCAAGTTTGTTTGTAAGTTATTAAAAATATTATATCAGATAAAAAAATATTAATATTTTTTTTAATTTTTATTCAATTTAGATTAAGTGATTATGAAAATGCATTTTTAGGTTTAGAGCCAAGATTATCAGATTATATTAGACAATTTTCAGATAAAATCGATCCAGATGTTTTATCATTTGGTTGTTTATTATTTGAAATGGCTTGTGGTTATGA